CGTTATAGCCCAATGAGCGAGGCAGAGAGTGAGAAGGCGTGAATGAGGCGACAGATGGCCTGATCGCTTGTTTTGGAGGGAGATTGAGGGATGTGCCGGTATCGCGGAGGTGGGTGAGACATTTGTTTGCTCCGTTTGAACCTATTATATTTTTCACGACCACTGTATTGTCATCCCGGCAGAATGTAATGTGGCTAAGAAATATTCGATGAGCTGTTACCCAGGCCAGAGTCCTTGGGGCGGAAAAATGCCGATGCTCATTGAGAATTATTGAGACAGCTGGTATTACATCGCGGCTAGGCCTATGCTTGTCAGATAAACGGGCGCCACGGTTTTGTTGCATTCGAAACTGATCGCACTGGTATAGGTCCGGCAGGGACTCATCTTAGAAACATTAATGGCATCGGACTCGAGTTCCCAAAGCACTCACAGCTTTGTAGAAGTGTGCGGTGCTCGAACGTTCTGCGCACTGCCGCACGTGTGACACTGATGCATCGCAGTTTGATTCATTAATGGTGAGGTCATCCACGTTCCATATTCTACTTGCATCATGATGCTTACTCCTTTCTGTCAATCAAGGCAATGATGAAACTTTTCTCCATAACGCGCCTAGCTCACTAATAAAGGCGCTGGATGGTGGTATTTTAGTACAATCTTTTTACATCCACCAAGTCCGCAGCCCTCGCCCTCACCATTCGAGTATGACCATAGTTTTAAATGATCCTAGTTGGTGGCCGACAATCAGTTTGAATATCCATTTCAGCTACTTTGCAGGTTCGTGGAGATTCGGTCGAGTGATGCCAGTGCTATCTTGAGCTAATTATGACTCCGGGTTTGCAGCTGCGTTCTTTGCTGCGGTGATGTACGATTGGGGTGAGCCATGTAGTATTAAGAATCACCAATGAGTCCTTATGATACATCCAGCACTTTCATTCGGACACGAGGTAAGGCGATGTCATGACCGGAGCAGCCATTTCGCTGAGAATAGTTTAATAGGTTGAACTGGTCTGGGTGAGCAGAACAGACAAACAACACAATGATACAGCTAATCCATACAGAGGCAACGCTGGTCCATCATGACTGTGTTGTATCTCAGTGTGCGTGGCTTGTATTATGAGTGCAGTCGGTGAGTTGTGTTGACTTCAAACTATTATAGGTGCGCTATATGGGAATAATATACGCTATGTATGTTTTCGAGGCGAACAACTTGGCGCTGTACTAATGACTCTTCTCTCACAATCAGTATCAACATGCTAAGTATGTCTCCTCACATACACTATATTTCTTTATTCTGACCAGCGGCATACAGACAATATTCCGTCACTCTCGATATCAGATGTAGTGGGTATTTTACATGGATGACTGCCATTCCCGTCCAATTAACTAGTACTGCTATTTAGGGGTAAGTCAGATCTCCACTATGTTGGTTCAATACAATGACCGCAACAGCTGTGAGTTTTCCTGGAGTGTTTGATCCTTCCAGGCCCGTCACTAACATGTTTTTCAGGTATCCATATATTCCGCGCAACACTATGGATGGCTGTGGTCGCATGTGCCATGCTAGGCGGTGAGCTACTCAGCTACAATCATCAATGATGACTTGGCTGAAACGTGAGGCAAGTCATCATGATCGCTCGGTTACATGCCATGCATCAGCGATCCAGAAATACGCTGATATTTCTTGTTGTCATCTTCCTGGCTGTCAACATTTCCTGCGGAGTGATTATGGGAATAATCACCACGCATATCCTGGGAGGTAAGCTTTGCTTATGGATGAGACCCTAAGTACATCAGGCTCATAGGAAGAATACCAGGGGAGCTGGTCCTCTCTGGCACCTACAAATGCACCTATGAGATAGATGACCAACGTCTGTTTCTGTTCGGAATACTTTGGATACTGTACACTGTGTGGGAGGTCCTCGCATTGTGTCTTGCAGTGTGGATTGCTGTAAAACACTTCCGTCAACTCGGACCATCGACAGGACACGCCGTCAAAGACTTTTTCATGGTGTTAATCCAAACTCATGTGGTGTACTTTGCAACGTCAGTTCGTAATTTCAATTTGGCTATCCGTTCTACTGAAATTCTGCACGTGATAGCTTTGTTGGTGCCTCATGCTTCCATCTCAGTATTCTCTCTTCAAACACCCCGGTACGCCGATCTGTCACTGACATCTGTATGTGACTCATGTTCATAATTTATTTCTATAGACGTCAGATTCCACGGAAACTTTGATTCATGTTGGCCAGCTTGCCTTGATCGTGCAGTTGTTTGTTCTGGGACCACGCTTCGTCCTTAGCATTCGTGGGTATCGAGCTGAGCTCGTATCCGACGCAAGAACCGCTATGACTTCAGTTGCTTTTCAGCCTGAGGAGTACGTCCACGAGTCAACTGGCAGTGGTGTGTAGCACGCGAAACACTCCAAGTGACTACACTTGTCGGGCACTATGTCCACATAGTATAAGCATATCTTGAGCCCGGAACTGTTGTCTATCTGCGTGCTCATTGTGCAAACTTGAGCTGCGCCTGCTACGTCACATGATAGCTGCCGGGAAGCTATTTCAACTCCTCTCGCAACACTACTCTACTCCATCTCGTGCGATATGCTGCCAAGTCCCCGCATTCACCAATATTAATGTAACGCATTACACACTATAGTTTTTCTAATATCGCAGGCATATTACCGACGGTCCTGCGTCATCGTGCCGAAGCTCCAAAATATAAATTATGTTCTTACAAACATGAGCTTCAAGCATCCCATGTAGCATGGATTGACCTTGCGCTAATGACCCATCTCCACCATTAGTGTCAACTTGTTGAGTATGTCTCCTCGCATACATTGCATTCAGCGGCATAGTACAAATATAGTCACTCTCGTTGTCAGATGTTGTATTTTCATGGACGGTTGTCATTCCCGTCCAATTAACTGACACTCTTGGTAAGTCCGATTCTCCACCAATTTGTTTTTATAATGACCACAACAGCTGTGGGTGTTTTTGGAGTGTTTGATCCTCACAGGCCCCGGCGTTGGCTAGTTTTGCAGGCACTGGTATACTCTACGTAATCAATCGGATGAATGTGGTTACAACTGCTATGCTGTGCGGTGAGCTACTCAAATGCAGTACATCAGTGATATAGACTTGTCTGAAATGTGATGCAAGTGATCATGGTCGTTCGGTTATAAGTATGCCATGCATCAGTGATCTGGAAAGATGATGATCTTTGTTGTTGTCATGTTCCTGACTATCAACATTACCTGCGTAGTTATCAACGGATTAGACATGCATGTTTCAGGAGGTAAGCTTGAGTTACTACGGACGAAAGGTGCGGCTTATTGTAAGAATACTAGAGGCTCTGATTCTCTCTGGCCCTGTCAATACGCTGATAAGGGAGGTTCCCCGAGGGCTAAACTCTTAGGGCTGTGATTTTGGTACTCACCACTGTATGGGAGATCCTCGTGCTGCGGCTTGCAGTGCGGATTACTGCAAAACATATCCGTGAGCTGCAACGATGCAGAGGATTGACAGGGCGCACAGTCAGTGATTGTTTTATGGTGTTAATATAGACACGCGTGGCCAGTGTACTTTGCGAGGTAAGTTCAATTTCAAAGGTTATTTTTCCCACTGACACGAGCGCAACACGCTGCCACCCTGTCCTCGCAGCATCCTTAAATTCTTGTTCTAGTCTGACTCGAATCGTATACACCCGGCGCTATAATCCAGACATGTGATGATCCCATAGGGGATGTCGGTCTCAAAACATCGATAATGATAGCACAGTGGAGCATGTGTGGACGAGAAAGGCCAATCGAGAGTTGTGGCACCAGAGTATATCGAGACTCGAGAGCTATGTCGTTATTTTCGTGTAGAGGGTTGTATAAAATAATGCAGCGTTGAATTCAACAGACACCAAAATTCATCAAATTCGAGTCACTGTGGAAGTGGAGCAATGAGTCTTGATTTCTGACGCATTGATGACACAGGTCTGTTAGGGGCACGTACTTGAGAAGAAGCCTCCTCAGACCTTCACCACCCGAAGCATATTCATAACACATCCAACACACACCCAGTTTTATTTGTTGAGTGATGGTGGGTTCAGTCATGGGTATCTCAACAGACCCGTAATTCTGACGCCACCCGATCAGACTGAATATCAGGTACAGGGAGATGCCGCTTTCCGCCTCTCTCGCCGTTCATGGACTCTTTTCACAGCCAGGAGACAAAGTCAGATATAAGCCCATAGGCGGGGCGACGTCAAAAGTCAATGAGACCGTTGGAGAAATAGTAAACGTGAAGGGTACCGGCACGGTGAGTTCTGAAGAATCTGTTCGGCACGGTTGGTTGACAATGGGCGCAGGATGTTCTGTACACCATCAGAAATGACAATACCGGGAAAAGAACGACGTACCACGTAAGTCCTTTGAGTTGACACCAGGTGATGGCGACTGACGCGCTTTCAGGCCGGAAATATCGAGGGCAAGGTTCCGGAGTAAAAGTCAAGTTCTCTGTGCCTTGCCTGTGCATGTTCACTAGCGCCTTGAGTAGATGACAAGGGAATAGACAATTTTTTCCCACCACTCTTGCATTGCGTCCCCGATGACCCGATGATAACATTAAGAGTCCACCGAAATTGCCTCTGATCCCAGGATTCAAACATTAAAGGCCCGGAGCGCGAACTGAGACTTCGATGGAAATCTCATATTATTGGGGAAGCCATTGTATACTGCTGGAACAGAAAACTCCTAGTAGACGCCGTCGCTGCAGCGTTTGGCCAGATCATGAGGGCGGCCGCGCGCCCGCGTGTGACGATGACACCAACCAAACTCTGACAAAGAAAGCTCTTTGTAATTGCTTTGTAAGCCATAAAGCTGAATATTCCTGATCCATGTGACCAAGCGGAGAAAGTTCTTGAAGCAAGTTGACCCCTGGGAGGGTGCCTGCGCGTCGGTGGACGCGCGACCGGCTCTGAAGTCGGCCGCCACCACCATCATTAAGCGTATGATGTCCTCCAACGAACAACTTCTCGACCTCGGGACACCCTGCTCATACCCTCATTGCTCTCTCCTTGATTTCCTTGCATTCAAATGTCCACACTGTCCAGGCTCTCCTGCCTTCTGCGCAGAGCACTTTCGTCCACACTGCAATACTGCACACGCACACCTGGACCACGCGTGTAGCGCCAAACTGCCCTTTGTGCAGTGTTCCCATCGCGATTCCGCCTGGGGAGGACCCAAACGTGCGCATGGAGAGACATATCAGCCGTTTCTGCGAGGCGATGAATGCTATTGGTGGACGGCAGGGCAAGAGTGGGAGCAAGATATGCGCCAGGGGAAAGTGCGGTAAGGTCCTATTTGCGCCCATCGGGTGTGATGTGAGTTGAATATCTGTTCAGTGCAAGTAATGATACTAATGAATATCGTACAGAGATGCCACAAGGAGTTCTGCCCTCACCACCGTTTTCCACAGGATCATAGCTGCCCGTCGCTCATTTCGCATCGACCGAACACTAATTCTACCTCAAAACCTACTTCAAAGCGAACTATCAAACCGTCAGCCACTCCCAGCTCATTCTCGGCTATATCCGCAACTCTGCCCTCATCCAGGCCAGCCCCTTCATCCAAACCGGCATCAGCACCCTCTTCCAAGCTTTCTATCCCAATATCCGTCTCCGTCCCAAAATTATTTTCCAAGACAGATCGGTGAGCACGTCCGCGTTTCGCATCTCAGTATCCACTCATAACGCACCAGCTTTTCTTCTGTACCTGCTCTACCTATCCCTCTTGCACCCACGTCCGTATCGCTTTCGTCTGCAACCAAACCTCCCTCACCGATAATCTCTGCTAAACCTATGATCCGCTTTAAATTCATTTCGTCTAATTTCCCTTATTCAACGTCTTTCATCCCCCCATCTATCTTCGCATCTGCTTAATCCTACCCATCATACCATGTACCAATCCATCTAATGTCTCGCTGTATCAACATCTGTTAGTCTTATCAACAGACGCGCAAAGGAGGAGCGCTCGAGCAGACGCAAAGCCATGACAGACCGCACCAAGAGGGGTCTTCTCACAGAAGCAGAGAAGCTCAGCTTGGCACAAGAAGAGGCCGCACGCGCACAGGAGGGCAGAAAGAGGGACAAAAGGTGTCTTGTCATGTAGCTTTTCCCTCTGAATTTTGCTTTCGACGCCAAGGACTCCACATACCCATACTTATGCTACACCACACGCGGATCTACCCCACATTCGACCGACCTTGTATTTCCCAGGACCTCTCTTGGATTTCCATGACACTACTAGTCAGAACAAGATCTATGTAAGGCCAACTTTCGTGGTAAAGCCTGTTTCTTGTTACAATGTAATGGACGTTGTAGGATCTTGCTGAACACCACATGGACTCCGAGTCACGATTCATTTGAACGATATGAGACTTTCCTGCTGATGTTTTGTACCGAAACTACAGCTGATTTGAAGTGCCAACGGGTTCTCTAGTCTGGGTAGTGGGAACAAACGCGATGAGCGCTTGGCGCTTAGGGTTTGTGCAAGGTTCGCGGGGATGTTTTTTTTTTCAATGATGCGACTTTGTAAACGTCAATTTGACTGACTCGAATTGTCACGAACGAAGAAATGAAGCCCACAGCAGGATTTCTGTCTCTTGCTGAAGAAGTGCAGTTCTACATCCTGATCTTGCTGCCGTACCGGGATATCCTTCGTTGTTCATCCGTGAGTAGTACAATCTATTAATCAATTTGGTGTTACTGTTGTGTTGGGACCTATTATCTGACGATTGTCTTGTAGGTATGCAAGGCTCTTCGTCAGACGTACCTATCGTACTCCGAACTTCAGTACATTGTTGAACTCGGCGGTCAACAACTGCTCCGTGTCCCTGACACAAATCCCGACAACCACATTCCTATCTCCCAGCGCCTACAACTCCTGAGGAACAGAGCTCACGCATGGTTCAGGCTTGATGTCAACACTTGCACAACAATCTTTTTACCAGACCAATTTCGTAACAGTGGAACGTCATCAATACGGGTTGCCAATAGGCATCTCTGCCTCTGGGACATCAGTGATAACTCGGCCGCGATCTTGCCAATACTACCAGATGCCTCGCAACAGACAATCGAGCGTGATTGCTCTCCAATGTTGTTGCATTTAGATCCTGATGCACACACCTTCGACATGTTCATGGACCCAGCGCAAAACCTGATCGCTGTCGCGTATGCCGTTACTGATCATGATCCCAATTGGGGTGATGCTGAGATGTTCTGTATTGATCTCAGAGCCCTAGATGGAGGTGGTTATCACCCTCGAGCTGTTGGGCATACACTCTTTCTGTCGGAGCTGACTGGCTACGAGGAGCCCGTTATCGAGACAGACCCGGACAATGTCAAGCTCAAGGGTTTCGGCAAGCATATCGCTTTCTGGCGCACCCTGCAGGTGAATGATGCAAACGCTGATTTCCATCACCTGTGGGAGTTGCAGATTTGGGACTGGCAACACTCAACATCCAGTGTGAGTCCCGATCAGAAATGTTAAAATGCTGATAGATGACACTCGATTCAGTGCGTCCTCACCGACGACATAAACCCGGACTACGACAACGCCACTGATTTTTGTTTCCTCGGAAACGATAGATTGCTGGTTTTCAGCCACAAATTAAAACTCTATTCAATCGAGGATACGACACAGGCGCCGCAGCTGCTGGCGTGCTTCTTGTTGCCTATCTCAATGTATACAGGGTACGCAGAGTGCATCCTTCCTATGGAAGATAGCTTGCAACCACCGATGCAAGCTCAACAAAAGATGTGGACCTCAGACCCTCAACACCAACTATTTATATTATCCTTTGAATCATTCTGTTCGAGTCTCCTCTTCATCATTTCCACCACGATGTTCTTCAATCTTGACTTCTCTGAAGAGATGCCAGCAGAAATACCGTGGGATGACTGGGGCCCTTCAAATTCTCGTGCGTTGCAGAACCACAGGGAATGTCGTACTGGCGTTAGTGGAAATCGAGTGTTGCAGGCACGCCCCGTAGATGGCACGACGGATGACCATGGTCTATCGCATCCCATGGAGTATAGATTATATACGATGGACTTCAGCCCGTTAGCTATTGAGCGTCGGCAGGGTGTGGGACGAGTAGTGAAAGAGCCATCTACGATAATCATAGAAACTCCTGAGTCACTGCCACAGGTGACATTGACGACGAACCTGCCTTACGTCGAGGTTGTGTTGGACAGAACATTCAGGTATCCGTTTGGCGGGATCTGGATTGACAAGGACACAGTTTACCTTGTAGGGTCCCCCCATCTTTCAATAATGTGTGACATACTGACTCTTATTTAGTGTCATGGATATCAATCTGAACTCGAGGTTATTGAGATAACGCCAAGGGCGGTAGACTAGTACGGATTACAAGTTGGCAGTGGACTACTTACCAGATCGCGCCAATTGCAAGGAGTAGCCTCACAGGAGCGGATAAACTCTTCCTCAGGCAAGCTTAAGAGGCTGTACACACTTGGGTAAGGAAATGGATCCGTGTCTTGTAGGCTTTGTAGAGGGGGTGCCGCATTTGTTAGGGAATGAAGTTGAGAGATGGGTGTGCTAATGAAACACTACGGGAAGTTAGTTGAATGTGAGTGTGGATTTCGCGCGCGTGCGCTAGAGAGCTCTTGAGTGTGAGCGTGAGTTTGAGTCCTGCGGAGTGTTGAAATGGTTACTAGTTAGAATCCACGAAAGCTTCGCTTTCGTGTGGTGGGGAGGGTCTGGCTCTGCCAGAGAGCACTTCGGTGTGGTCTGGGAGAAGCACTCTGAGTCCGGGTTTTTTGGAGCTCGAAAAAGCCGAGTTTTTGAAGGGACCGGATGCAGAGGGGACAGACCCTCAAAGCGTGGAGCATGGCTCAAATACGAGTGGAGTGCCTCTTCGAGGCGCCCGACCCCAACCCGACCCCACACAACACGAGACATGAAAGAGTCCATCAAATTATTACGAGGGAGAGAGACAAACGTAAATACGTGCGCTAACTTGAACAAGAACGAATGTGCGTGCTAAAGGCAGAACTGCGTTAAGAGGCGTGACGGCGGTGATATTCGTGCATGGAATGGCCAGCAAGAACTCACCGGTCTACTGATGCGCCCGGCCGCCCACCACTAGCCCTAATACTTGCATCCTCGGTACATGTAGTCGAAGTTCGTCCAGGGAATATGAAAGGATGAGCGACGTACATTGTGCGAGTCTCGCGTAATCCACTCATAACGCACCAACTTTTCTTCTGCACCTGCTCTACCTATCCCTCTTGCACCCACGTCCGTATCGCTTTCGTCTGCAACCAAACCTCCCTCACCGATAATCTCTGCCAAACCTGTGATCCGCTTTAAATTAATCTCGTCTAATTTCCCCGATTCGACGTCTTTCATCCCCCCATCCATCTTCGCATCTGCTTAATCCTACCATGTACCAACCCATCTAATGTCTCGCCGTATCAACATCTATCAGTCTTGTCAACAGACGCACAAAGGAGGAGCGCTCGAGCAGACACAAAGCCATGACAGACCGTGCCAAGAGAGGTCTTCTCACAGAAGCAGAGAAGCTCATCTTGGCACAAGATGAGGCCGCACGCGCACAGGAGGGCAGAAAGAGGGACAAAAAGTGTCTTGTCATGTAGCTTTTCCCTCTGAATTTTGCTTTCGACGCCAAGGACTCCACATACCCATACTTATGCCTCACCACACACGGATCTACCCCACATTCGACCGACCTTGTATTTCCCAATACCTCTCTTGGAATTCCATGACACTAGTCAGAACAAGATCTATGTAAGGCCAACTTTTGTGGAAAAGCCTGTTGCTTGTTACAATGTAATGATGGTTGTAGGATCTTGCTGAATACCATATGGACTCCGAGTCACGATTCATTTGAACGATATGAGACTTTACTGCTGATCTTTTGTATCGAAACTGAAGCTTACTGAAGGGCCAACGGGGAACAAACGTAATGAGCGCTTATAATTAGCGCTTAGGGTTCGTGCAAGGTTCGTGCAGTTCGTGCAAGGTTCGTGCAAGGTTCGTGGGGATGTTTTTTTTTCAATGATGCGAAATTCTAAACGTCAATTTGACTGAATCGAACTTGTCACGAACGAAGAAATGAAGCCCAAAGCCGGATTTCTGTCTCTTGCTGAAGAAGTGCAGCTCTACATCCTGATCTTGCTGCCGTACCGAGATATCCTTCGTTGTTCATCCGTGAGTAGTACAATTTATTGATCAATTTGCTATTACTGTTGTGTTGGGACCTATCATCTGACGATTGTCTTGTAGGTATGTAAGGCCCTTCGCCAGACGTACCTATCGTACTCCGAACTTCAGTACATCGTTGAACTCGGCGGTCAACAACTGCTCCATGTTCCTGACATAAATCCTGAACATCGCATTTCTGTCTCCCAGCGCCTACAACTCCTGAGGAACAGAGCTCACGCATGGTTCAAGCTTGATGTCCACACTTGCACAACAATCTTTATACCAGACCAATGTCGATACAGTCGAACATCATCAATACGGGGGGTCGCCAATGGGCATCTCTGCCTCTGGGACACCAGTGAAGACTCGGCCACGATCTTGCCAATACTACCAGATGCCTCGCAATAGACAATCGAGCGTGATTGCTCTCCAATGTCGTGGCATTCAGATCCCGATGCACACACCTTCGACATGTTCATGGACCCAGCGCAAAACCTGATCGCTGTCGCGTATTCCGTTACTGATCATGATCCCAATTGGGGTGATGCTGAGATGTTCTACATTGATCTCATAGCCCTAGATGGAGGTGGTGTTCACCCTCAAGCTGCTGGGCATACACTCTTTCTGTCGGAGCTGACTGGCTACGACGTTATCAAGACAGACCCGGACGATATCAAGCTCGAGGGTTTCGGCAAGCATATCGCTTTCTGGCGCACCGTAGAGATGCTTGATGCAAACAATGATTTTCATAACATGTGGGAGTTGCAGATTTGGGACTGGCAACACTCAACAACATCCAGTGTGAGTCTTGATCAGAAATGTTAAAGTGTTGATAGATGACACTCGATTTAGTGCGTCCTCGCTGACGACATAGGCCCACTCTATGACTGCTCAGCTGATTTTTGTTTCCTCGGAAACGATAGATTGCTGGTTTTCAGCCACAAATTAAAACTCTATTCAATCGAGGATACGACACAGGCGCCGCAGCTGCTGGCGTGCTTCTTGCTGCCTATCTCAGCGATGAATATAGGGTGCACGTGCATCCTTCCTATGGAAGATAGCTTGCAACCACCGATGCAAGCCCAACAAAAGATGTGGACCTCAGACCCTCAACACCAACTATTTATATTATCCCTTGAATCATTCTGTTCGACTCTCCTCTTCATCATTTCCACCACAATGTTCTTCAATCTTGACTTCTCTGAAGAGATGCCAGCAGAAATACTGTGGGATGACTGGGGCCCTTCAAATTCTCGTGCGTTCCAGAATCACATGCACCAGCGTATTGGCGTTAGTGGAAATCGAGTGTTGCAGGCATGCCCCGTAGATGGCACGACCGATGAACAAGATCATCCTATGGAGTATAGATTCCATGCGATGGACTTCAGCCCGTTAGCTATTGAGCGTCGGCAGGGTGTGGGACGAGTAGTGAAAGAGCCATCTACGATAATCATAGAAACCCCTGACTCACCGCCACAGGTGGCCTTAACGACGAACTTGCCTTACGTCGAGCTTGTGTCGGACGGAACATTCAGTTATCCGTTTGACGGGATCTGGATCGACAAGGACGCAGTTTACCTTGTAGGGTCTCCCCATCTTTCAATAATGTGTGACATACTGACTCTTATCTAGTCTCGATATGAATTTCAAATCGAGCTCATTGAGATAACGCCGAGGGCGGCAGACTAGTACGGAATACAAGTTGGCAGTGGACTACTTACTTCTACATCATCTGCAGACACGCAAAACGAGATCGCGCCAATTGCAATAGGAGTCTCCTTACAGGAGGGGATAAGCTCTTCCTCAGGCAAGAAGAGGCTGTACACACGTGGGTAAGGAAATGGATTCGTGTCTTGTAGCTTTCTTCAGACGTTTGGATACCCATACGGATACGATCTCCCCGATATTGTACTTCAAACTCCTCTCTCCACTTGGATTGCCATGACACCAGTAATAACACAACACCAATGAACAACAGTAATAGCGGTACCTACTCTAGGAATGCGGTCGGGGATAAGTCGACGAATAACACAGGAAACGAGTGAAGACAGTAAGTGAAAGGAATGAATGCAGTCCGCAGAACCGGAACTGGACGAGAAAACTGCAGTGGAGCGGAATGTTCGTGGGGGATTGCATAGAACATGAAGTATGCAGCAAGAAAAGGGAACGTCATAAGTGCAATGAGAAACGTAACGTGCCGTTGGGGGTAAAAGTCAGAGAGTTCTTGGAATGCAAAATACGCGCGTGACTTGTTCATGTGCAGGGCTATCGTCCGACGAATAAGACGACTAGAATGATGAAGGGGATGTATGTGAATAGCGACACGACGGACATGACGCGGCACCGGAACCGCCATGCTTTTGCATCTACATCGACATACCCATCAGTTCGACCCAAACCCTACACTATATAATCACTCACCATGCTCGATCTGCGGATCATCCAAGGAAACGCCCTTCTCATCACCAACAACGCGCGTGCGCGGTGTGCGGAGAAGCGCAGCGATCCACCACAGAGGAAACAAAATGAATCCCAAGAAGAAGTACCACGCATGCACAGGCGATCCAGGCTCATCCTCCTCACGAAAATGCAGTGTCCAAGGCGTCTCTGCAAGTTTCTTCGGCGGGCGTCTAGGATCTCGCATATGAAACTTGCCAGAAGTTGCGATCGAAGGCGCATGCGGGGACACGAGCGCGCTGATAGGGATAGACGCCTGAGACATGCTTTGATGTTTCGTGTGATTCTGATTCTGGTTCTGGGCGATTGAGGTGGTGTGGGAGTTCCTGCTAGGGGTTTGTTGGGGACGAGCTGAACGAGTGGACGTGGCACGAGAGGGTGCGCGGGAGTTGGATTGTACACGAGCGCTCGTTTGGCTTGACCAGGAACCGAACTTGCCCACCTCGGGCGTCCGCTCTAAATTCACGCTCTGGCCCTGAATAGAGACGGGCCGTGAGTGGATGGGGGTGCCAAAAAGAGAGGACGTTGATATACGAGCGCGCTTGCGGTGGTACGATGATGGCGCGTGTGATGCAGCAGAGAGCTTTTGACCTGTGTGATTAGATTGAGCTATCAGTCCGCGTTCGGATCCGTCGCGAAGGGACAACGTAATAAAAGGTACGCACTTCGGTTGCTCTCTGGGACAGCGAATGTCGCGCGCTGCGCGTCCTTTTTCTGCTCAGGCGGTGTGGTGTCGATGTCTTCGGCCTTCCGTTTGCCTTTGGTCTTGTCGCTAGGGTTGCGAGACGCGGGAGACGGGGTACTTGGGTCCATGGCGATTGTGCGGGAAGTACGTGCGGGTGTGGGAGTGATAGTGGAGGGAGGGAGGAGAAACTGAGACGATGGGTGACCTTGTATTTTGCTTGGACCCATAGGCACGTCTAGTCTCGAAGAAGTATTGTTTGGCGAGGCGGCGCCATCCGTAGCGACCAGAGTACCATTTTGTTTTGCAGACATGCGCGGGTCTGCGTAACTTGCTGGGCGGCTATGGTGCGTCGAGGGAGGAGGAGGGGGTGGAGATGGAGATGGAGATAGGGATGGGGATGTGCGTTCCCCGCCTAGAACAAATGAGTGAGTATGTGAAACGAACGACTGAAGAGAACGTATGAGAAAGTACATGGGTGAATAGAAAGAAGAGAGACAAGATGCGGAATCCGGGACGTATGGCACAAAGCAAGATCTAAATGTCGTAAGAAGCGGACTCACCTTGGGGAGCTGGGGAGCGTGGTCGAAGTGGTGAAGGAGATGAAGGAGAAAATGATCGCGATATGGGCGCCTGTTTAGGAAATTGTGCCACGCCGCTAACGCGTGTTTCGGACCCCGGACCCGGGACACCACTTTGGGATACAGATGACCAATTGACGAGGTCAAGCCCTTCACCCAACGAAAGCCGCAGGATTTCGCGCGATACCTCTGCGGGCCATGCGGTGTTTGAAGATGAGTTGACACCTTCTGTAGCTTGTTGTGCGCTCCAAGATGCACTGTTACGTCGACGGCGTTGGGGTTTGTCAGAAATTGTTCGCGCACGGAGACGTTGTGCAGCAGGCTGCTCTTCTGAGGAAGGAGGGAAGACATCCTGCACCTTCGAGAGGCTCGCAGAATGTCGGACAGAACGGCCAAATGTCATTGATAGCGATGCAAAGAAATCATCACCAATGCCAGACGGGATCCGTGATGGGCGTTTGGGAAATGAGTTGGATCGGTCTGCGAAACCTGATGCCATGGGAGCAATATCATTAACGTTCTTGTCCTTGAGGCAGGATGACAAAGCCGGGTGAATCAAGGGGGGCAGAGGGGGTGGAGGCGATGGATGCGTAAACGTAAACGTGGACCGGCTCTCGGGTGTCGGATGGCCAAATGTTCCGGGAGAGTCGAATCCCAATTCGCGGAGGATAGGTGTAGTGAAGTATGCATTTGGGCGAGTTGTCGGAGATGTATTGGATCGTGGTCTATTGGGTGTTCGTGGATGTATTCTGGAGGACGTGGTATCCGTTGGCGATGCTTTGGAATGGATGGATGAACTGCTTGTATGATTATCGTCGGGTATCGTTAAGGTGCGCCCGTTATTGATTGCCTGCGCTGATATATCGCGAGGCGCTATGGAGGATCGTGACACACTACGGGAGGTTGTGACAGAGCGTGAACTTCCGGAAGAGCTTGTCCCTTTACCGTTCTGACTGTTACTTCTCTTGAGTGAAGGAGAATATGACATTCGTCTGGTAGTGTCTTTAGTGGGACTATGGTCTGCAAATTCTGGTACCATTGGGGAACTACGCGCTCGTTGGCGACCAAACGTGGACCAGCCTCCAGACGCAGCTAGGCGGTCAATAGATTTCGACTCGCTTAGAGGTATTTCATGGGCCAGAGAGTCTGACCCAGGTTGATCCACTTCGCAGACACTCTCGGAGATGGGTTTTGCTTGCTGTATATTGCGAAGCCCCCAACTACTGACATCTACAGTGTGTCTCCGAGTTCTGGGGCTCAGGCTGTGAGGCAGAGATTCTGAATCATCCATGTCCAAGTATGAACTCGGATTCTGGAGAATCTTCTGGTCTATGCCATAACGCACTGCCGGGGAGGTTTCCGCGGTTGAGCCCACACCATAACTGAGCGCAGCAGTGGGATGGACAACGCAGAAGTTTTCTGGTTGAGGAGGTGCAGCAGCGGAATGGCTTATGCCTCGGCTTCGGATGTGAGAGAGGAATGAATGCATCTCTCGCCAGATACCCCTGCGGCTACGCGGGTCAGTGCGGCGCATACATGAGAATCGTTGGACATACAGTCACTCCGTCAATTATAAGGTGCTGGATCGAACTCGTTCTCGTGAGGTACAGGGACGTAGGAACAGGTTGTCACCGTCCCTGTCAACACGTGAATCGTAACTATCGCCAAGCAACTGGGCAACAAAGACCGACGTAAACCAGCACGAAGGCAACAGTTGTGCGCTGATACAATGAACGTTGCCCAGCTGGGTGGAGTCGAGATAATCCCTGTTCCGGATCAGTCCTCGTAGAGCACTAGATCAACCACCCCTTCTGCAGGGGTCGACTCTATTTACGCGTCGAGGTCACATGATCATCGACAATTGATTACATAATCACACATACCTCAGCAGTGGCAGTGGCAGCTGGCACGTCCAGACCGCAACAGCGCATTGAGCAGCCAGCTGCGTCCTCGATTTTGCCCACCATGGATCGCTTCGACTCCCTGGCGAATACCTTGTCAAACCTGACCGTCTACGATATCAAGAACATGTACAACCAGGTACGTGGCGACTAAGAGTAGGGCAATTGCAATTGCACATGCTGATAGTTGTCGATGTAGGCCAAAAATGTTGTGCTCAATATCAGCGAGATGGAGTCCAAGGTCAGAGAGGCAACTAATGACGAACCTTGGTAAGCACATTATGTCCCAGCGCAATACAGAGCGTAGGAGATTCACAGGGCAACGCAGGGGCGCCAGTTCCACATTAATGCAAGAAATTGCTCAAGGGTTAGTGGCTTTCTACTACAGTAAATGATAATTGACATTTTTCTTAGGACGTTCAACTTGTAAGCCTAGCTCTCCAGCGTTCCGACCATATGTCCATTGACCTTACCCCAGCCAAAACTTCAATGAAATCATGCCATGTATATATGCCCGGTTTATGGAAAAAGAGGCCCGACAGTGGAGGCAGATTTACAAGGTGGGTTGTGCGTGTTTGATATGGCCCTTTCACCAACCCATGTCCACAGGCTCTTCAACTGCTTGAGTACTTGATCAAACACGGCAGTGAGAGAGTTGTCGACGACTCCCGCTCCCACATCTCTACGCTCAAGATGCTCAGAAATTTCCATTACATAGACGACAAGGGCAAAGATGAGGGCCAGAATGGTATGCAGTTGACAGCGAACTAAATATTGTCACTGACGTACTGCGCATATAGTCCGCAACCGGGCCCGTGAACTAGTAGAGTTGTTATCCGATGTAGAGAACATCCGCACTGAGCGACGGAAAGCGAAAAATAATCGCCATAAATACACTGGGACAGGCAACGATCCTATGAGCTTCAGCTCGGGTGGCAGTCGCTTTGGCGGATTTGGCAGCGATAGCTTCTCGAGTGGAAGTGGAGGCTATTATGGCGACAGAATGAGTGGTAGAGATGGTGAGAGTCTATTTTATCTTGTCTCAAGAATCATCATTGCTCACATCGTGTTAGATTACGGAGGCAGCTCTGGTTTCAAAGATAGCAACGGTAGAAAGGACTTCGAGGAGTACACTGCTGGGGACGACGAAACTGTTGTCAGACGGTCAGGTTCTGTCAATAGGAGTCATACTGGGTCCCGTCAGGGCACACAATCAGTTAGTTCTCCTGTCCGTACGGCACAACCTGCACCTCCGAAGCCGAAAGAACCTGAGGTCGATCTCCTGGGTGGTTTCAGTGACGAGCCAGTGACCGCTCCCCCCGTGTCCAACACGAACAAAGCCCTTCCATCCGTGGGCAATGTCAGTCTTGACGGTGAGGCGCCCATCAGAAGGTTCTTTCAGAAAACTGATCTTAGTCATGCAGATGATGATTTTGCTGATTTCCAAGCCGCGCCATCTTCACCCGCGCCGTCTTCACCTGCCCCGGCATCTGCCCCCGTCCCTACCAAGCCTACGTTGATGGAAATGCTACGGAGTGCAAGTCCTCCTACTGGCAATCGGGCACCCATGATGAGCCCATCTCTTGCCTCACAAGTTCCTACTGGATTTCCCAACACCTCCATGAGGGCACTTTCTCCCACAAACAGGCAATTTTTCCCTGCAGCTGCCAGTGGGTCATCCGGTAGCTTGTGGTCTACGTCGACGCCGCTGTCGCCTACCACATCCGTACGAACACCAATGTCAGCTGCACCCATTCCCCCCGCAGCTGCACCCCCGAAAGCTTCACCCGCCTCACCCCCGAAGTCGTCGTCGAACTTCGAGGACTTGTGGTCCATGTCTCTAGGCACATCATCGACGACCCCGACTGTCAAGTCTGGAAGCACTGGTAAATCTATTAAAGACCTCGAGAAGGAGAAAGCCCAGGCTGGTATCTGGGCGTCGAGTCAGAAACCAGGGGCGGCCCAGATGGGAATGGGTGGATTCGGGAACTTTGGTGGAATCGGTACCTCCGGTGGAGCCTCTTTTGCTTCTGCGAGCGGTGGAGATGATCTCTTGCTGTGAACCATGATTACAGACTTGATCGTGCGGTTCGGTGCAGTTGCTTGTTTAATGTTGCGGCCTTGGTTCATAAGTTTATCTGTTATCAATTTTTTGCGGAATTCTGGTGTCCGTGTGCAACTTCCAAGTCCATCATGCTCAGGAAGAGCCGGATTCAGCTCATATTGTAGAAGCCTTGACATCCATTAACACAAGCTTTCTGTGCGATAGGTGTGAAAGAATCCACGCTACAGCATTAACAAAGTAGGTGGTGCAAAGGCGGTGGGGTAAGTATACGATGCAAATTTGTGCATCGCCGTGACACTCGTAAACTATATGGAAAATTATTGTAAAATGGTCGGCATCCTTGATTCGCGCAGTGCCATGCATGATGTGGCCGAACTACATCGTTGAACTTAATGTCGAGAAATTTACGCCTCGCCTCCGCGAGAAGTCACGTGATCTCGACAACACCGCCTGTGGGCCACGAACTTGAGATAACTAAACTTATCCTGAAGCGGTTCTCAAGATCTCAAGCGTGGCAACCACGTCTTCAGGCAGCCGCAGCGAGACTCTGATCAAACTTAAACTTACAGTGTGTTGCATAAAAAAAACTGCGTCTCCACAGCTCGAGCCTATTTGTACCTATTTGTTCCGGCCAAATCATTCCGAAAATAGACTTGTCTGTGCCGCTCTCTATACATTTCTCTTCTCTTTTTCGGCAATGCTATTCCGTTCGGCTGTTTTTTGGCGTTTGCCCCTTTGCTACTTCTAGTGATCTTTCTCGTTTGATGGCCTGCGATAACCCCTGTAGGCACTTCTTGTACTGCTATATACCAAGGCCATCCTGCATTATGAATCACGAATTTGACGGTTGTGCTCCTTCATAACTGAGCTATCATGTTGTACCCTTTGCTGCAACTACAGTTCGCATTTTTTTTTCCTTATTCAATTCTGCTTCATTTTTGATTCACGAAACATGGCGCCCTCTCGGCTACAATTGCGTATGAGCAGAGTCGGGGACCGGCGCGGGCGCCGCTACGATTCGGTATCTTGGCTCACAGTGTGGAAATGTGGCTACGCAGTTTTTTATGCAACACACTGATACTTTTCACTCAGCGCTCAGCCACCACACCTACGCGTTGGTACCGGTAAAGTAGATCCGTCACGGAAATCCAAGACCCTATTGGTTGAATATCTTTCCCTTAAATCGAAAGATGAGTATAAGAGGATCCAGCATGTCAAAGTACAGTGACCGTGATCCAGCCAAGTATTACTCTCCTCTTCAACGTGGTGCTTGTCATGGCTTTACACTATTTTCCAAAGGTGCGTTTTGAAAAGTAGAAAAATATGTTGTCATAGAACTGAACTAGTACGCTAGGCTTTCATGTTCTATGGGACTCTTGATGAAAGAATGCTAACCGAAAAGCAAACACTCCCCGAAGCCCTCCGTTACACATCCTTTTTAACGAGAGTACTGTGTTTTCTTGCTCTCGGACGCCCCGATCTTGATGAACACTGGGAGTCTCTACAATCCAAGGAAGAATTCGAAGACGTAAAGACAAGGCTATGCTCTATCCTGACTTACACTATCACTGCAGTAAGCTCTTCAAATCTCTACTTACGTTGGCGCTAACATGCCAAATTTCGAAAAGGCGGGCCTGCTTCTCGCTACAAGTGGTGTTTTCGTAACCACTGGCTCTCCCGTGTCACATTTTGACTATACCTCGCCTGTCCCCTATTTTTTGCTCTTTATATCACTCATGTTGGCCATGATTGCGATGCTGACATCTGGCTTGAGCATGATACGCTGGCTACACACCGATCGGCAGTGGGCTCAAGAAGTGAGGGCTATTCTCACTTTACCGGCTACACTAGTTGACTTTTTATCAGCAACTCAAGTCAGGCGGCTATTTTATCTTGTCTTACCTCTTGTCGATCGTCATGCCCATGTCCTTCGTTGGCTGGTCCCTGAATTGCTTCATATTTGGTAAGTTGCTCCAATAATTTGATGCTCTTGATTCTAATGTATTTCATCCGCAGCCATGCTGATTACTGGCTTCTACTCCACAAACACGGTTTGCTGCACCTTCACCGCGCTCTGGCTGGTCATATACGTCGTCATCATTGGGACAATATCGATTGAATTCACGTGGAAGTATAGGAAAAGTCTCAAATTACGCTGATCTACATACTTACCGGCAGGAGTTTCTCTCTCCTCTTGTTACGTTTCGCAACCATTCCATTTCATCCTGGTCTTCTCACTTCGAGCTGAACACAGATATGTAGTAACATTATGTGGTGTACGATATATTAATGCAAATAGAGTTACGCAACTTTCTTCCGTGGCCTACCCCTTTTTACCGGTGACGCGTCCGAGTCAGAATTAGCGAGATAACCAAAGTTGCGTTTTATCGGCTCTACATAGCCCATGCCGAGTTCGCGTAGGACGGCATCTTCGCTTTCGCCTTCTACGAATGCCCAATAGCCTTCCTGTGCATCCGCTGGGAGCGATGGATCAGAAGTCCATCTCCACAGGCCGAATTCATTGAGGAGCAAGCCCAGTTGCGTAGCTTTTTTATGAGTGCCGACATAAAACTCCTTGTCCCCAGTCAACGCAAGTAGTGCTGCACCCTTCGATTTCACAGGGGCAAGGCTACGCGCCATTAAATCAGTGAGCCAAAAGATCTTAATCAAAACTTACTTCAAGTCCAATCGAATATAAACGCCCTGCTGCTCACGGATGCGCTCGATTCGTTGAGACCGTTCTTCCCAAGTTCCGTCTGCAGTCCTTTCAGGTAGACGTATCACACCCTGCCACTTCCGGATTCCCGGCGACAACGTCTCAGCGATGAGACCACGGCTTTCGAGTGGCAATACCACATCACGCAAGAGAAGCGAGTCTTGAGCTTCCTGAACCTTTGTATATGGCATGCGAAAAGGCGCCATGCTATATCGTTGGGTAACCGAGCCATTCTTTGATGAGGGCGTAGGCACGTGAACATGAGAAGGGTGTGTCAATAGAATATCAACGCCCGGAGATGATTGGGCACCCCGTCGGCTATTGAAGTTAACACAGTAAAAAGGGAAAGGATGCAGGCTGCTTACTAGCTACCCACGAGCTCAACATTATATTTGCAAGAGATATTCTCCGAAATAAATTTCTAGACAGTGATGAGCCAATAGAGCGTTCTTTGAGTAATTGATCAATAACGTACGACGAGTAGCTCGGCTTGACTTCTCCCGACAGGTCGTTCGAGATCTTCGTTGTATCGCACGGCGGTTTGCTGCGGGGCACTCAGCATGTCAAAGAATTTCGGTTTCTTCAGGTCCGCGATGGATGTACAACCCGCCTTAATGAGAGCGTTCGCGGTCATTACGCTGTAGTTACACAATTTGTCAGAACACCGTTGAAGTCAACCCGGGGTGAACGTGTAGTACCCAAGACCGGAAACAGATGTCAATGACCGAGATATCATTTTCTTTCGTTCCTCCTCAGGATCAGAATTTTTTTTCGTCTTGCGTTTCGGTGCCTCGGTGCCTCCTTCAGATACCTCGATAATAGCTCCCGGAGCCTGGAGACATGCATGAAACCCATGGACAATGGCAAGACATCCAACACCTACGGACATAGTCTTTACCCGACAAGAACGCGTCTATCCTGTTGCTAATTCCGACGCCTACACCTTTCAGCTGAATAGAATCCCTCTCAGTGAGTATTAGACTCGCGGAGCTACTGGCGAATAGTTCTGACCTTTTTCACCTCAGCTACGTTCCGCACCGGTTCCTCCAGTGCGCCAATAGCCTCGATGGCTCGTGCAAACGCGCGAACTTTGTAACCATTTCTGTTCGGACTGGAGTCTTCATGCTCTAAATCTATGTCGGGGGTTGAGGATTTCCGCAGTCTAAACTTCAAGGAACTCACTTTGTGACAGCATTTGGAGGAGCTCATGGTTCGGACCGGGATTGGTCGTCGAAAATGCTTTCCTTGAGCACGAACAATGGGAGAATAAAGTAGTCGCCCGAAATAGTGAGCGGGACAGCATGAAGCTCAATACTCGTCCTGATTCTCCTCCGAGGAGCCTGTTTGAGTGACTGCAATTCTTCGAAGCACTGAATTTGATTACATAACCTTGTTTTGCGTCAGGTGACAAATTGTTCACTTACACAAAAGGAAATTCCGAGCGAAAAACTCAAAAGTACACAGAATCACAGATACAAATCGTTCACTTCAAAAAAATGGCGATGAAGCAGAACTTAAAATACGACAGTAAAGCACACATGCGAAACGAATACGATGATAGGGTCATCGCTCCAGCCTAGATACCTGCCATCTGCATCCTAGCTTGCCCGGCTGATTGTGCTCCTCCTTGTTGCCCTACGGCACCCTGCACCTGCTGCTGCCCAGGTATGGATTGACCGGGTTGCGCCAATACCAGACCCTGTCCCATCGCGAATGCTGGGACTGTCTTCTCCTCGAGGTCTGCGTAGCGAACGCTCATCTCTTTACGCTCTTTGCACCAGTCATCGGGATTCCACCATGTGTATGTTCCTGCTTCGCCGCCTGGGATTTTTGATGATGGAGCGCTGCCGCTTTCTTTCGTTATCCAAATCCGTAGGTCTTTGTGGTATCGCCAATTACGATTCCACCTGTAAAGCCACAAGTCAGTCCGAATCCACAAGTTAATGCAGCCAAAAACAGCACTGTGGGACGTATCGAAAGCTTTCTGGGACATGAATGGAGACCTACAATTCTTGCGCTGCAATTTCTTGTAGTGCATCCCTCGGACTTGAATAGAACATGAAAAACAGCGTCTCATCACTGAATGCTCCAGCCTTGGCTGGTCCTAATGCCGGCGGTTGAGCGCTATAACACGGAGGCAGATGAAAATCAGGTTCAACGCTATGGGCTGCAGATTGATCTGCCCACGGCGTAACAAATGTCGAATACAGGTTTCTTTCATGCAACATAAGCATAAACGGTCGGTAGTCTAGTAATGCATGACATACCCCTCATATCCCATGTCGAGTCCCATTGCTCCCAAATCTGTACCGACGCTGCTCAGACCTCCATCTGCGTCAACACCAGCGTTCTTAATCATTGCGAGCAGGCCAAGGAGCCCCCACCGGTCTGCTGCAGACATGAGCACCTGCTGTGCGGGAGTCTGTGGATGATGGTGAGCTTGTACAAGTGGATTATGTGTCGGTTGTGGATTATGCAACTGTGGGTGCGCGTTGTGCTGATGCGGATGTATGTGATGCGTTCCGTTTGACACATGAGGACTTACTCCCGGAGGTGGTACACCGGGTGGTGCAGTAAGATCAGCACCGGGCGGTGGGTTCTGCGATTGGGACGGGTTCTGGCCACTTAGTGGCTGCTGGCCTGCCTGACTTCCCAGTGCTGGGAAATCATCAGGGCCAAAGTCTCTGCTCTGTGCCACTACACCTGCAGCTCCTGACCCACTCTGCCCTGCCTGCGTTGCATAACTTGTGATGTTAGAACCTGGTGCAATTGCAGGTGTTCGGTGTGCATTTTGTTGCTGAAGGGTTGGTGTTGGATAACTCCGTTGTGGTAACGGGTACTGCGACGTTGGGTAGGGAGAGCGAAACTGCGACGACAAACCGGCTGGAGGAGCAAGACTTGGTGGTCGCTGTGGTGGTTGACCTGAGCGGAACTAATTGTAACAATGGCGCCAGAACAAGCTGGGAACACACCTGGTCGGTTCATTATGAGTGAAGAATTTCTGCTACAAAGTCGGTGTTATTGTGATATTAGATGCGGCGAAGAAGAGAAAACTCACGGCAACTTGGTTTGACGGTTTCTGATGTTTTGCGGTCTTAGCTGGTGGACGAATATCTTATGTTGATGTTTGTTTGTTGACCTGTAGCCTTTGAGTTTTGCAAAGAGAGCGCTTGTCGGTTAGGAACGACCGTCAACAACAAGAACGACTTTGATGCCGTCAGCTTGGCAGCTTGGCTATCCTCAGGCGGAGATATTGAGCAGCGCTCCCAAACACAGCAGGCATCAAAATATGTGCTGTCTAGCTCCAGCTGAGCTGCTGCCCTTATATTGCAATATTGTGCATGACGCATGGTTGTTGCCGACCTGCGTCCTGCAGCAAACCTGTCCGACTAGGCGTTCAGCAGAACCGTCCCCGCTTTATTTCTGTGTAGATGCGCTTGCACAACGACTGACTCTAGCAGCCACCCGTCCGGATACCCGATCCTGATGCCGTTCCAGCCGTGACCTCACACACTCTCTATCCGATATCGATCCTCCAGATACTCCTTGCGGTGATTCTGCGGTCTTGCCCCATCCATAAAAGAGGTCCATCTTCGACCGACCAGCAACAAAGATTTCACACACCCAGGTGTATGACCTTTTCGACTTCCCTCGCTCGTCTCGGACTGAGCAGTCCAAACAGAACAATTTTCCACCTCAATAATACATCGACTTTTGCAGACAACCAGTACTCGCTTCAACGCACCCAATCCATGACAGGTCTATAACGCGCGACGCGGCCGAACCACGTTCTGCAACCCCGAACATCGTTACGTTCTTGGCCGTTCGGTGTTGCCAATTACCAATCACTACTCTTACGTCGAGTTAGCTCACCAGTTGTGCCTGATCTTCTAGTAGGAAATGGGGTGAGAATCTAGCTCCATTAACAGCGCATCAGTTTCGTGGAATCGCTTTTTGCCTGAACGATGTTTAGCTCCGGGTTTTTAGCCTCTGTAAGTACATGAAACGAATGACATAATCGTGCTCCAGGATACGCCGCTTGGTTCCCGTGGTGTCACATGATTGTTATTTTGCAGTGAGCCCTTACTTTTGCTCGTAGTCCCAAGCTTTCGCCGGTCGGCCGAGAATGCGATTCAAGCGTCTGATAATTCGTAGGCGCGTGGCTTTGGAGGGCGCAGAGTTCAACTAATCGACTCCTGATAGAGCCATGTTCTCGGCTGTGATCCATTCAATCAACACCTCAAAGGGGACTTGTGGTTATCCATTATCTGGCAAGTTACCCGCCAAAGTATACTTTCCCTTTTGAAAGATCGAAGCACTCCATGAAACCTTTTTGTCCTCGTACTACAAATTGAATCGTGCTATATATAATCACGAGGAAAGCGCGCCAATGTCGAATTTATGCTCCGACACGCTCCAGCACGAGTTAATTTATTTCGGTTTGTAAGTAAACCCTGCAAGCCATCGATCGGATTGATCAGTGCCAGATACCATCAATATCCTCTGATCAGACAAGATGCTCACAGTGACACTGGTATGTTCTCTTCATGCCTACGAGATCCTTCTGACATTGCTAATGGGTACGCGCAGATTAGACATGGAGAGTCCACGCACAACGTGGTAAGGCTGAGTGAGTGGTCTGGTGATACCCACTGATCTCGAGATAATTGCAGCAAGCTCTCTGGTCGGGCTGCACGGAGTGTCCACTCACAGAAAGAGGTCAGTGGTAGCTCGAACACGCGCCTATCTAACGAGCATCACGACTGATCTTGGCTAATCAGGGACGCAGGTAGGCCTTTCTCTCGCCTATCCATCAGCCCAAGCTAACCCCGAGAACAGCAAGCACGCGCCGTAGGCGCATACTTCGCGAACACAAAATTCACCAAGATCTACGCGTCCCCTCTACCGCGCGCACGGGACACAGCTCAGGCAGTACTCGACGCGCAGCCCACGCCTAAGCCGTCTCATGATTTCACCATCGCCCTGATCAGAGAACAAAGTTTTGGTGCCGCGGAAGGCCATCAGATATCCATACGGGAACCAGGCAAGACACTCGAAGCTCACTTTGCAGAAGAGAAGTACCCGTTTTTGTATGAAAGCGAGAGAGGACGTGGCATTTCCTGGCGGGGAGTCTGTGGAAGATCTGGTGAGGAGGGGTGAGAGGGCAGTGAGGGAGGTTGTGCTGCCGCATGTGGCGAGTGTTGCGAGGTCGGGGAGGGACGAGCATATTGCGCTTGTGAGTCATGGGTTGTGTATCGCGCAAGTGACGGGCGCGATTGTGAGATTGGGCGGGGGAACATGGAAGCGAAAGGGACCCATGGTCAATACGGGGTGGGTGAGGGTAGAGGTACAAATTCAGGTGAGTGTGGTGGACATTGATTATGAGGTGGTGTTCACGGATGGTGCAGGGCGGGATACCAGTGGAAGTCGGGGATGGCGAGGTTCCTCCGGTAGAAGTGATAGTGACAGACGAGGGCAGGGCAGATCACCTTGAGGGCCTTGTGTGTTGGTTTCGTTTGTGATGTTGACTGACTGACGAGAACATGACTGACAGCTCGACGGAGGCCCACTTCAAGGCATGAAAGCGATTATGGGTGGAGGAGTGGTGGTGGAGGGAAAGAACGCGAATGAGGCGGAGGCTATCGCACAGACGTCTAGTAGGAATCGGGTATAGAGCTTGTCACATATATATTTCAGATAATTGACGCATGCAAGTACTGCTGGTACTAACTGGGCGTGTGGTCTGCTGCTCGTCCGTGGGAGTCGGGAAGCTTAATCGTGCACTCTATAAATAGCGCAATCTATCGAGGACTTGCCTCATAGAGGGGCTGGTCACCAATATTCTAATAGCCCAAGGCAGTGTTACTTAACCGCCAGCAATTTTGAAAATGCCTCACTTTGAAGTTTGAACGGGCGGTGATGAGACCCAGATGCATATGTGGGCCACTGTCTGACGTGTGAGATTTTACAGACGTTTGTGTTTGATTTGACAAAACCCCACTACATACGCCCAAAATTTACACTCGCCGAATATATACGGAGCCGCTGGGCGACCGGGATGTTCTATCGCATGTTCGTGGCCTCGCTGTTGCCCCTAGCTTTGCAATGGGCAACGACTGGAGGAGCTGCAGTGCTGGTTGTGTATTTTACTCCGACTGTGGTAAGTATTTTGATACGCATTTATCTGCACCCGTTGCTTATTAGCGGCACGTGACAGGGCCTTGGTTGTAGATCTCGCGGCAACGGAATCTATGGAAGGGGAAGGGTGCAGTGACCTTGCCGTGGAACCAACATTGCACTAGACCCTGTCGGGACCTACTCGGTGGTCAAAATCACGGAAAATCCCAGACTCCTTCAGGTACAAATTCTCAACTTGCCCTCGGCCGAGTGGGTAGGAGTCTGGGAAAATCCTAGTCGAGCCTCGTGGAATAGTTGGGACTCCAACTTGTCCAAGCTCCAAGTTGACAACGGTGACCAAACCATGACAGTCCAACCAAAGAACGCATCCACATATAGTAATAGTTCATCATATCTCCAAGATAACGGTACGACATGAACACCGCTATAATCAGTAGGCCACAGCAGTCACCACTATTTCTCGACTTATAAAGTGACCTAGCGATTATATAGCATGACTCGGATATCCACTAATCTATCTGTCCTCTTCAAGTTCTCTTTAACGTGGTGCTCATTATGGCATTGCACTATTTTCCAGAGGTGCGCTTTGAAAACATGGAATGATATGCTGCCATAAACCTGAACTAACACACTAGGCTTTCACGTTCAATGGGACTCCCGGTGAAAGTTCACTACGTGACAGAGAACAAGCACTCCCAGAATCCCTTTGTTACACATCCTCCATAACGAAAGTACTCTGTTTTGTTGCAATAGGCTGCTCCGATCTTGAAGACCATTGGGAGTCGCTGCAATCCGATGAAGCATTCGAGAAGGTGAGGGGCAGCCAGTGCTCTATCCTGTCCAGCACTATCTCCGCAGTAGGCTATTCAACTCTCTGCAAGTTCAAGCCGGCGCTAACGTAGCCTAACGTTTCAAAAGGCGAGCCTGCTTCTCGCGACAAGTGGTATTTTCGTAACCACTGGCTCTCCCGTGTCATATCTTGCATATAATTCACCTGCGACCTATTTCCTGCTCTTTATGTCACTCATGATGGCAATGATTGCGATGCTCACATCTGGCTTGAACATGATCCGCTGGCTACAAGCCGATCGGCAGTGGACTCGAGAAGTAACCGTTATTCTCGCTTTACCCACTACATCGGCTGACCTCTTGTCAGCAACTCATGCCAGGCGGTTACTTCCTCCTGTCCTACCTGTTATCGATCGTTATGCCCATACTATTTGTTGGCTTGTCCCTGAATTGCTTCATATTTGGTGAGTCACCCAGTAACCGGATGCTCTCTTGGGTATTCACATATTTCTCCCGCAGCGATGTTGGTAGCAGGCTTCTACTCCCAGAACACGGTCTGCTGCATCCTCACCGCAGTCTGGCTGGTCATATACGTCGTCAGCATTGGAACAATATTGATGGAGTTTGCGTGGAAGTATGCGAAATGCCTCAAATCTCGATGATCCAGATACCGTCAGGAGTTTCCACTTTGTTTTCATTTGCTTTGTTACGGCGTTTGACTACGTATTGTTTTGAAAGTTAGTGTTCTATGTCGTGAAATATGCCATGTATCCACTGCTATAGCTACCATCTATATGTACATATGTATTAGGTTCTGTCGTTTTGCGAATATCTACAGGATTGTAATTTGCACGCGTGTGTACCGCGAAATTGTTACAGTCCTTAGATTCTATTTGACTTGAAGCTTGAAGCATGAATTACTGTCTCAGTCTGCGTGCTAATGAACCTGTGCGTCCTATACAACAGGCGCGAGCCGGAGTTACTAATCCTGTACATAACTTTGGTATTGTTGACAAGCACGTCTGCAAGGCTATGATGATTCTACTTCCTAGTAGCAGTCAAAGTTCTCTAGTTTCTGTGTTCAGATCCGTTTAGCTTGATCATTATGCGAGGAGGATACATTCGCATGTTCATCTCCTGGCTGGAACAAACTGATTTCAAGCTCTCATTTTTATAAGTATAGACTTTCGGGAGCTTACCAACGCTTGATCCCGCCCCTAGGCCTTCGTGTACTATATGGATTCCCGGTAGTGCGACACTGTGTGGTATCTGCGCCTGGGCCCACCCAGTTCGCACAGCACCCCAGTGCTTCAATTTGAGGTAAGTACTAGGTCACTGCAGGGCATCCCCTCTTTCAAAGTCGAACCGAGACCACTTGATGAAGTATAGCCGCTTGACAATTTGTCCATAGCCCCTCCAGATCTACGGTGAGCATCCTGTCCTTTCCCGGTCATTTTTTTTACTAAGAAAGCCCATAGAGAACCAGCTCTGACACTACAGGACTTCTCAACCTCCAGTAGCAGATATCGTTCCACTGCTTGATTACCCCAAACTTCGCCTTTGCCGCCACCAAAGTCCTTATTCCACTTCCAATGGTCGAGCATCCGATCAAGGCTTCACGTGTCATGCCATCAACCACACTGCACCGACGTGAAAGCATTGACACGACTCACTGCTAAGCTAGTAACAAAGAAAGGATTCCTTCCACGCCGATAAGTCATGCATTTACATCCAGGACGCAAACTACTCATACTCACACTGCCGCATATTCCGTAAGGGCAGCTCAAACAGTCTGAATCCTTTGCGCAAAAAACAGGACATCCGTTATTGTTAGCGTCGTTGGCAGATGTTGATAATATCAAAGCAGCAACAACAGCAAAAACAAAGGAGAGACGCATTGTTTGAGAGGATGTGATGTTGGGTCTGAAGGGGACAGTAGGAAAATATTTTCCTTTTATACACTGAATATTGTTCTTCATACCGATGTAGGAAGAGCCTATCCACCTGAAATGCTCTTTCGAACAGATGCATATCTGAAATTCCAGCAGATTGCCACCTAACTTCTACTTTACCTTGCCACTGGCAGTGTGAAGCAAGGTGTATTGGCAACCTGGCATGGAACAAAATATCACTTCGTGACGCGGGGTCAAAATGCCAGCTCGCAACATCCTTTTTGAACAAATAATATCTGCCAAATGTGTCGAGAGCCACATACATCAGCTAGGTGGACAGCAGATGATCATTTATTCAAGGGAGGGCTCGCTGCGGGTATGGAACTTAATGGAAAACAGATAGGAGACGACTGAAGGGACGGAGTACGGACCGCAGCGATGTCTCTGGACAGAAAGGTAGTGGTTGGCGGGAGTGAAGATAGTGGACTGAAATTGTGAGACATCAACATATGCAAAGTCATCGGGAGATGGATAGACATACAGATACGGTGAATTAGGTCTGCTGGAGACAATCATCGCACCAATCAAGACCGGGCACGAATACATACACGCAATCGTTTACTCGCCGGACACGACCATGATTGTGACTGGTAGATACAGATTATACGAGCCTTTGACTGCTGAATATCTTTTTTCTATGGTGCTGAATCTGTTCAACTATTTTTACTCGAGTTTTAATTGGTTTAAACAAGTTGAATCTACGGTCGCACTCGGCTCAGGCCGAGTTTCGGGTCTGTGCGTACACGCGTCATCATCTGACTCATGCTCTTGACTGAGTCTCCTAAACGCTGATGAGTGGCTGAATCCTGTGACTTTGGTCCTTGAGCTTAACCATCATCTAGCGTTGAGCACTCACTGCTTGCGCACCCACTGCGCCTTTAATTTATTTACTGTTGAACTGTCGTGTTACACTCCACTTCCGTCGTACCTCCATGACGAGCGATGCCCCAGTCGGAACATCACTTACGGGACCCGGAGTCTCAGGGTCTTCAACTCAAACCGACGTTGGCAGAACGTCTTCATCCCAACAAGACCTGGCGGAGAAATGTCTTAACATCGTTGAAGACTACAAGCACAGCCTCATCACAAAATCTGAGGCATTTATCTCTATCGCAAAGACTGTCACTGCCTGCACCTCAGAAGCCACAGACGAAGCGGAGTCTTTTATCGCGAATCCATACTTCAGCATGCTTGAAGACTGGTCCAAGCGGCAGGATGACACCAGAGGGTTTGGTGAGCACGAGCCAGATGTTAGACACCAATCCGAAGACAGGGAAACTCTCCCTCCTAGAGAGATTGAACTTGAGAGAGAAGTTAGTATCCAGCGAGGTGAACCGGCTCGAAAGCGAGGCAAACTTGACCTCGCCTGTCTCGTTCGAGCCGAGCAATCAAGTACAGGAGGTCAGCTCTCCGCAAACCTTACAAGAACTAACGAAATCCTCCTCAATTGGTCGCAAGACCCCAAAGAAGTTCGACGCCGACTCATGTATCACCGATGCAGCCCGGAATTCCATGAAGCTGGATGGGCAGAAATCGTCGCAGGCAAATGTGTCAATCTTGACGCCGTACACTCCATCATCTCCTCGTCATGCACCATTGACAAATGTACCGAGACTATCGGCGACATTGAGATCAAGTACGCAGGAACATCAGAAGCAGTCGCGAAGAAAATCACCACCGCAATGCAATGGACCGCAGCCTGGAATAGGGCTGCCAGAGCCATCAAATTCGCGTTCCCTCATCGAGAGGATGAGCTCGCTACCTATGGAGAATATATTACCACCAGATTCGACCGTACGCTCGAACGGTCACATGAAAGAATTATCAGGTATGACAAAGCCATCAGGAATAAAGCCGCAAACTCGCGCAGGGTTGAACTCTCAGACCTCGCCTCCTTCATTGACATCTACGAATCTCATTTTCAGTCAGATGGTAGACACCACGACGATGAAAAGCAGACCAAGCCCAGCGCATCTTCGCGGGACAAAACTACCTTCAGTCGACGTGAGCCCTGTCGCAAATGGAATGCCGGAGACTGTGCTCGCAGTGCGGGAACCTGCCATTACGCACATGTCTGCTCACATGAGCAAGACGGCAGATTATGCGCAAGACGACACACGGAAACGAAGCATTTCGAGGAGTCTAAGCCCAAACCCACTTGAACGGCCATTTAAGCGCCCGCGTCATAGACGGGGCCTTATATGGTCACCAACGGATGTTTCTTTCAGTCCAACTGCGCGGTCAACTGAATATGCTGATCCTGTCCCCTCACCTCCACTAAACGAACTTTCGGGCAGTGATGCAGCTCGGACTATTGCACGCAGACCGGACTTGTTTCGTATCGTTACGCCTATAAACGTTGATCGGTTCGAAGACCTTCTCTTGGACCATCCAAACCAACCTTTCGTCAAATCCGTCTGCGACTCTTTACGTCGGGGTTTCTGGCCATGGGCCGATACCTCAGACGACTCGTACCCATCCACTAACGACAATTCCACGCATACATGCTCCAAATCTAACGAGCAACAACAATTCATCGAGGATCAATTGCGTGAGGAGATACGTTTGGAACGAGTATCAGAGAGTTTCGGTACCGAGCTTTACCCTGGTATGTATAGTGTGCCGATGCACACTGTACCCAAGCCACATTCTGATAAACTTCGCTTGATCGTTGATCACACTGCGGGCGAGTACTCACTGAACTCCATGATTGACAGAGATGCCATCAAAGGTACCAAGCTGGATGGATTGCACTCGCTCGGAGCTTCGCTGCTTCGCTTCCGTGAACAACACCCAAATGTCCAGCTGGTAATGTTCAAATCTGACGTGTCGCAGGCTTTCCGACGTTTGCCGATGCACCCGCTATGGCAGGTCAAACAAATTCTGACAGTCCACGGTCAATGACACGTCGATCGTAACAACAATTTTCGTGTTAGGGGTTCGCCAAAAGTATGGATTTCGTTCATGTCCCTCGTAGCATGGATTGCTATACATCGTGCCCTCATCGACGCGCTGAAAACTTACATGGACGACTCATTCTCCTTTGAGGTCGCGGGTTGTCTGCTATATTATCCTCCGTACGACTGCTATTTTCCCGCTAAACAGACGCGTTTACTACAATTATGGGACGAACTCCGACTTCCGCATGAACGCCCCAAGCAGGTGTTCGGTGCACCATTGACTGTCATTGGCTTCGATGTCGACCCTAATTCCATGCAAGTATCCCTTCCTGTCGACAAAAAAGGCGAATTGGTTGCAGAATTGCGCCGTTTCGCACGCAAGAACAGTCGTTGGTCGCTTCGGGAGTTCCAACGACTCGCAGGGTGGTGCGAGTGGAGCTTTAACGTTTTCCCACTCTTGAAACCTGGTCTGTCGGTTCTATACGACAAAATCAGGGGAAAGAACAATGCATTGGCACTCATTCACGTCAATAACGCTCTCATCGACGAGCTACTTTGGCTCGCCGACCATATTGAACGTTCTGATGGTTTGCACCTCTTCAAATGCGTGGATTTTGATCCGAGGAGTGATGAAGTCGTTGTCGCCTATACTGATGCTTCCAGCGTTGGCATGGGATTGTGGTTTCCAGACGATAATTTCGCATGCCAATGTCACTTGCCCACCGACACCCCTCACGACACAATTTTCTTCTTTGAGGCACTCGCTGTTTGCTCCGCTATTCATGCTGTTGTCAACATGGACGAAACCCCATCACAACTGCTCATATACACTGACAATATGAACACAGTCGCTATGTTTGATTCACTCCGCGCGAAACCCGTCTACAATTCACTCCTGCGCTCCGCTATGGATATTTTGATCACCTACCGTGTTGACCTGCGCGTGGAACATATCCCCGGTCAGCAGAATGTGATAGCAGATGCGTTGTCCCGCTTTCATAACGAGCTTGTCAAAGATCTCGTGCCTACCGCTCTAATCTTTGACTTCGAACCCCCTCGGGATGCGTTGGGGGCGTCGAAAAAATGATCCCATGCGCAACCCAGTCCAGGCAACCCGTACGGGAAGCCTGGACACTTGAACGCTTGCAATTCGAGCGTTCTCTGGCCCTTGGTTTCGCTATCGAATCGACCACTGCGTCCGCGTACGATTCTCATTTGAATTCCTATCTTAACTTTTGTCGGCTGCACAATCGCCCAGTCCAACCAACAGACGACACTCTCTCTTACTACGTCGTCTGGTTATCCCATTACATTGAACCATGTTCGGTCGATTCCTATCTGTCTGGCATCGTCAATCGTCTCGAATCACATTTTTCAGGCGTACGAGAAGCACGAACTTCTTTGCTCGTCACGCGCACGCTCAAAGGTTGCAAACGCCGCTTATCCAAGCCTGTCCAGCGAAAACAACCACTTAGCCTCGATGATCTCTCCCTCGTGGCTGACGCTTTCGCCTCTTCTGTCGAGTACAACGACATCTTGTTCCAAACGCTACTCGTTACCAGTTTCAAGACTTTGCAATGCTTAGCCGAACTGTGCTGGCCCAACGCCGTTAAACATCAATCCTATCGCAAAGTCCCTCTGCGGCACTCTCTATCATTCACAAATGGCTCAGCGAGCTACACTCTCCCGCACCACAAAAGTAGTAGTTTGGGTGTTGGTTGTGAGATCTTGCTTCTCGGCGAACCTCACGCTAGGGTAGATCCATTGAAGCTATTCCATCGGTACGTTTGTGCTCGTGACGAAAAATTTCCACACCATCCACAGCTCTGGCTCACTTCAGCTGGAACTATTCCCACACGTGTGTGGTTCATGCGCTATCTACGGCGTTTCTTCCCGCCAAGTATTTCTGGGCACTCCATGCGAGCTGGAGGAGCAACAGCTCTTGCTGCAAGCGGCGTTGCCCCTGCGCTGATTCAGGCAGCGGGACGCTGGTCTTCAGACGAGTTCCAGAAATATATTCGCAAGCACCCTTTTCTGCTTAACCTTCTTATTCATGGTTCACACCTTCCGTAACTCATTAGGATCGACAGCTCAGACTCACTGCATCATTTTTCGCTAAAAGTCTCCCAAAGGCTCAATCACCTCTCCGTCCCAACGACTCATAACCCAAATTGTATTCAACGCACGCACCCCATCCCAACGACTCAATCATAACTACGTTCAAAACAAAATTATAAATTATAAAAAAAAAATAAAAAAATAATAGCCTTATAGTGGTTTTGTCGAGCTTGACAAATCAAGCTCGTTTTCTTGCCTCGCGAGGTCGTATCCGTGTACGAATTGTTCTTGCCTCGCGAGTTTTGTCGTGTCTGTGTACGATATACGTTTTGAAGCCTCTCTTCATGTACGACGAGCTGTCGGTCTTATTCCTAGTGTTACAAATTGATTGCGGGTCCTCCAAGCTTCAAGCTGGAGGATCCCGGTTGCCTAAACTCACTCAACGAGTGCCATTGGACCCTTGTGCAAGTTGATTCAACACAATATATATGCACACATACACAAAGGATTTACACAACACAAGTCGCGTAACTACCGTTGCCGAGATGTATCAGGATGCTTTAGGATTAGCGTGACTTCCCGTTTTGGTAACACCGCATGACGATGAAATGCTCGAGCTCGCTGTTGAGGACAGCGAGCTCAAATAGTTGCCTAATCCTTCACCCTTTTCACTAGTTCTTTTGAGGGAAAAAAATCACCTGTAGCTTAACTATGGAAGGCCACCAGATATCCATACGGGAACCAGGCAAGACACTTGAAGCTCACTTTGCAGAAGAAAAGTACCCCCTTTTTTTTTATGAAAGCAAGAGAGACGTGGCATTTCCTGGTGGGGAGTCTGTGGAAGATCTGGTGAGGAGGGGTGAGAGGGCAGTGAGGGAGGTTGTGCTGCCGCATGTGGTGAGTGTTGCGAGGTCGGGGAGGGACGAGCATATTGCGCTTGTGAGTCATGGGTTGTGTATCGTGCAAGTGGTGGGCGCAATTGTGAGATTGGGCGGAGGAACATGGAAACGAAAGGGACCCATGGTCAATACGGGGTGGGTGAGGGTAGAGGTACAAATTCAGGTGAGTGTGGCGGACATTGATTATGAGGTGGTGTTCACGGATGGTGCAGGGCGGGATACCAGTGGAAGTCGGGGATGGCGAGGTTCCTCTGGTAGAAGTGATAGTGATGGATGAGGGCAGGGCAGATCACCTTGAGGGCCTTGTGTGTTGGTTTCGTTTGTGATGTTGACTGACTGACGAGAACATGACTGACAGCTCGATGGAGGCCCACTTCAAGGCATGAAAGCGATTATGGGTGGAGGATTGGTGGTGGAGGGAAAGAACGCGAATGAGGCGGAGGCTATCGCACAGATGTCTAGTAGGAATCGGGTATAGAGCTTGCCACATATACATTTCAGATAATTGACGCATGCAAGTACTGCAGTGGCCTGGTCACTGTCTGCTGCTTGCCCATGGGAGTCGAGAAGCTTGATCGCGCACTCTATAAATAGCGCAATCTATCGAGGACTTGCCTCATAGAGGGGCTGGTCACCAGTCTAATAGCCCAAGGCAGTGTTACTTAACCACCAGCAGTTTTGAAAATGCCTCACTTTGAAGTTTGAACGGGCGGTGATGAGACCCAGATGCATATGTGGGCCACTGTCCGACGTGTGAGATTTTACAGACATTTGTGTTTGACAAAACCCCACTACCTACGCCCAAAATGTACACTCGCCAAATACGGAGCCGCTGGGCAACCAGGATGTTCTATCGCATGTTCGTGGCCTCGCTGTTGCCCCTAGCTTTGCAATGGGCAACGACTGGAGCTGCAGTGCTGGTTGTGTATTTTACTCCGACTGTGGTAAGTATTTTGATATGCATTTATCTGCACGCGCTGCTTATTAGCGGCACATGACAGGGCCTTGGTTGTAGATCTCGCGGCAATGGAGTCTATGGAAGGGGAAGGGTGCAGTGACCTTGCTGTTGCTAAACCTACCTTTGTATCCCAGGCTCATGGTTTTGGTTCCATTCTTTTCCTTCTTTGCTTTCACACTGCCCTAATTCTTATACAGTCCTTCCGGAAAGTCTTGACTCACGTGTTCGAAATGGTTCAAAAATAGTGAAAATGTCGAAAATTCAATTAAATCACTTTCGAGTTTTGTATGCCTCTGAACGGCTTCAAAAACATAATATCTCACACGTTTGTCACTCAGACTCGTCATGGTCTACCAGAGGATCAGTCGCGATTGAAAAGAACGAGCCCTGTACCTGCTTTTGGAGGAAGGATGGGACATTGAGCGCATTGCTGTTGCTCTCGGAGTATCGCCAAGAAGCATAGAGCAGTGGAAGGTAAATTATGATGAACATGGTCATATTAACCCTCCTACACCAATCATGGGTCGCCCTCGCTTGCTGGATCAAGTTATGACAGACGAGATCCAAGAGCTGCTAGCTGAAACCCCGTCACTGCTACTTGACAAGATTGGCGAATGGCTCGCCATATACCACGATCAGCCTATATCGACGTCAGCTCTCCACGAAAACCTCAGGGACCTTGGTCTCACCTACAAACACTTGAGAAGGGTCGCGGCCGAACGTGATGATGGTTTCCGAGCTGATTGGTTGCACAACATGACAACCAACTATACAGCTGAGCAGCTTGTGTTTCTGGACGAGTCAAGCAAAGATGACCGCACCATACTCCCTAGATATGGTTGGTCGCTCAGTGGACAAGCCCCCTTTGATAGGGTCAGCTTGAACAGGGGCATTCGATACAGCGTGCTGCCGGCTCTCACCATCGACGGCTATATGACTGTCCGAGTCATCGAGGGATCTATAGATGGCGCAGAGTTCTACAATTTCGTTGTCAACGACGTAGCAAGTATATCCTTTTCAGTGTCTGAATTTTCGCTGATCGAATCCGCTGCAGTTGCCCAATATGAACCCATTCCCGAGCCCCAATAGCGTGATTGTCCTCGACAACTGTTCCACTCATAAGAGTGATGCCATACAAGAAGCTGTAGAGGCATCTGGTATGCCAAATGCTACTTTACTTCGCCTGCAAGTATCTGACACCTTTGTAGGTTGTTTACTTATATTTCTGCCCCCATACTCTCCGGATTTCAATCCGATCGAGGAGAGCTTCAGTTGCTGTACGTTCGACTACATTTCATTTTATTCTGTCGCTCACACTTCCATTACAGTGAAGAACATCAGCAAATCAGTTCACTCTGGACAGTGCCGGACAGTGCCGGACAGCCCACAAGGCCCACAGCTTGGTCCCAACTTTACAGAACCCCACAGAAGGCTTCTTCTTCTGTGGGGTTCTGTACAAAACACTACATAGCACACTACTGTAGTCAGAAATTACCTATGTGTCTTGAGATACCAGACAAAATCCTGTGGATTTCCGTGTACAGAACCCCCAGAGCGCAGTGCTGTAGTCAGAAATTACCTATGTGTCTTAGATACCAGATGAAATCTTGTGGGTTTCTGTGTACAGAACCCCCAGAGCGCAGTGCTGTACTCAGAATGTGTCTTAGACACCAGATAAATTCTCTGTGGGTTTCCGGTCTCACTGGACACGAACAGACAAAAATTCAAATCATATCCAGCATATGTTGATTAGATAACAGATAGCAGTGCAGTACATCATGTGATAACGCGATAGGTAGAAAACGTAAGCGAGCTACAAGCAGGGGGAAATGAGCGACCTCAATCAAGCAAGATCTCGATATCAGTGTGGTGGGACATGTTGTTGCCATCGAGTTTGCAAGACGCCGCCCTACATGAATACAAGTTAGTGTGCTAGACTTGTTGGAAGCAAGAGGACTTACCATCCAGCCTCAGCCCACGATTGGAGCTGCTCGACCAACTTAGGACCATGGTAGGAATGTTCAATGATTTCTTGAAGCGACTTTAGTGCAGATGCATAGGTTGGGCGATAGTCCTTGGTGGTGAATTTGGGGAATGATTTTCCATTCCCGTTTTTTGCGAGGCCGTCGAGAACGCAAACGAACTATGAAACGAGTTAGTTTGTCATTGAGTGTGAAAATTATAAAAATAAAATACCGCAGCAGAGACCAAAGCCAAGCATGGCAAAGGCAACTGCATGCTGAATATGTCTGGATGTCTTCGAGCGATTCTATATGGTCCAGTGTACATGAACACAATGATGGCATCGCGGAGTGCAGGGTTGGCAAAGTTTCGTGTTTTTCCCTGCAGTGCCATGTTATTTAAATACTTATAAAATTATACGGGCAGCATACCTGTTCGTCCACACCATCGTGTAGAAACTTTGAGCCCTTCTTTAAGTCAGTAGCCACACCTTCCACCCACAAAGCATGTTCTTGAGGTGGGATATTTGACAGGGGGACAAGGCCAGGCATGGCTGAGGCAATCACAGCAACGTTCTTCTTGAGCTCAGAGCGCCAAGTCGAGAGATCTTCATATAACTGGATAACGGGAAGATGAGATAACAGCGAACAAAAAGACTGGCGATATATACTTACGAGTTTCGCCATATTGGGCTTGTGAATAGGCCAATAATCTGGTACTTGGGTCAGATACACATGCACTAGAGAAGATCAAAGCTTACCAGGTTCAAATTGTTTACCGGCTGTATCCCACTGGTAAAGAACAGCTAAAAGGGCCTCACTGACAGAGCCTGCCGAGTCTTTAACTCGAGCTGGGAACACATTCTCTAGCACATGCTGGGCATGACACTCTTCTTTTGCGTCCTCGAGGAAACTCTTCCAGTGGGCTGGGTAGAACACCAGCTGCGTAGGCTTCGGCCCATCAGATGAACTTTTGGATTTGGCTGATCGCTGAGTGTTGACTAGAACCTTGTTGTTCTTCGGATCCTTTGTCGTGATCACATGGCGTAAGAGCTCGAGGGAAGCTGGGTCGGGAAGACGGGGTCGCCTGTTCTTCTTATGATGGCGATTTAAAATGTCGTCGGCTACATCTGCAGGCTGGAAATGAAGTTGTTGAGTGCTTGGGGGCATGCCACCAGACGGACATCATACCTGAGAGCTGTCAGGTTCCTGAATACCTTGAGTTTCATTGTTAGAGACATGTCGAGCACCTTCCGAGACGATTGCATTACTTGACGGTTCGTCAAAAGCTAATGTTTGCTCAGCGTTCATGTCATCTTCGTCGCAGGAGTATTGAAAGTCGAAGTCGGGAGGAAGAGTGGAAGTAACATGGACTGGGGAAGGTTCTGGTTCTCGAGAAAACCCTATGAAATAATCAGGGTGACCATGGTGAGCATCATATGCAAAAAGGCACTTACCTGGGTGTACATGATGGCGCTCGCCAACCTCAGCCCAACCAAACTCCCTTTCACCAGCATTGTTACTGTCATTAGAATCATCATCGTCTTCGCCACCCACACTACTTTCACCAGAGCCTGAAGCGTCCAAATCTTCGGAGTCGGATTGTTGCAATGAAAGGTTGGTCCCAGGTTCAGAGCCGACTGTTTGTAGGGACGGGTCCAAAGAGTCCTTGGAGAAAGTCGGAACAATGCGCGCAGTGGACGAAGGATGTGAGTCTAAGGTAGCTGAAGGTGGCACTGATCGTGGGGCTGGCCCACTAGAAGAAGACTGATGGCCTCCAGTAAGGCTTTGAACAGCGCTGCAGGCATGATTCTTGGCGCCTTTCTCGGCCATCATGGGGTCTACAAAAGAATTGTTAAGCACTTGTGTTCCAGGTGGCACAATTGGTGGGCTGCCTTGAGGCATTTGAAATCCAAAGCGTCCGCCCGTTTCGCAGAGTGATAAACCCAGTTGCAATGATTGATAGCTTGACTCAATGCAGGTGATGTCCTGAAATAAAAATGAGCGCTTGACTTAAATATGATATGATGTCCTCACCGGTTCAGCTTGCGAGTCAGGGACAGAAGACGTCTAGTAGAACGATTGATCATTGTATCACCAGGAATGAATAAAGACAAAATTGCTCACCTTGGCTTTTTTCCCCTTCTGATGGGAACTTGTGATGGTAGAGCCCATACCGTTTGAGGCACTATACGGCGGAGGAGGCTTCTAAATATTGAACATCAGCCCCAACTGCACGGTTGAAAAATTGAGCTGACCTGTGGACGGCTGACACGGTTTCTTCAACGCGGTTCTGGAGCAAGAGGGTTTGCTGAGATATTCGGCGCGAGGGTCGTAGATCCCTTAGGTTGGCTTGTCCACGTTGGGGCCACCAGAGCTGCGCCAACTTTCTCTAGTTGAGCATTCCTTCCTCCTGTACCTGCACCAGAACGACCAGAACAACGAACGGGGGGAGCATTGACATCGGAAGATAGCTGTAGTGACACCAAACCAACTTCATCTTCTGTCCGCACCTTCTTTCCTTGCCCAGTGAGCGCTGGGACACCAGATTCTGCAACTTTGCACTTTTTCTTCGTCCTTTTGGGGCTAGATGTAGCTCGGGGACGAGGAGGCATGATTGAACTGGCAAAGGGTAGGAACACCTGGCAGAAGGAAGATAAGCGACAAGACCCAGAAAAATTCACTCAGCTCTTAAGGGAGTCGACCCAACCAAGCAGCATGTCACACTTGTAGGCAGTATGACTCGACCAGCAGTGTAAGTGACCGCATTCCTGCAGGAATATAGTTGAATGGAGGATTGCGTGAGGAGAACGAGCTCAATCATCAGGAAATCGACCCGAAATTGATATGACCGGATATAATTGGTAATCAGCAAACATTATTACAAGTCATGTTTTAGCCTTAGATATCATTATCATGGTGTCACACATATATGAACTAAGATATGACTATGCAAGACATGTCACCTTGATGTATCTTGGCTATCAGGAAATCAGCACAAACTTGTTGTTCCTAGATTTAGTTGACAAACTCAAATCAACAATCCACTGAATTATATAAGATTATATACAGAGATAAAGCTTGATCATAGGCATGACAACTTGGTATTAAATGAACAAACATCAGTCATATTACTTGTGTGCCTGAACTTTCTTGAACACACCACTTTCTAGTATTTTGCTTATAACTCACTAGGATCTTAACCAAAAAATGTCATGAGACTATGGAAAGACTACCCTTCACAAGGGCTACAACTTTGATTTTCATCGGAAAGATTCCCACGGTCTACCCTAGTCATTCCTTATCTTGGTCCTTAATCAAAATCCTAGTCCCTAATAACCAAAAACTCGAAATTTCATCAAGTCTTTCTTTACTATTGTATTCCTGTTGGTATTCTTAGTCTTAATAAGCAAACATCAGTCACATTATTTGTGTGCCTAAACTTTCTTGAACACACCACTTCGTAGTGTTTTGCTTATAACTCATTAGGATCTTAACCACAAAATGTCATGAGACTATGGAAAGACTACCCTTGACAAGGGCTACAACTTTGATTCTCATCAAAAAAGTTGCCACAGTCTACCCTAGTCATTCCTTATCAAAATCCTAATGTTGATTTTCATCGAAAAAGTTGCCAGTCTACCCTAGTCATTCCTTATCAAAATCCTAATGGTAGAGTATTATATTAGACTTAGAAAGTATCATATTTTATTTTAAGTCCAATGGATATGGTATATATGTCAGTTGCTGCCTAGATATATACAAGGTCATGTAGTCTAATGGTAAGTGATGCTTGAAAGTGTGTGAATTGATCAGGTGATCTCAGGTGGTAAGTTGTAAGCTGGAGGGTTCAAACCAAGAAAGTGGCATAAATTCAAATAGAAATAATGATTAGTAATTCTTTTATTTTACTGACCATAATATCGAACATTATACAGGCCAATTGTGTGACAGTTTTGTCTGAAGTATCCTAGCATTATAATACATTGTCAAGGATGGCAGGTGTTTGCAATATGTATCATATTTGTGCCTTTGGTGGTTTCTGCCAGTGGAACCTGCCTATCTAAAGCTTTGTCTGGCCAAGTGCAATTATGATAGATATTATATAAATTTTATGATATATAAAGCTTTATAAAGCTATGTCATTGTCGAGTCAATTTCCTGATGATGTTGTAACGTTAGTCATATGGGACGTTCCCAAAGTTGTGGGAACAGCTGCGATGAGTCACTACTTCTGAGTTGAAGGCAGGAAGGGGTAAAACATGTAATGAATACTACAATGCAAAAATGTAAACACTTCGCGAGCGAAAACCATATACTAAGTAGCTGCATACACAAATGAAATCAAGATTGACAACAAAACCGCCTAGCTACCCCGAGTTCGATGTCTTGTTCCTCTTCACAGGTTCAACAGTCCACTCATCATTCAGACCTCGCTTCTTCACTGCGGTGCAATCCAATTCCTTTTCCCTCATGATCTCTCCTGATGCATGCACATCCTGCCTATGCTTATCTACCAACCTCTTGCGGAGCAACCGTTCAGGGGCCAGCTCAGGCTCGCCCTTAAGAAGTTCAGTAATGTGTTTGTCCAGGATCTTGAGCAGTGCATCGAATTCAATGGGTCGGTGGAGAACTTGGCCATCAACAGCGCCGATCTGAACTGGAAAATTGAGCCTCAGGAGGTTCATCCACTCCAGTGCAAGCGGAATAAGATCCTTGAAGTAGCCGTCAAACTGCGCTTGGAGTGCAGCTTCGCCTTTGCCCACTGTGTAGAATGCAACCTTGTTCTCAAAGCACCCCCCGATATTCCGGTTGCTCCCCACATGCGGAAGCCATGCTTTCGAAGGGTTCAAATAGTGTTCTACACCAAGAGGGCCGCTGTACTCGATGCAGATATAAGTGAAGACGTAAAACAGCGATTCGAGATCATCTGAATAGTCTTGCTTGACGAATTCGATTTCCAAAGGTGACGATGATGATGCCCCTTTTTTTGCGGTGTGGGAGATCAAGATTTTTTTCACTTGCTGCAGGAGCCGCTGCGACATGAACGGAATTGTGCCCTGCAAGTTGAGTCAGTAAATTTACTCCTGAATCAATGATCCACTTACTGTTCCACCAATAGCATATGTATTCTCTGGTGTGATAGTCACAGTGAATTCCCAGTTGATCAGCATTCCAAGGCTATTACCATTGGCATCCTCAATCATCGCATTGTGGAGGCTGCAATTGCGGTGCAAGATACCCCATCGATGCGCTTCCTGTTGAACTGGGAGAACAATCGCCAATTAGTATCAACATGTATATCGCGAAGGAGGGATACTTACTGGCCACAATGTCGCGTATAGCTTGAACAAATTCCAACTTTGTTCGAAATTTATGCAAAGGTCACCCCCGGGGCTTCATGACGAGCCGAAAATGAGTGTGCCAAGTACCGACTAAGCTGGGTAGCTCTTGATATTGGTAAATCTTCGTGTTGTTGACCTCACCAGTTGAAAGCTTAACCTTGCTGAATTCTACGAGTTCTGGGACGCCACGGACACCCTGCATATTCTTCAACATAGCAACCTCATTCAAGATATCTTCATCATCTGCATTCCCAAGGACCCAGTGGTCCTTGATGATGTACTCTTCGTCATCTTTTCTAGCCAAGTAGCAAACGGTGCCACGACCAACCAGGCCATGACTTGAAAATAAAACCTCCAGGATGTCGTACCAGTTGTCATTGACTTGAATTTCACCGATTGGCGACAAATTCAGAGGAATGGAATGTTGGGCAATAAAAGGAGCTAGCGAGGTGGGAGTGGCCAAGGGAAGCAGTTCAGAGGGGAGTGTAGGAAGACCAGTCCTAATATCGGGCCGCTCATCTCATTCAAGGGAGGGGAAGGTGCTTGATAGTAAGGAATCACCGCCGAGAGTGTCTAGGCGACGTGAGGGCGAAGGTTTGTATGATGATGCTGAATCATATCCTGACTCGTCCGACTCCTTGTCCGACTCCTCGCCTGACTCTTTGCCTGACTCCTCACCTGACTCCTCTGACTCGCCTGACTGCTCGCCTGATGCTGCATCTCCTGTCTTCGCCCGTATGACAGATTCACTGGGGGGGTCCCTCTTATTCCGGACACGCAATCTCCTAGGAGGAATGGAACGACGGGATAAGACAGGGAGTTTGAGCTGTCGAATATTCATTGTCGTATCGAAACCGATGCACTCGCCGTTACCGAAGACAATAGCTAAGAGGATCTGTAGAAATTTGTTCTTCTGTTGGCTGATATGGAATGGAGGGGATACGGCAGAACCAGAGTGGTCGTATACGTGGACACGAAGCTCGCGATAGTGGCACCCCTGGTTGTAGTATTAGACCTAGTAAAATGGGAACTACCAGTTTTGCCATAGACACTTTTGACGGCAATTACCAGCAGCGCAATTTGACCTAATCCATGGCATTTGTCAGGCCCTATTTTGCTGGGTGTGTTGGCTTTCACAGCCGCATTTTTTGGATTTTTGAAACTCAGCTATGTTTTCAGTCACAAATGTGTTTTCCACATTTGTCAGATGTTTTGGTATGTTTTATTCTGCAATTTTGGCCTCCAAAAGCGGAAATTCACAAAACACATCCTGTTTTGGTCACCTCCTCATGTCAGGCCTCCCCACATTATTCCCACACTCCGCATTTTCGCATTTTTAGTCACCTACTGTGGGAATTACCCCACAACACCCAAAACATCATCCCAATATGGTATACCACATAATTATAATTATTCCCACACCCTCCCCACCTCACTGCAGCTTCACCACTACACCACAATAGGTCCCCCCTTGTATCTAAGTAGTAGTTTGGTATATACATGTATAATATTATATAATAGACCGCTTTTTTTGTCAATTTGTGTGCCTGCTCATCCTCCAGGGCCTTTTTCAAACAGGCTAGGGTACAGAACATTTTCGCATTTTTGCCCCTTTGATAGGGGGGTGTTCCAGGACATTCAGAACATATTTATGAGCATATATGAGTAGATTCCCATCTTGATTTCACCCCCTGAAGTGTCCTACATCAATAGATATAGCACATATGCAAGAAAACACAGAATATGTTCTCATTTGATTATTTCTAGGTGAACAGCCTTGTAAAAATGATTCACAGCATCTATTTAACAATAGGAACAATGTATCAGGAGCCCAGGACCATAGGATAATTCCCTGTTGCATGGTGCCCCCCCCCTCTCCTGGTGATTTACCCCCTGTGAAAATTTTTCCTGTAGGACCGGACCTCAATTGAGGTAGGGGGTCTATTCCTATGTATATTTGAGGTAAGTCTATCATATAGCTGACCCAGGACACACATAGGATCCTGCTACAGGAACAAAAACATAGAAAATCGCATTTTTGACACTTTTGATGTTTTTTTAGTCCCTTACACTTGCACAAATGACCAGACCTGCTCATATATGATCAGTAGTACATTCACAAATATGTTTTGTGCAAAGGATCAGCCCTACATAGGGTGCAAATGTGATATATAATGTACAGGGGCTTTTACTACTGATAAGAAGCCTACATAGTAATCAAGCCTGTGATAAGTAATCAAAGACCTGGGATATGTCCTATATATGCCCCTGATGATAGATTTGAAGATTTAGAAAAATCCATCAAGGACTGACTGAATGACAAGTAAAACCACACATGTGTGAAAAGTGACAATTGACATCTTTTCACACAAAGTTACATTTATATATGATACAGGTCAAATATTTCATTAACAATATGTAGGATACATTGTAGACTACTAAAGGAACATATACTACATACTGCCCTGAGGTTGAAGGGTGGTGGAAGGGATGTGGTGTATATCTGAGTTGACCTAGCATTAAAGTGCTACTATTGCTCAACTGACCATTTTCGATGTTTTGGGTCTTTGAACTTTCCCACACTCAATTTCTTATCTATTTCACTTCCTCAGCACTCAATTCTTGTAGGATTGTTCTGTACATTTAGGACTGTGATACCGAGTATATTTGAAATCTACTCCAGGTGTCTGATTATTAAATTTCGATGTATTGAAAGTATGGGATCCTTATCAGTAGAAATAGCAAGTATTCACACTAACTCAAACCTCTGGCCTATTTTGAGCTGATCCTTGTCACAAAAAGCAAGTATATATACTATGATAATGATATATGAACAGGTTGTATTATTTATGCAAGAGTAAGATACTGAAAACATCAAAAGTGTCAAAAATGCGATTTTCTATGTTTTTGTTCCTGTAGCAGGATCCGGTCTATTCCTATGTATATTTGAGGTAAGTCTATCATATAGCTGGCCCAGGACACACATAGGATCCTGCTACAGGAACAAAAACATAGAAAATCGCATTTTTGACACTTTTGATGTTTTCAGTATCTTACTCTTGCATAAATAATACAACCTGTTCATATATCATTATCATAGTATATACACTTGCTTTTTGTGACGAGGATCAGCTCAAAATAGGCCAGAGGTTTGAGTTAGTGTGAATACTTGCTATTTCTACTGATAAGGATCCCATACTTTCAAGGCACACAAATTGACAAAAAAAGCGATCTATTATATAATATTATACATGTATATACCAAACTACTACTTAGATACAAGGGGGGACCTATTGTGGTGTAGTGGTGAAGCTGCAGTGAGGTGGGGAGGGTGTGGGAATAATTATAATTATGTGGTATACCATATTGGGATGATGTTTTGGGTGTTGTGGGGTAATTCCCACAGTAGGTGACTAAAAATGCGAAAATGCGGAGTGTGGGAATAATATGGGGAGGCCTGACATGAGGAGGTGACCAAAACAGGATGTGTTTTGTGAATTTCCGCTTTTGGAGGCCAAAATTGCAGAATAAAACATCTGACAAATGTGGAAAACACATTTGTGACTGAAAACATAGCTGAGTTTCAAAAATCCAAAAAATGCGGCTGTGAAAGCCAACACACCCAGCAAAATAGGGCCTGACAAATGCCATGGATTAGGTCAAATTGCGCTGCTGGTAATTACCATCAAAAGTGTCTATGGTAAGAATGGTAGTTGCCATAATACGTAGGTCTAATACTACAACTACGGCTGATAGTGGTTGCATAAAGATAGCATCAGAGTGAAGCGCCTCCAGGGCTGGTGCTTCAAAATGATATACGCCTTGGTATCAAGGGATTTTGCGGCACACTTCCCTGGCCGGTACTTGCTGCTCGTTACCTCAGCGACGACCTTGATGCCTGCCCACCCAGGGTCTGGTTCATCTGACATAACAATGTCAGGTTTGCGGGGGATGTCTTCTCCCTTGATTGGGGTGGTTGAGTGGGCCCCACTCCATATACAATTTGCTTGCTTAGTTTTGAGTCCACTGTGTTCAGAAAGTGCCGCCGTGAGGGCGTTCAAAAGCCCTGCAACTACGTGCTCAGTAGTCAAGTTACTAGTAGAATGGGAAGCACTGCCTCTGGGCACCTGACTCCCCCCCCCCCCCCCCCTCAGCTGTCCCTCCTCGTATTTTTTACCCTTTTTATTTTTGCGCTGTTTTGGAGGCGGATCCGGCAGCCCCCAGTTCCACATCTTCACCTTGCTATCCCAAAGCTCCACAGAGTCTTTCGGTTGAAGTCGACAAAACTGATTATCAATCCGCTCGTTACAATATTGAATCTGAGAGAGAGGGATCCGAAGATCCTCTGCACGAGGGGCTTTCACCTTGAAGGATTGAAAAATGATGGATAGAAGATGCCCAAGGGGGGCGCTTCGTTTGATATGACTCGCGGGCTCCTCAAGGACTAGTTGATTCAGCTCTTGAGTAGTTAGCTTGTCCATCATCAGCACATCATGAATTAGAGGAACTTTGATGTAGGATCCCAGTTTTATCCTGACCGCTAGTGTTGAGAAATATTGTTTCTGTTTCGACTTTGTTTTTGGCTTGGATGATTTGGAGGGCATTGTACTCAGTGATGATGGTCAAAGGTTGGCATGGGAATATGTGCAAATTTTTCTTATCTCTTATCAAACTCGACTGCATAAAGACTATATACGTAGTGAAAAGCAATACAGATTGTTCCAAAAAAACTACATTGAAAGAGGGAAGTAAGTGCTTTTGTCCCAAAAATGATTCAGCCATAACTCCGACACATGCTCGACACTATTATAAGCAGTAAGGTGATTGTCTGCGGCGGCACCAAACCAAGGAACTAGATTAACGGGTGCGCGCAGTTGTGAAATTGGTACAACATCCCCCATACAAGTCCCGTTAGACCATCTTGCCCTCTTGAGGACATGCATCTGCGTAGTTGGGTTGCGGACACCAATGATGTCGAAGCGATGAACGTAGCTAAGGAACTGATCTCGCCATGCCCAGTGTGCGCCGGTCTTGCCGAGGGGGTGAAAAATGAGTCTGATTTGGGCGACAGTGTGTCCTGAAGGATGAGGTTGATAACAGGCATTGGGAAAGGACAAATGAGTGTAGTATGACTTGCCTTGAAGACTGCTAGCAGGCCACAAGTGTTCCGCTTGGGTATTGACAATGATTGAATCATAGTGTCCATATGTCCAAGGTTCACTTGGCGGCGCACAATTGAGAGTCTGAGCTGGCCGAATATTGTGAACATTGTGAAATTCTGTATCTTGCAAGCAAAGTTTAAACCATACTTGAACTTTCTCAAAAGGAAGCGCAGCATGATCTCTCGTTTATCACATCCATTCTCGATGCCAACCCATCCCTATTTCTCGACGAAATTCAAGAGCAACTCCTTGAAGCACGGAATGTGGAAGTCTCAATTGCCACACTCTCGTGCAGCCTTCGTCGGCTTGCAATCATGCACAAACAGACATCGAAGGCAGCAGCAGAGCGAAATGAGTTGCTCCGTGCAACCTGGCTGGCGGAATATGGGCACTTGCCAAAGGAGTATTTCGTGTGGATTGATGAGTCTGGGGTCGACAACCGAACAAACCGGAGACCAGATGGCTGGGCACCATCTGGAAGGGCATGCGTGCGACGGATGTCGTTCATACGTGGTCAGAAATTTTCCATCCTCCCAGCACTTTCTGTAGATGGTGTCATAGCTCTAGACATTTTCGAAGGTGCAGTCAATAAAAAAAAATTCATAGGATTTCTGCACGAGCAAGTTGTAAGTCCAATTGTTCTTCCGAGTCTTTATCTCTCGCTCAATAGCTTCACAGGCCCCCAAACTCACACCATTCCCAGGTCCTCATAGTGCTGTCGTGATTGATAATTGTGCCATTCACCATGACGAAGATGTCCGGCACATAATCGAAGGACTCTGTGGTATGTGTTCTGTAAAATGATCTTCGCTGTGAAAATTAACTGTTGTTCGCAGGAGCCAAACTCATATATTTACCCCCATACTCCCCCGATCTTAATCCAATTGAGCAGACATTTCACTCAATAAAATCTTGGCTGCGTCGTCACAAGGCCAAGGCCACTTCCATAGATGCTCGACCTTGGCTTATCCACCAGGCAGCTATGTCTGTTTCATCCGAGGATGCAGCTGCCTGGATACGAAACTGTGGTTACGAGTGATGTGACATTAGACAGATCTTTTCAGTATCATATAGGATAACTATTCTGACACCGAAAGCAAGAAAAGTATTAAAGAGTGTAAATAAATGAATGTTATTGAAGGATGATTGGCCTACTGCAGACGACGCCTCTTAACTTGAAGACGGTCATTCCACTCTCTCGCAAACATCTGGAATTTCAGCACTCGACCCTCAACAACATCCATTACATCAGAGAGATGAGCCACTGGCACTTCGCCAACAATATCGGGAGTCAAGTCAAGGTCGAAAAGAATACTTCCTGAATCGAGGATATTGATCCCTTTAGCCTTGAGGAAATCACCTAGACATGTTTGTATTTCCGTGCCAGCAGCAGGAGTTGGGGAGAATGGAGAAGCATCACAAGGACGAACCGGAGTGGAAGGCACTGGCAAATTAAGAGGTACAGCCTCAGGAACTCTTGGGGGTGCGAGTCGTTCCGTAATGAGTGGGATCATGGCAGCAAGAAGCATTGTTGTGGCATCCTGAGAGCCAGTTGAACTCAGTGAAGAACGTGGACCCGTACAACCACGTGGCTTGACAGCATCAAGCCGACCATCACGTAGAACATCAAAGTCAACCGTGTTTGGTGGCTCGTGCTTGGTGGCATCAGCAGCAGCCTGAATGTGACATCAGTAATGAGAAAGTCGTGAGGGGAATCAAATTACAATGGCAGCAGCCCATAGCTTCAATTTACGACTGTTTAATCCCAAATGCTCGCCAGTCGAGGCGATGTAGCAGTGGCCAGGTTCGCCATGCTCGCCGAGATGTTTCTCGCATGACCACTTGTTCTTCAGCTGCATGATAATAGCACCATGGATCTGAGACTCCTCTGAAAACGAGTCAACACGAGGCACCTAGGACGGGTAAGAATGTGTGTCAATGACCATGACTTGGACTACCTTGGTTCCATATAGAAGTTCTTCGTCCTGACGAGTGACTGTATCACCATGAGGAAGAGCCTATACAGCGAAATAGTCAGAGTTATCCCAGCTCGTTCATTACAACATACCCGTTTTCGGATTCTGAAGCCGTCCATGGTATCCACGTCGAATTCTACATTCACAACACAACTGTCCTTCTTTTTCTTCAAAAGAGCAGTGCGAGCAACATCAAAATCATGATCATTCTCAATAGTCAAAGCACCTGTCTTTCCGCCGCTGTGAAATTTTTGTTCAATTTACAACACAGCTACTATAGAACAATTTACCTCGATCCTGTCCACCAGAATCGGAATGCTGGGCCAAAATGAACGCCAGGGCTATACTGATCATCGAGATCATGGACACGAAGGAATGCTGTAATAAACTCGACACGAGACATGGTCTCGATGCGGACGTGATCAGACTTGATGGTCTTCGTCTTCTTGGAGGACAACTTTCCACGACCATTGCTCGATGAACTCCTCTCGACGACCAAAACGAGCATAGTGACTGATACCAGGTGACCGGCACTATCTAATGAAGCCAAAATATAGTCAGTGAACCACATGGTGCAAATAAAAAATATTATACCTTGAGATACACTGATCTGCTCGCCTGATACTGCAGACGGAAGGACCTGAGAGGCGGCCAGAGGTGTGCGATTACCATTTTCAATAGCGAAGTCACTGTCATCAGCTTGAAGATAAGTGTTACGACAAACCTCCTCAATTTCTGCATGTGAATGGTAGAAACAAGGAGGGTTAACACCTCCATCTATAAGACAATCAGCAATGAAACTAACATTACAATATACCTTACCAATCCATGCAGGATTCCTAAGCCAACCATCTGACGGACGAGGCTCACGAGGCAATGGGACATTTTCCTTGTCAGACAAGAAAGCCCCATGGCGACGAGGAGTTGGTGACACCTCGGTCCATGATTCTGCTGTCTCAGCACGCTGCATTGTCCAAGACGAGAGCAGGAGTTGATAAATGAGTGTGAGGATTGAGGGTAGTTTATTCACAAAGATTGTACCCACCTTTTATGCAGACGGTGAGACGACAAGATCTGTTCAAGCCAGAACTATTCAAGACAAATTAGTTAGATATGCCTCGTCAGCTGGTCAAACATAAATCAAACTATACCTTGTAGAGAAAGTTCACGTCTGTCAAAAACGGGCATAGTTTGCCTGAATACAAGAAAAAAACCTGCAGGGAAGACGGGAAATTCAGGCAGTGAGTTTGTGCACATATTGACCCTGCCAAAGAGGCCGGAGCTACACTTCAATTGGGAGCCTCATGCTCAACATTGACTGCATTTGGATGTCATAAGACCTAAGAATGAAGATTGTTAGCTCGAAGGGGGACAAGCAGAGTACATACAGTATTGCTGTGCGAAGCTTCGCGTCTGCGCAGCGTGACAGTGGTTGCTGTGGTTAGGGTTAGAGGTTTGGCGGAGGTATGTTCAAAATTTACACCCGCCAAATACATACAAACATATTGTATCCAAATCAAGCACTGAACGTTTTTATGCAATGCACTGTACATTGAGATTCACGCTGTTATACTGACAAGCCTGTGACAGGTTCTGTCGTCAAGTTGGGGGATAGTCATGGCATTACCGTTCAGCTAGATTGATGTGCTCGAGACACTACGTTAATTTAATTGTCGCAGAATTTCTGTAGTACCTTGTCAAAATTTAGCAATAGTGTTTTGTACCGCTTATTAAATTCAAGTGTTTGACTGTAGTACTGTCCGCACTGTGAGCTATTGTGCAAAATAATTGTCTGTGGGGAAATTTGACTAGCTAAGGAATTAAATTACTACAGACTTCGAGCAACTGGCTAGTTCTGTCTGTGATTGGAAGGTTGTGCGAAGTATGTGTCTGTGCATGTATGTCCATTGTGGCGTCTGTCCGCACTGTGAGCTACTGTGTGAAAAAGTCTAAAATAGCATTATCTGTGGGGAAATTTCCAGTTTGCTGATGAAGTGGCTTTGACGGCATTGGAGAGATCTCCAACACAGCCAATTCCCGGAGCAGGACCTTTGTGAAGCTTGCTTCAGGGCCATAAATGCCGAAAATGCTCGAGGCTGGTATATGCATAGTGGCTATCTGTAGCGCGGACAATATTACATGGAGGGGAGTAGCTAATAGTCGTCGGAGCATTCAGTTACTGTATTAGACATAATCTAACATTCAAAAGAGTGACAGTTATGCTTTTCTGCTCGACTTTGAAAGAGAGTGGTGCAAGTTTGCTGAATTTTCAATTTAATTGAATTTTCGACATTTTCACTATTTTTGAACCATTTCGAATACATGAGTCAAGACTTTCCGGAAGGACTGTATACCAAATAGCGCAAGGTAGTGCTCAAAATTGGTTACTTAACTGCCAGCAATTTTAAAATGCCTCACTTTGAAGTTTGAATGGGCGGTGATGAGACCCAGATGCATATGTGGGCCACTGTCCGACTTGTGAGATTTTACAGACATTTGTGTTCGACAAAATCCCACTACATACGCCCAAAATTTACATTCACTGAATACATACAGCCCAGTTTGAACTGTATTTGCGTGAGAGTCGTGGAACCAATTGTGTGATGTCATAAGACTGCCCAGGGCCAAATATTGCTTCGAATTCCGTGACACTGCCTCCGCCTTTAACGTTACTTCCACATGTAGTATATAGAGCGTCCAAAGACTCCCAATCAGGATTACGATTTGGCAACAGCGCGTCTTGACACCGCTATAATTAGGCCACAGCAGTCCCCACTATTTCTCGAGTTATTAAGTGACCTAGCGATATAGCATGACTCGGATATCCACTTATCTATCTGTCCTCTTCAAGTTCTCGTTAATGTGGTGCTCATCATGGCCTTGCACTATTTTCCAGAGGTGCGCTTTGAAAACATGGAATGATATGCTGCCATAAAACTGAACTAACACACTAGGCTTTCACGTTCAATGGGACTCCCGGTGAAAGATCACTGCGTGACAGAGAACAAGTGCTCCCAGAATCCCTTTGTTACACATCCTCCATAACGAGAGTACTCTGTTTTGTTGCAATAGGCCGCCCCGATCTTGAAGACCATTGGGAGTCACTGCAATCCGATGAAGCATTCGAGAAGGTGAGGGGCAGCCAGTGCTCTATCCTGTCCAGCACTATCTCCGCAGTAGGCTATTCAACTCTCTGCAAGTTCAAGCCGGCGCTAACGTAGCCTAACGTTTCAAAAGGCGAGCCTGCTTCTCACGACAAGTGGTATTTTCGTAACCACTGGCTCTCCCGTGTCATATCTTGAATATAATTCACCTGCAACCTATTTCCTGCTCTTTATGTCACTCATGATGGCAATGATTGCGATGCTCACATCTGGCTTGAACATGATCCGCTGGCTACAAGCCGATCGGCAGTGGACTCGAGAAGTAACCGTTATTCTCGCTTTACTCACTACATCGGCTGACCTCTTGTCAGCAACTCATGCCGGGCGGCTACTTCCTCCTGTCCTACCTGTTATCGATCGTTATGCCCATACTATTTGTTGGCTTGTCCTTGAATTGCTTCATATTTGGTGAGTTACCCAGTAACCGGATGCTCTCTTGAATATTCACATATTTCTCCCGCAGCGATGTTGGTAGCAGGCTTCTACTCCCAGAACACGGTCTGCTGCATACTCACCGCAGTCTGGCTGGTCATATACGTCGTCTAGTACAACCGCAGCTCGGCTACGGCCCGCTCCGGCTTGGCGTTCATTGGTTTGCAAGTATTTTGGCTATCCAAGTGAGCCAGGCTACTTATGTATAGTTTGGTCTGGTTCGTTAGCCGTTTGGAGTCCCGCGAACCAACTGTGAGCCAAAAATAATCAACAGCGGCTCGAGCTGGCTTGAGGCCAGCTCAAGCTGATTTATAAATACGAAATCACGTCTCTGTTGAAGTCTCATTCCCGGTTAGTTTGACTGTTGCTCCTCGAGGCCCCAAGGCTCAAGTTATCTCATAGTATACCCACCATGAACCATAAGGTCCCGATACGAGTTGACGGTAGATTCAGACTCGGAGATGTTTTGGGATCTGGTTCATACGGTGTGTTGTTCACAAGCTGACTATGATTTTTTAAAATTAACATACTATGGACCCTACTTAGCTGTTGTGTACCACGCTCAGAACATCATCAAAGATGATGCTGTTGCCATCAAACTTGAATGTATCACAACCCAGCCATCTTCTGTACAGCGCGAATACGCCATTCTGAAACGACTTGAAGGTGGCGTTGGGATACCTCGCGCTCTCTGGTTCGGTCGAGAATCAACATATCATGCTTTGGTTCTCGGCCTCCTTGGGCCATCACTCCAAGATCTTTTCCTCACACATAATCGAAAATTTGGCCTTCATACTGTTGTCAATCTAGGAATCCAACTGGTAAGTCGGTTCGTGCTGGGTTGTTGCAGATAGGCTAACCCATTTTCCAGCTCTCACGTCTTGAGTACATCCACTCGAACAATTATGTTCACTGCGATATCAAACCACAGAATGTCTTGGTGGGCCTTGGCCATTTGAAGCACACTGCATTTATAATCGATTTCGGTATCGCGAAGGAATACTGGGACACCGCAACTAGAGTCCATATTCCCTTTCGTCACAATCAACGTCTCACTGGCACTCCTGCCTTCGCTTCAATCAACAACCACTTAGGAGTTGACCCGGGTCGTCGCGACGACCTTGAATCGCTTACATACATGTTGATCTATCTGTTACGCGGCTCCCTTCCATGGTTAACTAGTGACCACGAAAAACTCTCCAGCTCTTCCATACTCGAGCGCAAGGTCAACACCACCATTGAAGTCTTATGCGATGGAATTCCCGTTGAATTTGCAAGTGTTCTCATCTACACGCGCTCTCTTGCATTCTCGGAAGACCCTGACTATGGGCATCTTCGTTCATTGCTTTGTGGTCTTCAAGCCACCTTAGATGTGCCATCTACATGCTCGCTGGATTTCAGCATGCCCGATAATCACATCACACATCACCCTCCAATCTCCAATGGACCCTGGATGGCCGAGGCTGGCCCCATATCTGCCGGATGCAACACCACTTCGCAGATCTACTCGTGTGTGAGTATTCTGTCTCGTTTTCCCATTCACAATCTGAAGCTAATTTTGATTTCGAAGTTTACACCAACGTAATGCCTCTCCCATGCACCCAACTGCACTGCGGAAAAAGCCATTAGTTGCTAGATCACGCTGTTGAATATGTCTTTCTATCTCTACATAACTGTACAGTGTACAAGTCTACAATGTGTTTCTCATAGGTTTCAAACCGTTCAATGCGGTCAAATATATGTCGACAAATGTGCGTCATGAACCCTAGGCCTGATTCCCGACTCCCGAGGGCCGACTCGACGCTGAGTCACGCAGCTTCTTATCTTTTTCTCACCCTACCATCTCCTTGCCCATCCTCCTTGCAACTTGCAAGTGCTGTTTTTCTGCAAATCAGTCGGTCTGCTACAGAAACAAACCTGTCCTGGATACCTGTACCTTACTCCTAAAGCCTGAGTCCCAACATCTACCAGTTTCGCCTTATTGGATCATATCGCTATCATGATTCATGAGTCATTACCAACCTCCTGGATAACGCATGGGGGATTTTCCACAAACACCCCACTCCCCTTCCACTGTATCGCAATTAAATGCTCAATCAATCAGTAATCAACTCCTGGATTGAAGGTAAGCATTAATTCCCTTGACCCATTGGTTGATATTTGAAACATGTGTTCAGTGAGCGTCAAACCACCCACCCTGACAACGATGGCAAACCCTCTGCAAACATGAGATGTCCCTTTCACTGGATGTCCTTGCTATATCGCAATCTGGCTTCTGGACAGCCAGTTGAATCTGAGGATGTAGGTAAGCTTTACTGTGGCTCGATATTAACAACTGATTGCGAGATCTAGGGTACATCAGAACGCACATCTTATAGATCGGTATCCCTCTCATTGGGTAAGTAGTGGGCATCGGGGAAACCCCACACATGTATTGTGCTGCCTAGGACCACTCGAATGAACAAGATCTTACGGTATGTACCCTGCAGTTGTCCTCCTGGTGCCATATCACAATTAATAATGTTGTTCAGACCTTAGCTTGTGCGTACATGTTGGACTTGTCATTAGTTGACTCGGCACTGGTGTTTCCCTGCTATTTCCCCTGACGAAGATACATAAAGACCGTGTCTTTGAATCTTTACTGTCACTCAAACATGCCTCCTCGTCGACGAGGGCAGAAGTCTCAAGTTTCCACTGTGCCTACTCATGCTGCTCTAACTCCTACTGCCGCTGCTCCAATCGATGCTCCCCCCATCGTTACCCCCCATCGCTGCCGATATTGCGCCCATCGCTGCCACTGTTGCGCCCATCGCTGCTGCTGTTGCTTTGAATGCAACTATGCTTCAACACCCCCAAAGGCAGCGGCAACTGCCTCTGAGGTTCCGCAATAATAGCCCAGTTCGTACTGGCACTAGTCGCACACCAGATGATGGAGAATACATTGACATCGGCAATGTCTCCGGGGATGAAGAAGATAACTTGCCTGCCCCCAACGTTGGGGCTCCTCCAGTTCCCAGCCCTCTGCAGACAGTCACTAGTACTATCTACTCCACCCAAGTCGATCCCTTGGCTACGGGTGTCCGAGGAACGCAGCCTAGAAGCACTGCTGATATCAATCACTTCTTTAGGGAAGATCCAGCCACTAAACGCAAGATTTGTCGAATCTGTGAGTGAGTTTTGCGTCTGCAATTATTTCATTCTTTCTTACGGCCTTGTCCAGGGATTTGCAGAAGGTGGACAGTTCACACCAGGTTATCTCGTATAGGAGCACAACCGGCACTTCTGCCCGTCATACTCATGCTTTCTATCACCACACTGATGTTTTCCTGGAAGAGGCGGAGCGCCTATGCTGGCCTATCTTCATACAACCACTCAATGAGCGACTTGCTGAAGGGTGGACTTTGGCAGCTATACGTGACAGGCTTAAGGACCCTGCATATCACATTGAGTCGCTCGGTACCATCCCTAATCAGGGACACGGCAATTTTCCGCCTGGAACCACCTTTTCTCCGGAGGATTTTATCCCAGATTTCAGCATTGATGAGATGCATCGTCAATTGGTGAAATTCATAGTGGCAGACGATCAGGCAAGTTGGTATTACTTTCTACATGCCCTTGCTAATTCATTTTCTGCAGGCAATAAACATTATTGAATGCGTTGAGTTCCGACGCCTGATACATTTTTTGCGCAAGGATTTGACCGATTCAGACATTCCCCACCGCACAAAACTTTGTGAGCTCATAATAATCACGTGGCAAGAGTATTTCCAGGTGTTGAAAGGTGATCTTGCCATGAGTGTCTAGTTATCGAGAATCCCGCCATACATCTTATGTATTCTTACAGAAGGTGCAAGGAAAAGTATCCTTCACATCTGACCTCTGGTCTGATCAGAAGCTCCGCCCCTTTATGGCACTTACCGCTCACTGGATCGCCAAGGAAGAGCGGACATCAGTACTCGTCTTAAAGGCAGCATTAATTGCATTTCATCACGTTCCAGGAAGTCATACCGGCAAATCTCTTGGTTCAGTAATACTGCACCTCCTCGATCGTGCTGAAGTTGCAAAGGATGTGAGTGTTCAGCTGTACCGTATGATGTGCTCTGACTTCGTTTAGCCTGGACACTTCACGTTGGACAACGCGGCCAACAATCAAACATGCATGAAGGAGCTATCACATTTACTCGAAGAACGCAACATCGAATATGATCCAATCGAAAACAGAATCCCATGTTTTCCGCACGTGATCAACATATGTGTGAAACATATTGTTGACGACTACACGACAGCGGATTTCTCATCCATGGAGAAGACCTGGAATGTTTGTGGTCAAATCATCGACAAGAATGAGTATGTCGGCGCCATCATCGGTAAAGCTCTCGAATGGGCCAGAACTCTTGTGCACACCATCCATGCATCAAACCAGCAACGTTCGAATTTTAGGGATACCATCGTGATAGGTAATGAAAACGATTGGTTCCAAGGAGACAAAGGCGAGCCTATAAAGCTCCCTGAAGTCGAACTCCTGCTCGATGAGCCAACCCGCTGGGATTCGGTTTATGTTATGCTAAATCGTCTATGCAATCTACGTCAGGTGAGGTTTCATCTCACTGAACATTTGTGGTGGGCTAACCATTGCCCAGGCAGTTAATATGTTCTTCGATTCTCCCAATCAATGCTCTATAAACGACAAAAAGTTGAGTCCAATAGAATGGCATTTTCTACAGGACTTCGAAGTTATTCTGGAGGTCAGTATCAATATCTTCGTAACTTATGTCACATTTAACATTGTCATTTCAGCCCCCCCATAGAGCTCAGCAATCCATGTTGAGCGAGAGCACTCCCATGTTGGGTCGTACGGTTCTGGTGTTTGAAAGGTTACTTGAGGATTGGAAGCAGGTGGCCAATAGCGCCCCGCACTGTGCACCGCTCATCAACATTGGTTTGACTTGGGCGGAGAAGTATGATGACAGGATGTCCTCCACAAATGCATATGCTGTTGCGATGTGTAAGTCCCTCACATTTTTATTAAATTTGATGTCTTACGATCGGTTTATAGTCATGGACCCCACATGCCGAATGTCATGGGCCACAGATCATTGGGATGAGAACCAGGTAAAGTCAGCAAAGGAATTCATTCTCAAGCTGGTGCGTCTATCTATCTAGCTTCAGCATGCGCTCATATGTCCTGTAGATGCATGTCAAGAGAGGACAGTGGACCTCCAATATGCCGGCTCCAATCCAACGACCCTCGAGACTACAATCACACACGCTAGGCTCCCGTATCTACGGACTTCGTGAGGGGGATGCACTGCCGGTTTGTGACGATATCATCCAGACAGTCGATCAGGAGTTTGGGGCTTATAGCACAGCTAATATCAGCCCCAAGGGAACAAACATACTCTCCTTCTGGCAGGTGAGTCTTGTCTCCGTCAAGTGTTACAGTAACATGGCCCCCCTATCTTTTTCTCACCCTTTCACCTTGTCACACCGTCACAACCATCACCTCTTCACGATTCATCATGATGCTTGATGCACACTTCTTGATCCCCACCAACCCTGACCTTCTGTGACAGAAGCTAGACGCTTCCATTGAACCCTTGATCTTCCGCCTCACGGCCTGTACTTCTATTTCCCTTGATCTTCTCATGAACCCTGATCCCTGACCTCATGGTCATATACCCTCGACCCTACCTTCCTGATATATCTATCTTTAGTTCCTTGACCTGCCCTGAACACCGTTCCCATTCCCCTATATATAGTTGACTCCATTGTACTGTATTTCCCTAACTTGAATCTACTGGGTTTTACCTGAACGATTACCTGATCTCCTGATCCTGATTACGAACTGCTATACTCTTGGATCGCTATCCTTGAGTCGACATTACCTTTTGATTCTCTTAGACTATCCGTCTTTGAGTCGATACCGATCTCTCGCCTAGACTTCATAGTCGACAGCGAAACCCTTCTTTGGCTTCGCCTTAGAAGCTTACCTATCCTTTAGTCATATCCCGACGGCTAAGGCTATCGGGTATACTGACATTCCGACTCCTGATTGATAACTTAGAGGACGTACTCTCTTTGTTAACCATCCCAGTTCGAACACGACTTCTGTCGTAACATCAAGTGATGTATTTTGTTGTTGATCACGAGGTTTTGACCAGGTGTCTGAGGGGATGTTCCCAACGGTTTACGCCATCGCTATGGACTACCTCCCAGTCCAATCATCTGCTGTTCCCTGTGAGCGAGTGTTCTCGTCGAGCAGCGAAACATACACGAAGAGGCGTAACTGCATCAGCCCGATCCTCATGGAGGCGCTACAGATGGTGAAGTTCTCCCTAAAAAAGGAGCAATTAAATTTCACCAAAGGCTGGGCGGCATCGCAATGGGCCATGGAGACTGCGGTGGTATCTGACAATAGTTCTGATGAACTTTTGGGACCCGTCTCAAGTGGACCTACAGATGACAGCCGTGCATATGACGCCGTTCTCAAAGCCATCGCAGAGCATGAGTGCGATGGCATCGACGACGACGTTATCGTCTATGACACTTGATCGTTTATCTTTGTTTCTCACTTGTTGTTTACCATCACACACCTTACGATTCGTCTTGCATTGTGTTTGGATATTGAATTTCAGTTGTTTTCTGACAGTCTCCTCGTCTATCCTTGATATATGTTGAGCTCGAGGATCGCCCTTCTCCTCAGGTGAAGCCAAGTTGTTGGGGATTCCGTCTCGGGCACCACCCCGCCCGTACCAGAGAGTGTCTGTTGGCACTATATCCCCATTATTGGATACCCTGTGAGTGCCCCCTATGACTATCGCGAGGCTCTCGTTCATATCATGGTCTTGTCTTAGGCTCACTTTCTGACTGGCTTTCACAGAGTTTTGCCCCCCGACGATGTACTACACAACGATTCCACTCGTCTCTGAGAGACCTAACAACAGGCGCTGGGATGCCTCAAAATTGCGTGAACTCCGGAAGAGGCTAGATTCTGGTACGATGAGTTGCTGGTGACTTTTTGGATGGCGAGATTGTCGACTTGGCTTCGGACTGGCTGGGCAACATGGTAGGTATCCCCACACCGAGTCCGGTTGCTGTGGCTCGTAAGTCATCGGTGCCATCCCATATGCCATTCACACTGCAGGTGGCGAAATCAATCTGATGCTGAAGTTCTCAGCGAGAAAGGACGGGGACAGGTGCGCGTTTCCATCATGCGTGACGACATCACTTACCTGACTCACCAACGCGCACGGGCGACACATTCAAGAGATAGAGACAGTAGGTGATTGTTTGGGCCATCCTTTTGCAGGTCAGTGATTAGATTCTGGATGCGGGTCCTGAAAGTAGCTCGATTGACGAGCTCGCTGTCCCAGAATGAAAAGTGCTAGTTCATTTACGCTAGGATCAGTCACAAGCAGCCCAACAATGACCTTCTCAACCACCGCTTATACAAATTGCCATGGATCTGCTACCGTCACCATTTCATACTTTGGACAATGGGTCAGTGACACATCTCTAGGCAGTGTGATGCCTACGCACGCAATCCCAGCGCATCCCCCTACTCCCGCCTTCCGCGACCAAATATCTTCATCATCCAACGCCGCCACCTCAATCTCCACGGCATTCTCCTTCCAGCTCTTCGCCCCGATGTGCGGTGTTTCTTAGCCACACCTTCCTCATGCAGTTTTCGTGGGCGAGAAGCGCTGCACATTTGCTGATTTATTCAGTCTTAGAACACTAACAAGTAAACCACTCACCTCATCTTGGGGAGACATCAGCGCTAATTTGATTGTAGATCAGACTGATCAGTGTGTTGGGGAGTTGACAAGATGCCTTCCCTTTTCGGCTTCACGTACTTAATTTTTGATTAGTCTAAATTTATTTCTAATTTATTTTTAACTTCAATTTAAAAATATATTTGAATTTTAAACTGGCTTTAACCCCTTAAATTGACTGAACTACAGTTTATCGAGTCGAGTCGGACCGTAGATTATATAAACCGAAGTCACGTGCTAGCTCGGTTATTTACAGGTCCGGCTACGGCTAAAGCCGGCATTAAGCCGAACTTGCGGCAACACTACTCATGCCCCTCTTCCTCTTCATCAGAAGACTCTACAAACTCAGCGCTTTTGGGACCTTCCTGCAGCTGGGTAGAGTTCTTCTTTGCTCTCTTCGAAGGCCTGTTATTCTCCTTGTTTAGTCTGGACTACGTCTTTGATATTGTTAAGTGTTTGATGTAGTCAGACTGGTCGATCTTGGAGTGATTTGGCAGGCAAAGTGAGGAGTTTGAAATTTGGCAGATGCCGGTTGTGCCGCTTTGGGTAGTCATTGTATTTGGACAGCGCTGACCACACAAAGTTCCTTCATTCGCATCGTACAAAGCATTGTATGCCTCTAACTGATTATAGTGCATCTAGGAGCAGTACTAAATGTTAAATAGGACAATCAAATGATACCTTTTCATGCACTATACCCACCCATGATGCGGCCTGAACATTTGGCTTGGATGGTCAATCCTTCCAGCCTGGACGAGGAAGGAAAAATTCTCGCTGTCCTCAAGATACTTCATGGATTGCGGATGACGGTCATGGACCTCATGCTGCACTCAATCTCGCAAAGACCCTCCATGGCAACTTGGAGGGAAGGTTTTTTTCGGAGCAATGCACTTGTGCAATTTCTTAATGTGTTGGGCACCGACGAGCGAGCAAGCAAGCACCTCCGTGTCAGTTTGCGACCCCTTGCTATCGCAATGGTTATTGATGAGGTTGACACTGAGATGGAGGCCGCTAAACATATTTTTCATATGTCATCGAAAGACATCACCCCCGAACTACTCCTCTCGATTAACCTCGACACATTTTTGACAGAGCCATTACGAGAAACCACTCCATTGCTACGCCATGTCCTTCTGTCAGCTATGCAGACAGTGCGAGCTGCCAAGGAGAACAAACATCAGAGTGCTGAGACAGTAAGTGTTTAAATTTCATTTTTGAACAAAGTTGATAAAAGAATGAATAGTGCTGTACTGTGATCGAGTCCCAGATTGCGAACATTCGCTCCCAAAACAATCTCGCCTTCCAGATGATCCACGGATTATGCTTATTCAGTGGTGGTTCATCGCGCAAAACCATCGATTTGCTCGCACACTGTGGACTTTCTCCTGCCTACGACACATTACACAATGCTCATGCCACCATGACTGACGGCCAGATTCAGCGTGCACGTCTAGTATCTCGTGGACCGCATATGATCGGATGGGATAACATCCAAGTATCCACTTCGATTCACGTTGAACAACGTCCCTTAGCTCCACCCAAAGTCCAATCGGGCACCACAACTATTATCTACCCCCTTCGTAACACAACAATGCGAGACATAGAGCTTCGACCTATACTAGAAAACCGTGCTAAATGCAACCTGATTACATTCGTCGAGGACGTCCGGCCTACACGTTCGCAAATGTGTGATATGTCCGAACATATGGTCCTTGACATCATTAAAATTTTAATCGACAATCATCCTGGTTTTGAATATCTCGCGAGTTCTCCAGCATTCAAATATCACTCCTACCGACCACCACCTCCGCAATCAAAGACTCAAGAGTATGTGTTGAGAACCACAACAAATGACGAGTCCACCACTGACGGCAACATTAAAGTTGCACGGAATGCATACCTAGAGCAGCTCGGATTTGGCCCACATGATCTTGATACCCAAGCAATTCCTTGTATCAATGATCAATCAACAAACTCCCGAGTTCACAGTGCCCAGCTTTTGCATTCAGACGACATCAGCTCGATAAATCGTATGGAGAACTTCCAACTTGCACCTGGCTTCTTCCACGTCCAACTCAATCTTATCTGCGTATTCTGCATATGCATCGTGGTTCGATAGAAGACACTGGAGGCATGCAGTACTACATCTCATTGCTGGGAAGGGTCAGACTGGGTGCTGAACATCCTGATTATCGCACTCTTGTTTCCTTCGCCACGCAAGTACTCGTAGGGAACACACTCCTCTATTGGGAGACAGTTTCAAAGACATGTCTTACGGCTCTCGCCGAAGCCAAGCCAACATTCGGGGAAATGAAGTCCCTCGCAACCAACATCTATCACACCTATGTTTCATCAAGTGCCCCCCGTCAAATCTCGGGAGTTGACCCAGAGAGTGAAGACGGTATTCTTCGCAACATCATCCTCCTCAACTGTGACCTCCTCATCTTCTACGAGCTCGATCTCGCCATCTCGTCAGGTGATTTTGGCCGAGTTGAAATTTTCCTCTGTACTCTCACAATGATATTTGCTGGGGCTGGCTGCAAAAATTACACAACGGAGTTACTTCACTTCATCCAGAACCTCAAGAAAAACTGGACTTCCAAGTTTGTGTAAGTTGTATTCCTTTTTCTCGAAGTGCAGCTCTCACAGATCCTTTTATCTAGAAATGTCATGCATGACAACATGCTCATTAACATCTCCGGTCGTGATGGTCATGCTGTGGGTGTCGACAAAAATTGCAAGCAAAACATCAACTTTCAAAAGGTATAACTTAACTAACAGACTCAGAGTATGATCTATACTGACAACAGGTCTGTTTAGAATTGGTTTGCAGCGAAGGGACTGCACAGCACTTGGGAACAGCTCGGAGACTTGGCACCGAACATCCCTATATATCGTCCACTCAGACGTCAGTTTGCCAAGGCCATGGGAAGTTTGTGGGGCGGGACTACACACACGACACCTAACAGCTCAATGTCCATTAAAAAGTCATGTCAAAAGCGAAGGAGAAAAACTTGCATGTCTACACACCTGGTCGTATGGCCAATAGACGTGTGAAGGATCTCCTCCTTGATGGGAGTGCACACTTGAGATCAAAAGGATTTGACACATTCACGAAGGGCTACACAGCATGGGTAAATAACAGTGCAGCATTTCCAGAGGAAGAGGATGACATCAAGGCTTTGATGATTCGAAATGCAGTTGAGGTGCATGAGTAGCGTACAATATTTAGCAGTCCCATTCTAATATTCTAGAACCATCCATGCCTATCAACTTAAATGCCCTTTTCTTTGGCTGCGGGTTTGGTGACTTGAAAACAGATTCAGAACGTGGATGTCGAACAGCAGCAGAAAGAGGAAGATCGAGATCCGGTGTTGCACATCGACTGGACTGCGGAGACGATGTGGGGTTGTATGAGTTGACTAGTGTTGTGTTGTTCTCCGACTCCAGCTCGAACGGCATCTGATTGGAGGTGAGAGGTCTTTTACCTGCTCGTGTGGGCTTCTTTGGGAGGGACCTGTTGTAACCATCAATGACACTGTGAACCTGCTCGCCATAGGAATCTGCCCATTCGCTGCTCTCCTCCAGAAACGAGACCACGTCAGCAGTTGATTCAAAAGCAGCCTCTTCTTCTCGTGCGAGCTTGCTTATACTCAGATCGGAAAGAACCCATTCATCTAGCCAGCCTTGAGTGATGTCGTCATTGGAGAGGGCATTCTTCCGCCAGGCTTGGAGCAGTTCTTCCAATGGTGGGCGCTGCTTTGTTGGACGGTATTTTTTGTGTGTCTTCTTGGGCTGGGCTTGTAGATGAACACTTTTTGTTTCCGAATCGAGTCTAACTTGCAGAGCGATCAATGGTAACGTTTGTCCAGGCAGAAAGTAGTTGATGTTCGTGGTCGTGTCAAGATGCTGGTCGCAACAAAATGCGCTGTTGTATTCGAAAGCTGCGCTACCAGTGTCAATGCTCAGCTCAGTGAATAATCTCTCTTACCTTCGGCTGTCGTGTCACCATTATATTCAGCTAGGAATTGTCGACGGCACGTAGAAGTGTTCACAAAGTCGAGCATAGCTGGATCGGTACGTCGCTCTTTTGCCGTAGGTTTCCCTTTGTGCAAGACTTGAGTGTCGTTGGTGCTCTTGTATGCCCACTTTTCCACGATCATCAAGACATGACAAGGCCCCCGGTCCCATCCGCCTCGTCCAGCCCGCTGTTCATGCTCAGAGACATCGATAGTGATACCGAATTGGACCACGAGCCGTATGTCGCGGACATTGATTCCCTGGAACGAGGTGAGCACAAAGTTAGCTATCAACTAAATTAAATGTTGTCCAGGAACAGTCACAGCGGACGCTCCCGAAGTTGCAACTATGCCCTGAACAAGCCCATCTGGCTTTCGGAACTCGTCGAACACCATTTCGTTGTGTTCCACGGACATGCTGGAATGGAGGTGCCGAAACTTGAATACACGTCGAACTGCCTCGGGTAAGCGAGTGTTGAGATATCTTGCGACAGCCGCAGTACTGAGTTTGTGATCTATGAATATGAGGGACTTCGGAGGATAGGACATTGGTGGATGAAACGGCTCGGACACAAGAAAATCGAGGTTGCTGAAATTTTTGATGGAATCGACCATGGGAATCACTGCATCACTGACATTGGGGCGGTTGGTGGTAAGCATGAAAGTATCTGTCTGATCCCTCGGAAGATTCAGAGATTTGATGATCCGCTGGAGCATTTCGTGAGGTAGAGTTGCCGAGAAGAGGGTGACGAGAACATCGACTGGGAATTGCAGCAGTACTTCGGCAAGCTTGCCATGTGCTGTGCGGAATGCAAGCTTCTCGCCTGGCTTGGGCTCTCCAGCTGTAACAATAAAATGTGCTTCGTCAATGAAAAAGAAACCAATCCATTTGATAAAATTCTGGTCCTTTGACATCAGCGCGAGACGTGGAATATGTCCACCTTCAGGAAAAAATTGTTCAGGTGTAACAATGAGGTTACGGAAAGCTCCTGTGTACACGCGCTGCAGGAGAAAATCACATTAAAGTCATCTAGTAGGACAATGACTGCACATACATTCCAAAGATTCTTGTCAGACGGAGTATCATGATTAATCGCGATTGTTACAGTAACATGGCACCCCTATCTTTTTCTGACCCTTCACCTCTTCACCCCGTCATAATGTCACACCTTCACCCCTTCACGATTCACCATGATGCTTGATGCACTTCCTGATCCCTGCCGACCCGGACCTTCTGTGACAGAAGCTAGACACTTCCTTTTCCCTTGATGTTCCCACAGAACCCTATCCCTGACCGCATGGACTCCTGCCTACTCATGCCTACCCGATATATCTTTCCTGACCCTTGTACGATTACCAGACCTGCCCTGAACACTGTAGTCATTCCCTATATATAACCGATCCCTTTGTACTATTATTCCTTAACTTGATTCTACTGGGTTTTACCTTGACTTGTATATTCTCTTGAGTCTGATCACGAACCCACTATACTCTTGGATCGCTATCCTTGAGTCGATACCTCTTTTCTCTTAGACTGTTTGTCTTTGAGTCAATACCGATCTCTCATCTAGACTTAACCGTCGAACACGAAACCCTTCTTCGGCTCTCGCCTTAGAAGCTTACCTCCCCTTCCATTCTGTCACAACCTGATGGCTTAGGCTACCAGGTATATTGACGTTCAAACCGATACACGATAAGATAGCTTAGGACCGTCGTCCTTCGCTTACCCATCCCAGTCCGACTACGACCGTTGTCGTAACAGCGATCGAAGGAATACTGTACTGCTCAAACTCCTGAACCTATGATTCACAAGGACAAATTTGATATTTTGACGGCAATAAAATTGTATATTCGCCATACGTGATCACGCTGCAGCAGTTTCAAAGGTGTGATTGTGATGGCTGTCTTGTCCGGAGAAAGAAGTAACGGGAGAATCATTGCGAGGGTCTTGCCGGAGCCTGTTGCAGCTCGAAGTACGACGTGTCTTCCAGAAAGGAACGATACGAGACATCTGAGTTGAAACAACTTCGGATGTTGTGATCCTTGGGAAATGAAATCGAGTCGCGAGAAGGCCTCGAGAACTTGCTGGTGTTGTGTCGTTGAAAGCGCACTCGTAAAGTCCGTCGGGAGATCTTCAATCGCATCTCGAGCAGCGAGCGATAAAGGTTGTATGGAACTCATGTTTGAAACTTAACATAGCATATAGTCTGAACGAGCGTATGGTAGACGCATAAGTTGTGCTACATACGATCGAGCACCGCCGGCACGACCGGCACCTACTAAATTTCAAACTCCTCGCTCCTCCTGCCAAATTTCTCCGAGATCGACCAGCCTGGCTTCGCCACTCGACTTGTCTGTGGTATTGGTAAGCCAGGCTGGTCACGAGCCTAGTCAGGCCTCCCTTGCCATGCATATGGCAAATTCGAAGCTGCCCATCTATTGCGTCTGTGGTTCGAATCTCCCCAGTGCCAAGCCTCCATTGAATAAACGGATTTTCCGTGTGTTTACTATTGGTTACGGCGGTGGACCCAATATATATATATGGCTGTGCTAACCGTATTACAATCGGGTTATGATTTGGGGCGGTTCGGTCAAGGCGGGGCAGAAGAACTTATCTCAGTAGGTATTGAAAGTTTCAGAGCACCCGTGCCGGTTCAACAGTTCTCATAGCGTTCGAGTTTCATTGCACACCCCACTGTTGAAGCCTAGGCGAGGTGTAAGTACATCGAGCACGTTACTCGGACTGATATGTGTGAAATTTTTCATCAAGACATGAGCAGAACAAAGTATTATTGTGTCTACATATAAACGACACCTAAAGGACGAGTTCAAGATGCTGTTGGGGTTGTCATGGACACCACTATCAGCGAAGATGCAGTTGAGAGCAGGTCGTCGCTCACAAACCTCGCGTGACAGTCCTCCAAAACCTCCAAAACTACGCCCGACATTCCTCTAACCCCCTTAAAAAACATTCCTCCAAAACCTCCCCAACATTCCTCTCAAACCTCGCGCAACAGAACATACCACGACCTCGTTACATATTCCGCCCGTGGACTCGTGGGGTGCGGAGTAAGCGCTACAGAGGACAAAGGTGTTCTTCAGTTCACAGAAGAGGAGGGCCACTTACCTCGAGAGGAATGTGGCTGGATGTTTGAGGAAATGGGCGGGACGTTCTTTCAGGAGGGACGTCTTGGAGATACTGAGGTCAGCGCAGACCAAGAAACCCAGTCTGAAAGACCGTGGGAAGGTCGAAAAAGCGCTGCCAAGGAATACGCTCGATCCAAGGTGTTTGCACTACAGTAGGGTACGGTTGAAAAGTCACTTTTTTTCAACAGCTGTTGAATATTACTGTTAATAACTGTTAATAACACTGTTGAAAAGTCGTCACGTCCTGAGGCCTGTTGAATATTGTGAAAAAATCTAGGTGTGTGGGAATATTCTGAATGAACTTCTGAGGCTCAGAAAAATGCAACCGGACCCCCCTCCCACCGCCAAGCTTATTTGTGACGCACTATGTTATTCCCTGCACCTGAATCTCTTACCCTTACCGAGTTTCGGGGTGTGCTTGAATACTTGCGGACACTGTTACAAAATCTGCCAACTGCCTTGCCTGTTGGCACTGCTTTTACGTCAAAATACCTCACATTCTTGAAATTCACGATCGACGATGAGCTGCTAGATCGCACCGGAAGCGAAATAGGGGCATTGAACGAACAATTCAAACAGATTTTTGGATGGAAAACTCGCACAACAGGATCTGGGATCATAATGATCGAGGAGCGAGGAGCACCTATTTGTGCAGTTGTTGATGTACTCAACAATTTCCATGTCAAATACCCTACAGACAATGTCATTAAGAAATGGGCAGTTGACATTGGTATTGGAGTACAAGAGATATACAGCCAACATAACACCGAGGTACAGCATTATTCGACCGAAATGAATGCCGTCACCTGATATTTTTTCACAGCTCCCACCGAAGAGCACAGCCGGTACAAAACAGCAACAGCAGACATTGTTAGACTCCACAGTACGTTGCATGATGTCATTTATCGTGATTTGAAATTAATTTAGCGCTGGCAGAAAGCTTTCGACATCCTCGACTGTGTTCGATAATTCCCAGACTGTTGAATCAACTGCGAGCTCGAGGGGCCGTCCTGTCCACACCCTAATGCAAAAACTTGTAATCAAGACAGCCATCATGTCCGAAGATGGCAAACCAAAAGTTTCCTGGAAGTGCATTTCATGTGACCATTCACGAAAAGGCTCGCCACAGGAGAGTCGTGTCCTGAAGCACTCTGCAACCTGCAAGAAGCTTCCTGTACATCTTCGGAACGAAGCTATCACTGCTTCGAAGGACACATCACTCGGGGCACAACTTGTTGAACTCGATGACCAATGCAACACGGCACCATCAGTCGAGGTACAGCCCCATATGGATGAGCCACCAGCAAAACGGCCTAAAAACCAGGTGGCGCTGAATGTTGCACCATATCGTGATGCGGGGCGAAAGAAGCGAGAGGAGGAACGTCAAATTTTCCAGACGAAGGCTGATCATATCATCATGCGTCTCATCTGTGTGCGCGGGTTTGTTCCGACCGTCATCGATTCTGATGAATGGAAAGAATTGATGGTTCATCTGAACCCACATTATCATGCCACGTCCTGTAATACATTCACCGACAATTACATACCAAAAGAGGCCGTCTTCGTTCGCCAACAGCAGCTCAAGGAGTTGAAGAAGCAAACCAACCTAACACTTACATTTGATGGCACAAGCACACGAAAACCACAGTCCCTCTATACTGTGCACGCGACTACACCAGACCGGACAACACACTTCTTAGATGGCCACGAGGACTCTACTGCCAGTCACACAGCTGCATGGGTGAAAGAAAAGATGCTCGAGGCCAGTATCTTCTATTCTAGTATATACACTGTTGCTTGAACTAATGATCCAATTCTTCAACAGACTATCTATGAGGTCGGAGAGGACAAGTGGGCTGCTATCTGCTCAGATAGCACAGCAGTTACCAAAAATGCTCGACGTGAAGTCGTTAATACAATCCCGACAATATTAGACTTATGTGATGCTTGTCATCATTTGCATAATACCATCAAGAACGTCACCCTATTGCCAGAGTTCGAACAGGTATGTAAAATCTTATTTGAACTTTGATTGTCCTCGATTCACAATTCACGAATCATGCTAGATGCTATCACTACTCAAACCCATTATCAAGCATTTCAGCAAGTCCACGATCTCCGCAGCACATCTTCGGAAGGAGCGTCGGGTTGATGACAACGACGAGACTGTGAAGGCCCTTCAAAAAATTGGCAAAACAAGGTTTGGAACTCACTGGTCAGCTGCGGTGTCACTCGAGCAGTGTCTCCCAAATATACGAAATCTTGTAGAGAAGAAGGTCGTCAAATTCAAGGCAAGTTCTTTGAAACACAATCTCACATGGTACTGATTCAGTAGAGTCCAGAACCGTAAAGTGAAGGACATGTTTCTAAACCGTGTCTCCCAAATATACGAAATCTTGTAGAGAAGAAGGTCGTCAAATTCAAGGCAAGTTCTTTGAAACACAATCTCACATGGTACTGATTCAGTAGAGTCCAGAACCGTAAAGTGAAGGACATGTTTCTAAACCGTCGTGCATTCCAGACGTTGGAGCAGGATCTCGGTACTTATGTCACACTCGTGGGACCATTCATCCGCTCGCTGTGGTCGCTGGAGGCATCCCATGCGAACACTTCAGATGTCTTCGTTTTTTGGCTCGCAATTGCTGCAACGCTGGAAGAATTATTCGCAAAGGGTGAAGATCAGACAGGGATACCAGTTTCCCTCGCACGACGCATTACTGCCATCTTCAACAGCCGGTGGAAGGAATTTTTCGGTAACGATGTTTATTTCGTTGCTTTTGTGCTTGATCCACGTATGTTGCTTTTGATTCCTTACGTGTCCTCACTGATGTCATTTCGTAGGTTATCCTCTCTCAGACAACATCATGAAATCAGCATTGGCAGCCCCAACCATCCGTATACCAGCACAGATACCAAACACGTCTGCAAGTGCTGAGCGTCCGATGCCTCATCCACGTGCTTACCATCGCGTGAAAGAATTTCTCAAACCTATGCTGCGCGCAATGGTAGAACACGATGAAGTACACGAACTCAAAGACCCAATCTCACTGCTTGTGCACGAGATTGGAGCAGCTGGTGTTGTTGATGAGTTCAGACGTCAACTCGAGGCTTATTTTCACAGCGAGTGGCCATTCAATGCCCCCCTTCAAGATGGAAACACTCTCGTATGGTGGAACATGCTTCTACCTCATCCCCATGCTCGTGTTCTTGCTGTAAGTGTTTGCTTCTTGATTCTCGCTGTCACACTAACTCACTCGCTGTTCTGTAGGCTCTCGCCGTCAAAATTTTCTCAGTACTGATCAACTCAATGCCTGACGAGCGAACAGGCTCAAAGCTGACGTGGCTCAACTCAGCGATACGTGGCAACCAAAATGCTCAAACACTCGTCGATATGATTCAGATTGGCCAGTGGTATGGTACAAAGGTGCGTAATAGTTAGTATATGCTGCATCGAAAATTTACATAACACTGTACTATAGGTTGAAAACTCGAGACCACGCAAGGAACCCTACCGCCCCACAGTCAAGTTCCGCGATATCGACAAAGACCTCCTTCGCGCTGTTGCCACAGGAGTCAAGCCAGCTACTGACAATGTCACACCTGACGTGGACACTGGACACGACAGCGAGGACTCGGAGGACTTGCCGGATGATGTCGAAGATGACGTCGTAGACCGTCGCGAAGATGATGAGATGCCGGAGGACGATTTTTTGCAGGTGGACGAAGATATTCACCTTGGCTCTCCTTTATTGCGTGATTTGATCTCTACGGTACCTGTCGTCGGCTCGCAGAATGTTCGAGCGGCCCAGGACAATGTGCCAGTGTCGAAAAAGAGGGCGACCAACTGGAATTTCTCATTTTTCACAATTTTTCACTGTGAAACCTTTATTCACGCTGTTGATAAATCGTTTTCAACTAGTTAATAACTAATTGTTGAAAAGTGTTTAAAACACCTGTTGATAAATGGCCCGAGGTGGTCTATTTATAAACCGCTGTTGAAAAGTCGTGTCGATTTTTCAACCGTACCCTACACTACAGCGCTCACCATATCATTTCCTCTACAGGTTTTTTACCATTTCAGTAATTTTTATGTGCGTGCACATTCCAATTCGGGCATATCTACCTGGATTTTGTGCTCATGAAAGGCACAGAGTCGTCTTCGCCCAATTGCGCTCGTCGGCTTCATCCTCTCTGTGTTCTTGACAATCATCGTGTAACTTGATTACGGTAGCATGGTGGACGGGGTGGAAAAGTGTCGAGAGGCCTTGCAAAGCTGTCCCCCCGGTCATTCACTTCGATCAACGTCTCTCAACAATCTTGCCCTCTGCCTTCAAAACAGATTCAAGGAGCGGGGTGTCCCGTCTGACCTTGATGAGGCCATCGAGCTCCATCGGGCTGCACTACTCCTTCATCCCCCTGGTCATTGTGATCGATCAACGTCTCTCAACAATCTTGCCGCCTGCCTTCAAAACAGATTCGAGCAGCGGAGTGTCCCGTCTGACCTTGATGAGGCCATCGAGCTCCATCGGGCTGCACTACTCCTTCGTCCCCCCGGTCATTGTGATCGATCAACGTCTCTCAACAATCTTGCCATCAGCCTTGATGACAGATTCGAGCAGCGGGGTGTCCCGTCTGACCTTGATGAGGCCATCGAGCTCCTAAGGGCTGCACTACTCCTTCATCCCCCTGGTCATTGTGATCGATCAACGTCTCTCAACAATCTTGCCGCCTGCCTTCAAAACAGATTCGAGCAGCGGGGTGTCCCGTCTGACCTTGATGAGGCCATCGAGCTCCATCGGGCTGCACTACTCCTTCATCCCCCTGGTCATTGTGATCGATCAACGTCTCTCAACAATCTTGCCGCCTGCCTTCAAAACAGATTCGAGCAGCGGGGCATTCCATCTGACCTCGATGAGGCCATTGAGCTCCATCGGGCTGCACTACTCCTTTGTCCCCCCGGTCATTCTGATCGATCAATGTCACTCAACAATCTTGCCATCAGCCTTCAAAACAGATTCGAGCAGCGGAGTGTCCCGTCTGACCTTGATGAGGCCATCGAGCTCCTAAGGGCTGCACTACTCCTTCGTCCCCCCGGTCATTCTGATCGATCAATGTCACTCAACAATCTTGCCATCAGCCTTCAAAACAGATTCGAGCAGCGGGGTGTCCCGTCTGACCTTGATGAGGCCATCGAGCTCCATCGGGCTGCACTACTCCTTCGTCCCCCCGGTCATGCTAATCGATCAACGTCTCTCAACAATCTTGCCATCAGCCTTGATGACAGATTCGAGCAGCGGGGTGTCCCGTCTGACCTTGATGAGGCCATCGAGCTCCATCGGGCTGCACTACTCCTTTATCCCCCTGGTCATTGTGATCGATCAATGTCACTCAACAATCTTGCCATCAGCCTTCAAAACAGATTCGAGCAGCGGGGTGTCCCGTCTGACCTTGATGAGGCCATCGAGCTCCATCGGGCTGCACTACTCCTTTATCCCCCTGGTCATTGTGATCGATCAATGTCACTCAACAATCTTGCTGCCTGCCTTCAAAACAGATTCAAGGAGCGGGGTACCCTGTTTGACCTAGACGAAGCATTTAGGCTGTATGTGCAACTCTCCTACCTATCTCATGCCGTCTCTCGCGGGGATCTTACTGCTGCCAAGTCATGGGCCACCTCTGCCGAGGAGATGAACCATGAGTCTGCATTGCTTGCCTATCGAACTGCATTGAAATTCCTAGATCAGCATGTTACCATGTTGTCGTCTTCTCCGCGCCATTTTGATGTTGTCAAGGTGGCCATAGCTTCGCTTGCCATGGACGCTTTCTCGTGCAGCGTCCGTCATGGCGCGCTAAAAACTGCTGTGGAAATGGTGGAGCAAGGCCGTGCAGTATTCTGGACCCAACTGGCACGCTTGCGCTCACCACTCGATGAACTTTCCCTGTCCGGTGACACCGGCGCAGCCTTGGAGAAAGAGTTCAAACAGCTGAGCTTGGGCCTTCGTAGCGCGTTCCATCAGTCTACAGAAGAGTCCCCACAAATACGACAACTGACCATGCAATGGAATGATGTTGTCTCCCGCATCCGCATGCAGCCTGACTTTTCTCGGTTTCTCCTGCCCCCACTGTTTTCTGACCTCCAGAAAGCCGCTGCAGAGGGTCCGGTCATCATTGTCAATGCTAGTGAGTACAGCTGCGACGCCTTGGTTGTCCTAAGCAGCCAAGATCCTGTCCACGTTCCACTTGATATCACGCGTACCGAAGTCTCCGAGTTGTCCTCCGAGTTTCAGTCTATCGCAGAGCAATTTGGTTGTTCCGATCATCAACTCAAGCTTGTGGGCATCCTCCGCAAGCTCTGGCATCACGCCGTTGACCCCGTGGTCCAAGCCCTTAGGGTGTCTAATGTTCACCCTGGCTCACGTATCTGGTGGTGTCCCACAGCTGAATTCACTCTGCTTCCTCTACATGCAGCAGGACCCTACGAGAGGAAGAGAGACAACTTGTCTCAGATTTACATCTCCTCTTATACCCCCACTTTGACGACACTGGTTCGTGCAAGAGAACGCGTTTCTCGATATGCGTCAACACAACATTTTGTTGCAATTGGTCAAGCGAATCCGGACAAAGGGAAGGAACTCAAATATGTTGCTCCTGAGTTAGCCGCCATAGCTCAGTGTCTCGCACCCATCGTGTCATCCTTCACGTCACTCCGAGACAGTCTCGCGACAGTGCAGGGTGCGCTCGATGCCCTAAACCATAACCAGTGGCTCCATCTCGCCTGCCATGGAATGCCGAATCGAACACAACCGTTCGACTCCTCCTTTGCGATGCGCGATGGGCCGTTGATGATCAAGGACATCATCCGGTCCAACTGGCAGAATCCAGAATTTGCGTTCTTATCAGCCTGCCACACTACCGTGGGCGATGAGAAGAGTCCCGACGAATCGATCCATCTCGCCGCGGCAATGCAAATATCCGGATTTCGCAGTGTCATAGGTTCCATGTGGTCTGTTGACGATGATGTTGCACGACAGGTTGTGTCTGTTTTTTACCGCAACCTGATTGATGGCTCAGGGAGATTGGACTGCACACGCGCTGCGGTAGCGTTGCACGAGGCTGTGAAATCGTTGCGCAAGAAGATTCCGCTAGAACAGCAAATCGTTTTTGTCCACATAGGTGTCTAGTTTGATTGATTCGTCATACTATTGTATTTTTTGTTATCTTGATTGCTTTCATTCCCCCGTTGTCCCACCTGGATCTCAGTTACTCACATCACGTCCGCACGATACTTTTGTTTTTGCATTGTGTACTAGTACTGCAAGCATCGTTCCGTTGAATAAATATACATTGCTTTGTCGAACATACAAATAAGCTGGCTGTTTACAGCGGGCTTTATGGGATGGGCTGGGGCGTAACTCTTTCTTTGATAATATCGCTCTCTGCGGTTACTAAGACTTTCCATGATACATGATGCAGAGAGATCATGCTTCATCCTACATGCTACATATCATCCTTGTTACATAGAAGGGGACGAGCCACAACCGGCCATCAATATGTAAGAAATCATCATACAGTTTGTACCTTGAATCAGAAATAATGTTGGCAAGCTCCAATGTGCGCTTTAAATTCTTGGATAAGATGTGTTAGACCTGCAGGTACTGCATCCGAAGTTATACTCACTCTGGAATATGCTCTCGAGATGCGTAGAGCATGACATGCAGCCGCAGCACTAGCTCAGGGATGTATATCTGCCGAGTTAGCTCGCGGGAACGTCAATCTCCTGTCTCATCCGGCATCGTTCAATCTGAAGTGAGTACTTTTACGACTTCATCGTAAGCCTGGTCGATAAGTCCCCTACACATCCAGTTGCGAGGGTTTCTAGCAAGGAACTTGTCCGATCGGGGATGATCGATGATCGATGATCACCAGCTGAGAGACGTAGAATGCGTGGTCTGCGGTGGGACTGACTAACTGTCAGCACACGGGAAATAGACGTGTATGTACACCGTACCTGTCCTCCACGTGAATGCTACCCAGTGTTTCTAACGTAGATGTTGTTTCCCACTCTTCTTCCTCAACTGCATCTTCCTCTTGAGATGGTGGCGAAGGCATATTTTCTGATATTGCCAGGCCTCCGTCCTAGAAGGAACCAACTAGTTTAATCATGTCTGCGGAGTGTTTCTCCTAGCATATAATACTGATCTGCGCCCATAGGTGGTTTTCCCATGTCCGACATGCAGACTTCAGGACGCTGAATGTTTGCGGGCAGGGCACAAGAGCTGCATAGAGAATTCTCTCTGGATCGAGGAGGTGGGGCTTGAAGGACGTGTTAAGAAGATGGTACACAAACGGTTGAATGGCGCACATTCAGGACTGCTCTTGCACATGTTGATTTCCACAATTTTCATGAGTTTCCCTGCCATCCTTCGACATCCTCAGCGTCATCTCGTTTATCGTTAACTGTTGGAAAATTAGAGATACACAGATGATACGTGGAGCTTGACTTACCAGTAGCGAACCACGGATACTCGCAGCTCTCCATGACTGATGTGCTTTCCTGCATAATTGGACTACCTCATCCAATCTACCAGCACGGACAAATGAATAGGCTTGTGCTAGGCTTTTCTCATATCCCTTTAAAGGATCGCGTTGCCGGCAGTGCTTCAAGTTCGACAAGCTGTTATTTGGCTCACGCCGTCAGCAGCTGCTAAAGATCGACCATCACCTCTGTTCATAGCCTCAGGATCTAGCTCTTTCACCAGACTGTCTCTGATTCCTGAGCCTGTGCGTAGAGCCTGCACAATATTATTTTTTGTGAACTTCCAGTATCCTGTGGTGATTCCTGGATGTTGCAGTTATGGGGCGGTTTCATGAAGCCATTCTCGAACCACTACGAGTTCTGCGAGGAGCATTGACGAATGTATCATTGTGTATGAATCATTGCTTGTGCTAATGTTGATATGGGTGTGTAAGAATCTTTTGCGAGCAATATATGGGGATGGACGTGTGGTTCTGGTTCGGTTTTGCGTGCACTGCAGTTGCCTTGAGAACTGGCAACAAGACCGTATTAGCCTTCCTCCCGTATTAGCCTCCGAATCCGTAAAACGTCGAGTTCCTCTTTGGAGTAGTGCTGCCGTGGTCCGGTTCAGTCCGGTTCAGAGGGTCGAGGACGAGAACCAAGAACCGAACCATGGTCCGGTTCTGCAAAATCGTCGAACCCAGAACCAGACCCTTGCGAACGGTTCGGAACGGTCAGGTTCAGTTTTTCTGGGGTTTGAACTCGAACCGAACCCAAAAAAATTCCAATGCGGGCGTGGTTACGGACTATTCGTGGTGAGAGCCTGTGGTCAGGTGCTGAGAGGGCTCGCCTCCAGCTCGGTGACAACGCTGGCGAGGATACCAATGCCCTGCGTACTATGAGGCATCTCATTGTGTGTACAAAGGTATCCTTACAGTATGTTTGGGGGGTCTGCTCGAGTGTCCTCCAGGTGTGAGAACGTCCACGCGAACGTCCGAGTACCCTTTCTCAGCAACCGCAGTGGACTTTAGAGTTCGCGTGCAACTAAGTCAATGAGCTATCTTACCTCCTTCATCGACGATCATTGAGATGGAATCTTCTCCATAGGTCTTTACGAGATATTCCAATTGCAGCAGCGCCCTACAATAAGATGTCAACGCTGACTGGTCAAATCAAAAGCGCACTTACAGTAGGCCTGCCGCGCTCCTCGTCGATGCCATAAGCCAAGATGTCCAGTCCGATTCAGTCGCAGCGCAACATTAATAACCACTGAGCAGGTTCACAAACACTCCACGTACAGTTTAGGGATCCGCACGGGTAAACCCCCGGGTACCAGAGCCCATACCCGCACCCGTACCCGGCAAAAACCCATACCCACACCCGTATGAGGTTTACCCGCGGGTACCTTCTTGCCCAGCCTTGTTCCTAGCGCGTTCACGTTCGTGCCACCCACACCGGTTTTGACATTGGCATTGGTAGCCTCATTGTTGTTGGGGGCTGTTGCAAATGGCTGGGGGTGGAAGTTGGCAGTGTTTGGCGTGGAGACGGTGGAAACGGTGGTGCTGGGAAGAACGAGCCATAATGTTGCTGGTGCTGGAGTTGGCGGCATGACGAATACAGACGCAACGGAGACAAAGGACCAAACGAGTCCGCAATGGGAGGGGCCGTGGCTGCGCGGTTGTTGCACCTGGAGCGGTAGTATGAGTATCAGGAGCAGTAGGTGTTGCGGGAGTTAAAAACGGCGTCTATGGTAGTTGAGGTCAGCATCAGCATCATCACACACCCAAAAACACATGAAACGAATTGAAACGAATTGAAACACGCACCAATCTGAATTGAATTGAAACGAATTGAATTGAAACGAAACGAACTGAATCGAAATGAATCGAAACATGTGCAATCCATGAATGAACATTGTGGACGCTGCGCAAAGGACGAGGTTCAATATCAACGTATTGTGGCCGCAGCGACAAGAAAAGTGGACGTACTCAACGCCTACAGTACCAATATGTTCGCTGATGGCGGCAGAGCCAACTCGGACGCAATGCAAGGGCTTCGCGGAAGAGGGAAGTGGTGGTATCAATGTCTTGCAGATCGTTTTGAATGTAGCCTTGAAGGCGGGCCCATGCAAGGTTGGTGAGAGCCGCTGCGTGGTCAGGATGGTCGACCATCTAATCTCCATTGATAATGCAGGTGACTCGTGAGATGATCTATAAACCGAATATTAGTGTTGAATCGCGTCCACAGTGGACAGTAGATCTTCAAGGCCAGCTTCTTTGATGATGGCGTGAATGTCCCATGTGTATGCATTTCCGTTTTCGGAACCTGAAAAACCATAGTCAACCGTAAATCTCTGAAGTTCGAAAATAAAATCGGTTCGGGGTTCGGGACGGTTCGGGACGTGTCCGAACCAACATAGAACCGTTCAGCCAATGCAGAACCGAGAACCGTACTATGGTCCGGTTCTGGCTGACACCTGGACCATGGACCGAACCACACAAGAACCGAACCAAAGTTCGGTTCGAACCATGGTTCGGGACCGGACCACAGCAGCACTACTTTGGAGACGCATCAGAAGACGTTCTATTCCATGGTATGAGGGTCATCCTGCGCCTGATTGGCTAAGATGGATTGGTTAAGATGAGTACCTTATGTCGAGAAATTTACGCCTCGCCTCTGCGAGAAGTCACATGAACTGAACAGAATTTCAATTGTTGAGCTGCCTCGAGTAGTACGCTCGCGTCCAAAGCGAATCTGCGATGATAAAGGTGTTGATACTACAGCATATCAAACATTTTTGGCCAACAACGTTGCAACGCTGGCGGGTGGGAAATAGAAAACGAGATTGACGCTCTAACACAGGAACCTCGGTCATGGCTGTGAGAGGCTATGAGTCAAAAGCAAGGATATTTGAGAAATAGCGGATAAGGACGACAGCTGTGCTCACGTTTTAGAATCATTCCCTCTATCATTGCTTGCCTCTTGGTAACATTCAAAACGACCAATATCGGGCCCACAGCACACGAGAGCTCACCACAAAGTGCTTCAAACGCATCCAAAGAACACCTTCCCCCCACTTGACAGTTTCACTCGTGGAGACGCAGCTATGGCTTCCACGTCAACAAAGGCAGCCGTCACGAAATCGATTCTCAAACCAACAATGACTTTGAAGGGTCACATAGAGAGGGTTCAATCCATATCCTATTTTCCAGACGGCCAGCAAATGATCAGCGGATCTTGGGACAAGACCGCTCGGCGATGGGATCTGAAGGCGGGTAAGGAGATTGAGAAAGAGCAAAATATTTGCGAGGAAGAGGTAAAGGCAGTGGCGGTATCAAGTGATGGTCGATGGGCTGTCACTGGTGGTGGAGGTTATGCTCGTGGGGAGCTGAAAGCCTGTGAGGTTGAGAGAGGGATTGTGAAAACATTCGAAGGCCACTCAAGTGAAAACAGATGCATTGATATATCGGCGGACAGCAAGCTGCTGGCGAGCGGGTCCTGGGATTGGACAGCGCGGATATGGAACTTGGAGACTGGCAAACTTGTGGCCGGTCCATTCAAGAGCGTTGGTTGGGTGACCGCAGTTCGATTCTCAACGGATTCGATGAAGCTCGTAATCATGTTAAATTTTGGGGAACATGATTACGAGCTTCATCGAATCCGTTGAGAATCGAACTGCGGTCACCCAACCAACGCTCTTGAATGGACCGGCCACAAGTTTGCCAGTCTCCAAGTTCCATATCCGCGCTGTCCAATCCCAGGACCCGCTCGCCAGCAGTAGTGTCCTGTAAATGTGGTGCATGCTAATTTACAGGTGCTAATTAGCAATGCTAATTAGCGCTAATCTACTGTGTTAATTTGCGAGGCCCAAAACATACTGTTAATTTGGGTTAATTTGCTCGAGATGTTTTATGATACAGCGGATCTGGTTGAGTCGCCTGCCAGAATGAGAATATAGCAATATTGCACAATTTTTGACTCGTTGAGGCAAGCCAACTCATCAAACACCTGCCAATACTCATGGAGGCTGACTCGGAAAGACACGACAAACTTAACCTACTCGCGCTTTACCTCAAAAATCTCCCAGATGATATACCATTGGTCCATTCTTCAGCCACAGCATATGGCTTTGACTTTTACGTTGCCGACGATGAAGACATTTCAGACATGGGCGAGATTGGTGCCCTAAATCGTGAATTCGAAATTCGACTGGGTCAGCGCAATAACGGGCCAATCATATTCAAAGAGCGAGGCGCAGGTCTCGAGGGTGTTGTTGATGTGCTGAAGGCATATCTTGAGGAACACAAGCATTCGAATGAGGTTGTATTACTTCACAAATGGGTGGATGATCTCGTCACAGCTGCCGAGCATGCGTACATGTCTGCGAAGGTCTCAGTAAGTGATTACGAAATAGAAGCGGATCGAACACACTGACATTCATAACGAAACATAGTTGCCTCAGCCAGCAGATTCTGTCGTAGATTACCCCAGTGGTTCGAACTCCAAAAAGCCTGCGAAGCTGGATAGCAAGGTGCTTGCTAATCACGAGGATCCTCGCTATGTGGACTTGTCAGACCCCAAAGACACCCGGAAGGGTGGTGCAAAGACTCACCCTCTGCTTCTCGAAGGCTCGATGCGATGCTATGTGCTGCAGAAGGGTCAGCAAAGGCCACCAAGTCCAACAGCAACCACAAAACCACCTACTGGAGTGAAGCAAATTTTTCGTTGCATTGCTAGCAAGGGATGCAACACCACATGGGCAACACCACGAAACAAAGAACGGATCCTGGACCACTTGTCAAAATGTGGCTGGCTTGATTCTGACCTGCGGAAAAGAGCAATTAGCGAGCTCGGGAAGAACGCGATTGGTCCTCCCGCACATATCTCATTGGAAGATGATGAGAGCCACACTACCACCGCTGATGATGGTGGGAAGCGACTCAAATCAGGCTCAAAGGGTGGGAAGCTGCCAGTCAAAGCATACATTGGAGAAGGGAGGAAGATCTTGAAGGAGAATGGTGAATACGCGATCATGAAGTACCTTGTCTGTTGTGGAGTTCCACCAACAGTTGTTGATTCCGAAGAGTGGAAGGAGCTGATGGCCGTTCTAAACCCAAACTTCATTTCTCCCAGCTCTTCGACTATTACCTCACATCTGATAGTCGACGAGGCTGCTAAAATCACCATCGCTATTGAACAATACCTTGGCGCATCACGGAACTTGACAATCACATTCGATGGAGGCAAAATCAGACATCCGAAGTCTTTCTACTCTATCCATGTCACGACCGCAGATCGGCGATGCTTTTGCATGGCATTGGATGACGGTTCTCGTCTATCACACTCGGCAAATTACATTGTCGAGGCACTTGAACGTGTAATCAAGAACGTGGGCCCATGGAACTTCTGCGCAGCAACATCAGATAATACCGGAAACACGAAGAAGGCTCGGAGGCTACTTTGCGAGCGTTACCCACACATTATCAACCTTCAAGATGCATGTCATCTTCTTAACTTGGCCGTGAAGGATATCTGCTTGTTGCCTGAGTTTGAGGATGTGAGTGGGCATCATTTTCGTCTCGTTACGAGGCTCTCGTAAGCTTACAGTTTCCACTTGCTCTACTATCTAGGTCATTCAACAGGTCCGAACAATATTGGCACATATGAGTCGCTCAAGCTACACAATGGAGCATTATGATCAGAAACGAGCTGATCTTGGAATCTCTCGTGGGCTGGAAGCCATTGGTGACACTCGCTTCGGCACTATTTACTGGGCAGCACTATCTATCCAACGTGGATTACCAGCATTTCAGGCTGTCGTTGAAGATACTGATCTTGGTATTGACATAGCAGTAAGTCTGCAGCTGTTTGCTTGACATGATGATAATCTCATTCTTTAGTCTCTTAATGATATTTTCGTCCCGGGAGGTGCAAAATTGAACTTCGAACTCGAGCTCTCCAAGCTTCTTGCTGTTATTGGGCCGTGGGCCAAAGGCACGAGATGCCTCGAGGGTGCACACGTCACACCCGACCAAGTTTACTTTGTATTTCTTGGCATCTTAGCTCAACATGAAGAAGACTTCCGCAAGAATGAGTTTCGACTTCGAAATAGTACCATCGGGAGTGTTCGTCGAATCGCGAATGCCAGATTTGATGAACTCATCAACGAGACTCCTCAGATGCACGATGTTTATATAGCCTCGTTCGTCCTTAACCCAAGTATGATTTCATCGTGCTACACACATGGACCTTACTCATAAAATTATACAGTGTTTCGTAATGCTCCAGTGTATAAACAGGCCATTCCGCTCGCCATAGACCCCATCCTGATCAATCGAAGCAAAGACAACATCACATGTGCATCAAAACCTCCCCCCGAAATGTCAAAGCGAGCTGCTCTCAGCATTCAAAAAATTTTGCAGCGCGAGTATGGCAATGTGTACGACGCTGATGAATATACCAACCCAAAAGCCGAGATGCAACGTCGGAACCCTGCACTTGCACACCTAACTCCAGCGGAAGCCCTCGCTCGTCTTCAGAGTCAGCTGAAGGCTTATTTCCGTGCCGAAGATCCATTCAACCGCAAGATGCGCTCGAATGAAAGCCCGCGTGATTACTGGCGAGCACTCTTAAAATCAGGAGACGAACTCGCTGATGTACTTCCGGTGAGTATGTTTTCCTTGCTTTTTTTTGTCGCTGACTATATCCATGTAGATTATTGCAATCAAATTGTTCTCCGCAGTTCCAATTTCTATGGCAGACGAACGCACTATGTCCACTATCACATGGTTGAACTCTCCTCGCCGTGCTAATCAGAATCTCGGGACACTTCAAGATCATATAAAAATTCGACAGTGGCATCGTTATAAACCTGAGGTATGTGTTTCTAACTGGTCTTTCCGAGAACACCAACCTCAAATCACACTCATACTATGCAGATTGCGAATCCCGCCAAAAAATTGCTTGTTCGATGGCGGGACATGAACGACACTATTTTCCGCAAACGTACAGCTTCAGATATGGATATGTCTGAGGACCTCCCACTCCCTGGACGCCGTCCACCTCAGCCAAGACCCTTCCACTCCAATCCATCCAATGATGCCGGTGATCCTAAGTTTCCCGATGATGGTGCTGAGTGGCTGAACGACGAGCGAGGACTGCCGAGCGACTTTGAAAAGGTTGACGGCTCACACTTCTTGCTCGCGGGGGCAAATGCTCATATCGAGTTATGCTCTCCCTATCTCCGAGATTTCCTGGACGAGACGCCCCGAAACGTTAATCCACACGTCAAGGCATCAACAACGTCGTCCCTTGTTGCATCGTCGTCGTTAGAGGCACTTCCCGATGCAAAAGCTTGGGATGCATGGCCGTAGAACCATTTTAACCCTAATTAACTGTTAAATTCATCACATTTACAAGTAAATTAGCGCTAATTAGCTCAGTTGCAAATTTACGCTGATTTACAGACGTTAATTTGACCTTGTGGATGGTGTCTGCAAATTAGCAGCGTTAATTTGGCCTCAGACCAAATTTACAGGACACTAGAGTACATTGAGGTCTGGGATGTCCAAAAACAGAAATTGGATGTGAGCATAAGGAGTTCAGGCGGACGAACATACACAACTACACCAATTTTCTTTTTTTTTTTTGGACAAGTGATTTGTATTAGTAGCAACTGACTAGGTCTAGCTCTACGTATACACACTATAGCGGGGTTTCGGGGAAACTCCGGTCTGAGGAAAAATGCATTTATGCACTTCCGCGATAGGCGGGGTGTGTGGGACTCTTTACTGCCTAGGGGCCTCGATCGTAGAGGGCCTGGGTGGTCTAATACCCACTAAAACCTCGAGGGCGGTAGCCCAGTCTTTTTGGATTTGAGGGTTTTGGTTTGTTTGGATGACGTTTTCCCAAGTATGCGTTATTAGTTTTTTAAATTTTTTTGTTCTTATGATTTTCTTTGCGGATATTCTATCTAGTTGTATTCTGCTATTTATTTTGTTTGTCCAACGTTTCACTATGTTTTCATTTGTGTATGTTTTTTCGTTGATGGTGCTGTCGCATCTAATGACCCATATTAGGTAAGCTGATTCTGAGATTAGGATTCTCAGGAGTCTTGATGCGCCTTTCTTCTTATCTCTCATACTATTATCTTCGTTTTCATCATCGGCGGGGTTTTGTCTGTTGTGTGAGTGTTTTCCAATGTGTAGGTTGCCGCTTCCTAATATTGTTCCTAGTGTGATTTGTGGCCAGGCGCCGAACTTTGTTGGCCATAGGTCTTTGGTGAGTTTCCAGATTATATTTTGTGCGTTGTTAGGGCACTCTAATATTATGTGTTCTAGGGATTCGATTTCCGCGTGGCACATTGCGCATCTAGCGCGGTGTTCGTGTGCTGGTATGTTCAACCAGTATTCTCCTATGCGGTAGGCACCATGTAACGCTTTGTATAGGAATTGGCGTATGTTTTTCTGTATGTCTTTGTTTCGGCAACCTAACCAGATTGCGCTGTCTTTTTCTAGTTCTTTCGTGAGTTCTTGGATTGCGTATCTTGCGAGGTCGAGGTTACATATCGTCGTTCTTCGCGGTGGGTTTTTTGGTTTGTTCGTTTTTTTAATTCCTTTATACGCGAGGGATTGTGTTATTGATGATATTTTTGCTCCTTGTAGGTTCCATTCATCGGGGATCGTTAGGTCCACTCTGTCTTCGTCCTCCTTGTTTACGCCTTCTAAGGCCAGTCGGTCTGCCTGTTCGTTTCCCTGGTCTCCGCTATGCCCTTTCGTCCATATAAATGATGTTTGAGCTGATCGTTTTCTTAGATGATATATCGTTGCCTTTAAGTGTTCGCTGTTTGCGATACCAATCCATCCTATGTTTTCCCAGTGGTGTATATTTTTGGTGAGTCCGTCTATTACATATCTAGAATCTGTTATGAATGTTATTGGGATATAGGGCTCCGTTTGTTGTAGTGCGATTAGGACCGCCGTTATCTCTGCGATCTGATTTGATTGTTGTTCGCCAGGTATTCTAATTTTTTTATTTTGTTCATTTCCGGTTGATATCCATATTCCACTTCCAGATTTCGCGTTATGTTTTCCATTATTGAGGCACGATCTGTCTGTATAGATGGTTATTCTATCCTCCAGCATGTTTAGTCCTCTCGCTGGGTTTTGTAGGCGGTGGGCTGGTCTATCCGATTGTTTCGAAGGGTCAGTGAAGATTCTAAAGCAGTCTGCGAGTGTAGATCAGGTTGTTATTGTGGGGTCAAAGATGATCTCGCCCCTTCTCCTTTCGTGCGCTTGTTGGTTTTTTTCTTTCCTGTTATGGGTGAGTGATAGTCCGTCTTTTTTTGGTTTCATTTTGGTGTTTAGTTTTGGATTTATTTTATTTAGGATCTCTTTTGCTATTGTTGCGCATTTGTGAGGGTTTTCGCAGCCTTTCATTCTGTCTTTTATACAGTATTTGCAGGCGCAGTTCCTCCGGGGGTAGTGTTTCTTATTGTCATTGGTTGTCTCGTTATTGTTTGGTGAGATTTTTTTGCTTATTTTGATCAGGTGTTTAATTTTTTGGGCCTTATGGTTGTTTTGTAGGCATGTATCTCTTTGTTTATTATAGGTCTTTGGCGGGGCTCCTAGATGGCACCACGCAGGTAGTTGTTTTTTCAGATTTTTTGAGAGTTTGATTGGAGCGAAACTGACATTGTATTTTTTTGCTATTTTTAGCATATTTATTATTTCTTTTGGTATGTTCGTTGTTCTCGCTCCTCTCGTTGGTGGGTCCCACGATTGTAGGAAGGAGTTCAGTTCCGGTGTGTTATTTATTCCGGTCGGTTTAAGATTATTGATTATTATATCCATGATGAAAGCCCATGCTGGGCGTGAAGTTGTGAGGTCTAGGTATGAGCGGAGCCATGTCATCTCTATTGCTTCGTTCCTTGCTCTAATGTCTATCAGATTTATCCCTCCTTCTTCTCTTGGTTTTTGTAGTTGTTCCAGGCTAATAGGTGAGGATTTTTCGTTGTTCCAAATAAACTTTCTAATTATTTTATTTAGGGTGGTTTCTATATTCTTTGGCATGCCCTGTGCTTTAGTGAGGAACTGTGACATGCCCCCTGCTACCATTTGTGCTATCAGTCGTTTTCCGTCAAGGGATGGGTGCCCTTTGTTCCAGTGATTTAGTGTTGCGCTGATCTTATCTAGGATTGGTTCCCACGGCGTGGCGTCATTTGTCTTGTTTCCTATCCAGGCGCCCAAGGATCTTATTAGGTGTCCATCGGGGGCGATTCTGATGGAGTTTTCGAGGGGAGTGTCGTCAGGGTGTAGTTTTCTGGTCATGATTACGCGTTCTCGGTGAGTTTTCGATCCAATTGGTATTATTTCTGTTTTCTCCATGTTGAATTTAGCACCTGAGGCGAGGCACCACTCGTTCAGGATATTTTCTAGGTCGGAGTATTTATCATTTTTATTTAGGTATATTGTCGTGTCGTCGGCGTAGAGGTTTACTTTGATTCGGTGCGTTATTCCTGGGATGTCATATCCTTTTATTAATTCAGAGTTTCTTAGGGTGCACGCCAGGGGTTCTATAGCAAGGTCAAAGAGAAGGCACGAAAGTGGGTCACCTTGCCTAACGCCTCTTGTTACTTGAAATTTTTCGCTTAATATGCCGTTTATAGCTACCTTCGTGTGGGCGTTTGAGTATAGGGCTTTGATAGTGTTGATGAACATTGGTGGGAGGTTGAAGGTTTGTAGCGTTTCTATCAGGTAGTCATGACTGATTCTATCGTAGGCTTTCTCTTGGTCCAGTGCGATCAGTGCGCCGTCTTCTTCTGTTATATCGGCATATTCGATCATCATTTTTGCTAGACGGATTGGGTCAAAAATCGATCTATTGGGGATGAATCCACATTGATCTGTATGTATTAATTTTGGGGCTATTTTGGCTAGTTGTATTGCTAACGCTTTCGTCAATATTTTATAGTCTGTGTTCAGTAGTGTTATGGGTCTGTAGTTTGCGATTTCGGTGCGTTCCTTTTTTTATATATCGGGCACATCCATCCTAATGTAAATTCAGTGTCTTCGTTGACACCTTTTATTTGTATGTCATTTATTACTAATGTAAGTGTTTTAATTATGTTGAAGCTCGGGGTGTCTTGTTCGGTGTCTTTTAGGTGTTTCTCGTGGAGGCGTTTCCATATCTCATAAGGTATCCCATCTATTCCTGCTGCGCTTCCTGATTTTGATGTATATAGCGCTTCGTGTATGTGGTGCTCTTCTAGGGGATTGTTTAGGGGGGAGTTATTTCCGTCAAGTTTTTGTTTGGTTGGTACTTCTTTCATTGTTTTATGTTTTATCTCATTTCTCCTTAATTGTAGTGTAGGGTGGTCATTTTCTTTTTGTAGTGCTTCGTGGTGGTTTCTTGCTATCTCTGCCATTTTACCGGAATGTGAGGTGAGTCGATTTGAGTTCGGGATTTTTAAGTGGTGAATGATGTCCCTGGGTTTTTTGGGGGTGTTTATTTTTGACCAGTACTTACCGATTGTTTCTCCTTCAGCGTTCCATTTCGCTCTCGAGCGTAGTTGTATGTTTTTGAATCTCTTTTTTTCCAAGTGGTTAATTTCATTTTCTAGCCACGCTTTTTGTCTTCTCGTGTCGCTATTTGTGTCTATGTCATCATTTCTTAAGGTTAGTTTTATGTCTTTCTCTAATTGTTTTATTCTGGTGTTGATTTTGTATAGGTTTTCTTTAGTCGCTTTTTTTGCTTCTTGGCGGATTTTAATTTTGAAGTCTTCCCAGATTGTTTGGATGTTGCTTTCATTTGGTTGTCGGTATGTCTCTATTTTCTGTTGTGCTATTCTTCCAATTTGACTAATGTTATTTAACAGTTTTTCGTCATTTATTAAGCCAAGCGGCCAGGACCATCGCCCGTTTCCTATGTGCGGCGTGTTTGGGGGTGCGTATCTAACTAGTATCATTTTGTGATCGGTTGGGATGGCCGATGTGCATGCTGACCAGTCGTAAAGGCTTTTATCGTGTGTGGGGGAGGAGTATATTCTGTCCAGTCTCGAGTAAGAGTTGGAGTTGCTGTAGAATGTAAAGAGGCGGGATGTGGGGTGCGTTTTTCTCCAGTTATCGTGTATGTTGAGACTTTCTCTTAGGTCTCTTAATGCATCCGTTGCGTTTTCGTTGTCTGGGCGTGCAGGTGCTCTGTCAAGAGGGTCCTCTGTTAAGTTGAAGTCGCCTAACATAATGTCTATTTGTTGATTGTTACTTCTAGATTCAACTTCTTTGATTTTTGACCAGAAGTTGTGGTGTTCGGCAGGGTTGTTCGGGGCGTATACGTTGAGTATCCTGAGTTCTTCATTGTTGTGCCAGCGGGTTTTCAACATTAGCGCTCTGCCAGGTATGATTTCGTTGTACTCTATGTTCTCGATGTTCGTTAATTCTTTGTTTAGTACGAATGCTACCCCTGCTGATGTTCCAGGTCGTTCTTCATCTTTAGAGTTTATTACTTTTAGTCTGCGGGAGTACAGGTTGTTTATTTGGTCTTCGTGGTCTTGAGTTAGGTGCATCTCTTGTAGGCATAAAATTCCTATTTTTTTCTCTCTCATTACTTGGTGTATGACTGACCATTTTGAAATTGCGTTGCTTTCTAGTTGTGTGGATGTTCTCCCTTTCACGTTTAGGGATGCGATGAGCAGGTTCGCTCTTGTCTTTTTCTTCTGCTTTGGTTGGTTCTCGTTGATGGTGTTTGTTTGCGTAGGGTTTTGTGTTGCCGGGTGGGGCGTGGGGGAGTTTCCACCTCCGAACTCTCTAGTAGCGTCTTCAAGGGTGGGCCCGGTGGTTTGGAGCCCATCCTCTCTGCTTCTTGAGAGGAGAAAACCAGGACCAGGGATGTTACCGTAATGGGGGATTGTGAAAGTTGGTGGGGGGGGGCGGTCGGATTGTCAGCCTCTTCCGGAACGACCATCAGGAAGGGTGGGTTGTCATATCCCGGGCAACCACGGTGGACGTATGCTCGTGCTTTCGGAGGTAGGTGTCCCGTCACCTTTGCTCTTTCGGCGGTGGCTTCAGCTTCTCAGCGCGGCTGGTCCATGACCTAAATAGGTCTCCGCTATTGGCAAGTGCCGTCGAGGCTACCAAAGCTTTCCTGTCCTGCGGGGCAGTCAGTATATTTGGGCTTTGGGTTAGGGGGTTCCAGAAAGCACCTCGGCAGACTGGTTTGATCGGTTTGGTGGTCTATTGGTCAGGATTTAGACTACCTTTGATCCTTTCTCGTTGTGTGGGGGTTTCTGATGTGCGTCGTGCGGTGTGTTGTAGGGTGGGTATTTTTGTTTTATTTTTGTAGATGGGTCTTTGTATGTTCGTTTATGTGGTAGATTTATTGTTTTTATTTGAGTTCATGGGCGTGTTTGCGGGCTTTCTTTTTGTTTTCTGTTCTAAGTTTTCAGTTGGGAAAGACTGTGATTTAAGCAAATTGGCGCGAGTGAGATATATGGGACATGGTGTAGGGGTTGGTATGGGTCTAGAGCGTGGTCTGAGGGGGGATTGGGAGTATGTATTGGTAGTAGTTCTCGGTCGAGTATGTAATGGGTTCGTCGTGGTATATACTTGTGCGCTGAGATGTACTAGGTTAGGTGCTTCGTCCAGGTCTCCCGCCCCTCGCTTTTCCTGTCTGGCGGGGGCCCGTTGTTACTATTCCTGTTGCCTACTTTCGGGCCGTTCCAGTTTGGGGTGAGTGGGGAAAGGGCATAGGCCACGCGGGTGGGCGAGGGAGTGGCAGATTTGGCAGGCGAAGAGCGCCGTGGCAGATCCACAGCCGTCGAGGTTGGTGGGGTAGGTGAGGGTGCTTAGGAAGATTCTGAGGTCGGTCCATGTTTTTGCGTCATTGGTTGGGCTGGTTGCAAGGATGTTGAATCTGGGGACAGAGAGGCCACCCGGTATCTTGAAGTCGAGCATCTCGACCCGGCAGGACATGATGAAGTCTCTGGTTGCCTTATATATCAGTTCGTCGTCCGGTAGTCCACATTTCGAGAAGAGTTCTTCAATGCGATAGCGGTTTTCGTCATGGGACCAGGTTTCGGTAACGGCTTGGAGGATGGTGGCTGTGTCTAGGGTTGTGAAGCCCGATAGGCCAAAAAGGAGATCTGGGGGGTGTGTGCAGTTGAACGGGAGGGCTTCGAATGTTAGGTCAGTTGTGGACCATATGCGTTGGTTAAGTATGAGATTCTTCGTCTCGTTGGATACTTTGTGGACCAGGAAGCCGCATGGGAGGTTCTTTGCTCCTTTTCCTCCCTGGGGTTGCGGGGGGGAGACGCGAATGGAGGGGGTTTCGTTATGGATGGATTCTGCGATGATGGTGATGTTGGCCCGTAAGCGTTCCGCAATAATGGCGGTTCTCTCAGCTACTTCTTTCCCAGAGTGGTCGAAAACCCGGACCATGAATTTCGGGTGCTCAACCTGGAACCAGGCGAGCAGGACCCTATTATCCAGGTGGTCGAATATTTGCGCTGAATGTGACATGTGCACTGTCGGGAAACCCCCGATTGGGGCTGGGGTAAATTGGGGGAGTATCGTGCCATGGGACGTGCCGTTCTGACTTAGCACGGATCTGTTCATGTCTGCTAGTGCTAGATGTGCCAGAATGGTTTGTTCTTCGGGGGAGGGTACATGGTTTACGTTGGGGCTGGGGGGTTCGTTCATCATGTGGTCTGCCGTGGGGTTACTTGGAGCGTGGATAGAGTTTGCGAGACCGTCAGAGGGTGGTTCTGTACTGCTAGGGTTGGACGATTTTACGTTGAACTCCTGGTATACAAGGAGGTCAGGTTGGAGCGGGTGGACGCGGTCTGTGTTTCCTGTGGGGGTCGGTGTGTCGGGGGGGGGAGTGTGGGCTCAGGGGTTGGTGTGGGGATGGGGGGTCAGGTACATAGGGTATCGTGTCCATAGCGAGTTCCAAATCGTCTTCTTGCAGAGTGTTAGGGGGGAAGTATTTTGGCCCGGACCGGGTTGATTGAGATGAAGGGCGGGGGGTATTAGGGTATGGGCGTGTGGCTTGGGAGATGGCCTTGAGGGATGTAGGTTCTTTTTCTTTCATCTCTGGTCGGACGGGGAGTTAGATTAGTGGGGGGATGGTTTTATACTTTTTTCCTAGTTGTGGTGCTTCTCGTTTTGGTTTCGGGTTGGTTCGGTGTGGGCATCGTGGCCGGGTTCATATTGATGTTGGCTGTGGGTTATCTATGCTTGCCGGTGGTTGTTAGTTTGCATGAGGTGTTGTTAGCGGTAATAGGAGCCTTTGGGTGAGGGATTAGTTCGGTTTTTTACGTGCGTATCTGTGTTGTTGTGCATGTTTCTTCGGTTTTACGTGCGTATCTGTGCTGATGTATTTGATTTGTCGTTTTGACGTACGATGGGTGTCTTAGTTTTTACCTTGTTGTATTTTTTAGTCTGTTTTTATTGGTGCAGGCGTGTGGGCGTTTTCAGCGTGTTTTTCTTTGCAACGTTTTTGTTGGTGAGGAAGGTTCTAGTCATATTGTCTTTTGGGGTTCCAAGGGTGGGTCGTTGCCTTTATGTTTTCTAAGGTTTTATTGATGTGGTTTATTGGCCAGTTTTTTCTGTGAGCGACGACAGCTCGACCTTGCCCATGCTTTTTTCAGCGTGGGAATTTCACGTCCATGGTGGTGGTACGAGAACAAGGGCCCCCCACACCAATTTTCTGGACAAACAAAAACAAAAACATCTTAGCCGCATTCAGCTTCACAAACGACGACCCCACAACAATATACGAGTTCGACGCGTCGACGCTGAAGACTGTCGGAACTCCCTTCGAAGGGCACACCCAACGTATTTCCAGTCTAGCACTTTCATTTGACTCCACCCTCCTTGCCAGTGCTGCTGAAGACAATACCATCAAGCTCTGGGCTTACGAGTCCCGCCAACCCCTCGCTTCCTTCGACGTTAAAAATCCCCTTCACCTTGTCCTCTCACCCGACTCGTGTCAGTTTGCTTACACGACATTCGCCAACGATGATTACAATGTCTACATATGCAACACTCCACCTGACGTCCTTGCTCAGGACGAGGTACGCATTCGACACAAACACCTACTGTCTATATGCTAATATTCCCTTACAGACAAGTGCACGACCCCTCAATAATCTGCTAAATGTACGCGTCTCGTTTGCTTTACTCATTGCACCACTCATCCATCGCTAATGTTGCAGTCTGATGCAACTCGTCGTCGTCCTGCCGTGCCCCACAGACCAACAATACCTATCATACCTATAGCGCGGAGACCTACGCCTACAATACACCCGCAGCAACCCATTTTCCTTCGCCTCCGCAAATTTCTTCCCTTCTCTTCTCGCACGAATGCAGTGCGCCCTGTTCAACCTCATAATCCCTTTGATGTAGGTCATTTATCTTGGTTCTTTCACATTTGACTTGACAGTGACACCACAGGTCTCTGCTACATTACCCCTACCATCATCTCTCTCGGGGCAGGCCGCAACTCGGTTTGAGCGTGTCAGTGTTCAAATTCAGTCAGCTTGTGATGCATAACTAAGTGTGTATCCAGTTCGAAATAGATTCTCCCCCTCCCCCCTCGAACGCTCCGGTCTCACATTTCCTACGACAGCACCTTTCCTTCCTCATGCCAAGACACAGCCATGGGCCACCAGTCGTTGAAGTTGCACCAGGGCGGAAGTTCACTGTAACCTGCATCTTCTTACCTGTCATCACCTCTTCACTAATTTGTGCCCCATAGCGACTGCTTGCTGCCAAACTACCAGAATACAGGAAAGTCAACGACACCCGACGTCTGCCTGGACAGCAGGCTGGGGCGCCCCAGGATATCGACTGATCTGACATTGATTCGCTTCCAGACGTGCATTGGTGCAAGGTGTTCCTGTGCTACTGTTCGTGCTGGTCGCACGGCAGACCGAGGATGCCTCCTCGATGGCACTTGCAGCGTGTTGAACCCCGCCCGGCTGTCACGACAAACGCTAGTACCACGCAACCATAGTGGTGCTCACGGTCGCAGTTAATTATATGTAATACATTACTCCACTACTGTATCCTCCACGACTGATTATATCTACGCTATCTGTGATGCTTGGCGCATCTGCCAAATCCTGTCACAGCACGAACTTGAATGATTCGGATTACCATCCTCTCACGTGTGCTCATCTTAGCTGACGTTATCCCCCGCAGAATACTGGTCAAGGTTGAAATGACCTCATTCTATATCATTCCTTTCATGAATTATCTTGGACGTCACTGTGCTTTGCACGGACGTCGATTTGGTCTAGTGGGACACTACCTGCTGTGATACTTTGCCCTGATGATTCAACGATGAACACGGTACGGCCCATTGCTCGCAAGGATCATTTGGACTTTTTACTGCTTCTGCGAATGCCAGACTCCAGTGCGATGGTCAAGGACTCCATCATGGAGATTAATCACCGTGTTGAAGCTTAGTGCGTTCTCTTTCCCTGACTGTCAGTGTATCTCATCCTTCGCTGTGATTCTCTGCAAGAATCTCGTATCAGCTATTATTGAGGTCGTCGCAAATGCACGTTGGCAAGTCTACTTCTGGAAAGGTTCAGGTATAGTAGGAGCAGGAGAGGCTACATGACATCGGGTATAAGACACTTTGTGTGTAATACCGAAGCTAATATGCCTGCGAAATGGAGATACGTACGCAGTTAGGATTGTGTCAAGGGATCACTTTTGAGTGGAACGAGCCCCGCTCTGGTGAGTAGTATAGTATCGTCACTGGAGTTCGCCGAGCGCTGTTCACGGCTATTTACTACAGAACGGCACTGCTCCAGCACCTCACCATGTGCTATACGGGTGGATTAAGGATAGACGAAGATATACCTGAGAGTAACTTATGAATTGAAGATCATCGCATCAATTTTCCTATCAGCTGCTCTTACACTTCTCGGAGCGCCTCATTTGCGCTTGGGGAGTTTTTGGAGCCATCATGATAGTAATGCTTTCAATTACTACTGCACCTCAAACACACCACATATGCAAACATGTTGGCTGTCGTTCGTTGATACTGTCTAATGCGAGTCACCACGCCCACTTGGCAGTGAGTTCGAGCTTTTGCAATCCTCTGCTGACTATGGGTGTCGTTAGGGCTCCTCGTGACGGCGCTCTTCGAGACTCTCTTTGAACGCAGTACCCTCACGTTGTCGTGATCCTGAATCGCTTCCTGCCAGTGAGTAATGCTGCTTTACCTGCCGACGCTGATCAGAACAGTTCACAAGTGGGTGGTACGTGCCGGATCACATTTTATTTGTCTCCGTACTCAAATAAAATTTATCCGGGCGGTCGCCCACGTCTCAAACTGTAATCAATGCGCAGATAAGTTGTTTTTAGATGTTGTGCACGCACGCCTCAGGCTGTCATTCTGGTGCTGGGTGACACTGTTACACAGGAAACCCAACCCAACTCGCCAGTGCCGGTACTAGTGATGCACACGCCAATTGATGATGCGGACACGCAGTAACTTCTCTATCTCATATGTCACGTAAGACACTGATTTTTGGACATCGGCACTTGACATCAGAATCATTCAGGGGTAAGTAAGCTTGAACAAAAATGCTGAGCAAAAGTTGTAGATGCTGAAATATTCACATGTCTGCGAGGACGTGAGAAAGCCTTGGATGAGCATGTGTTCGAGAATGGTTGTGCCTATGGAAAGGTAGTCACCGTGCGGTCTCTGTACAATGTTACAGTGTGTTGCATATGAGATTGCAGTGCGTGTTTTTCAAAAACTCGGCCTCGCCACCTTTACCGGCACTTGTATTCCTAACTAGGTCAAGGGATGTGACATGTCACTCTAGCCAGGGCCTGCCTTACAAGATGTGACATCTAATTATGGTATACAAGTGCCGGTAAAAGTGGCGAGGCCGAGTTTTTGAAAAACACGCACTGCAATCTCATATGCAACACACTGTAATCGCGCGTCTGCTGGCGTCCAGAGCGAAACTGCAGAATGGTTTAATGCTACAGCATTCAGACATTTGAAACAGGCCATCCGGATACGCTGTTCACAAGCAAACAACACTGGCGGGTGGGAAATTGAAACGAGATTGACGCTCCAACACAGGAACCTCGGTAATGGCTGTGAGAGGATGTGAGTCAAAAGCAAGGATATTTGAGAAAAACTGGATCTTGCACCTGTGCTCACGGTTTAGAATCCTACCCTCTATCATTGCTTGCCTCTTGGTAACATTCAAAACGACCAACATCGGGCCAACAGCACACGAGGAGAGCTCACCACAAGTCCTTTAAACACGTCCAAAGAACACCTTGCCCCCGCTTAACAGTTTCACTCCCGGAAACACAGGCATGGCTTCCACATCAACAAAAGCAGCCGTCACGAAATCGATTCTGAAACCAACAATGACTTTGAAGGGTCACGTAAACAGGGTTGAATACATATCTAATTTTCCGGACGGCCAGCGAATGATCAGCAGATCTTGGGACGAGACCGCTCGGCGATTGGATCTGAAGGCGGGCAAGGAGATTGAGAAAGAGCAAGGAATTCGCGAGGGGGTTGAAGAGGCAGTGGCGGTATCAAGTGATGGCCGATGGGTTGTCACTGGTGGTGGTGAAAATCGCGCGGAGCTGAAAGCCTGTGAGGTTGAGACAGGGATTGTGAAAACATTCGAAGGCCACTCAAGTCAAATTCACTGCATTGATATCTCTGCAGACAGCACACTGCTGGCGAGCGGGTCCTCGGATAAGACAGCGCGGATATGGAACTTCGAGACCGGTGAACCTGTGGCCGGTCCATTCAAGAGCGTTTATTCGGTGGGCGCAGTTCGTTTCTCAACGGATTCAAAGAAGCTCGCAATCAAGTCATATACTGGTTCGTACCTTGAGGTCTGGGATGTCCAAAAACAGAAATTGGATGTGAGCAAGGGGGATTTGGGCAAACCATCAATATTAAGGACATCTGCGCCAATTTTCTGGACAAACAAAAACAAAAACATCTTAGCCGCACTCGATTTCAGCTTCACAGACTACTTCCCCACAACAATCTACGAGTTTGACGCGTCGACGCTGAAGACTGTCGGAACTCCCTTCGAAACACCCGAGGCCGTTGGCAGTCTAGCACTCTCATTTGACGGCACTCTCCTCGCCACGTCCGACGACACCATCAAACTCTGGGCCTTCGAGTCCCGCCAACTCCTCGCTTCATTTGATGTTGGAAGTGCCCTTACCCTTGTCCTCTCACCCGACTCGTGCCAGTTTGCTTACACGACATCCATCAAAAATGATTACAATATCTACATTTGTAACATTCCACCCGAAGTCCTTGCTCAGGCCCGTGCACGTGTACGCATTCCCCGCAAACCTGCACGAACCCTCAATGATATACTAAATGTGCGCATCTCATTCTTTTACTCATTACACCACTTACTCATCACCGTCATTGCAGTATGATGCAACCCATCGTCCTCCTGCCATGCGCCGCAGACCACCAATACCTATCATACCTATGACGCAGAGACCTCCGCCTACAATCGACCCGCAGCAACCCATTTTCCTCCGCCTCCGCAAACTCCTTCCCTTCTCTTCTCGCGCGAATACAATTCCTTCCGTTCAGAATAATATCCAGTCTCGCGGTTCTCTAGATGTATGTCTCTATTTCTTGCTCCGTTTGCCGTTGACTCGACACTTGTGCTGTAGTTCCCTGCTACGCTGCCCCTACCGTCCAATCGCCTTCATGCAGAAAGCCCTCCATCGACTCCCTTCAAGGGGAAGCAAAAGGCGCGCGAACGGAAACGAAAACCTGCAAAAGTCGTCGACGTTCCTCTCGGACAAGCTACCTATGTTTGTTTTCTGATATTCCGTTGAGCTCATGAGATCTGACCGCGTCATTTGCTAGAACGACGTTGTTGGTGTGGACAACGGAAATCGACCGTTTGTTCTCTTATTTTGCTTAAGCTGGTTCCAGAAAAAGGAGAAGAAGCAGGTTCCACGCCCAGTATATGATGACGATCCTGAGGACGACGACGAAGAGGAGGGGAAGGAAGACATTCTCAATCGTGTCGCTGTGTCTCCTCCCAGGTATAATCCGTCAATTTACTCATTAAATTATTTCGTTGATGCCAGTCTTTTAGGGTCCAGTACGAAGAAATTGAAATGAAAATAATGGCTAGTCAGTCACAGCCAGAGGCTGGACCATCTCGCCTTGCAGTAATTGACGAACACGTAGAGGGGCAGTCTTCGTAAATCCGTCGAGCATTTCATCTGTTGAGTCTCGCGTTGTATCTGTAGCTTTATGACACCATGTTACTTGCTTTTCTGCGTAGAACGATTGTTCAGAACGAGGGTGTATTGACACGAGATAAGCTAACAGTTTGGAGTATTTTGAACGCCACGAGCCCACAGAAAATTAGTCATGGCAAGGGATAACACAGTCCTTGCCATGGCGAAGCTGCTACCTGCAGGGTTCCATCCATTCTTAGTAATATCTTCAATTGCGCTACAAATAACCACCCCAAGCATCATATATTGTCCTCTTAACATATCTCATTCACGAACCACGAGCGATATGAGCGAGACCGTCAGCGAACCTGATTCCGTCATCAGTTTCAACGAGAACGTGTATCTGTCCATGCAAAATGCTGATATATCTATGGTGCTGGATCCGTTCAACTATTCCACACAAAATATGCACACACACACAAAGGATTTACACCCACAGAGTCGCGTACCGTTGCCGAGATGTACCAGGATGCTTTGGGATTAGCGTGACTTCCCGTTTTGGTAACACCGCACGACGACAAAATGCTCGAGCTCGCTGTCCTCAACAGCGAGCTCAAATAGTTGCCTAATCCTTCACCCTTTTCACTAGTTCTTTTGAGGGAAAAAAAATCAACTGTAGCTAAGTAACTATGCTATTTTGACCATAAATCTTCCATACTTACAATATTCACCCATTCCTGTCATATATTTATACTGGGCGCTCTGAGGGGCTTATTATGGGCTCAATTAATGATGTATTTATTGTATAAATATATTAGAACTTCTACAAAGCCAGAAGTATACAATTAGAGTCCAGAAAATACCAGAAAAGCGGTCAGGGTGGGGGGAGGAGGAGGTGGGGAAGGAGGGTTGTGTTGTCCAAGAGTAAGCATAGTTAAGCTACAGGTGATTTTTTTCCCTCAAAAGAACTAGTGAAAAGGGTGAAGGATTAGGCAACTATTTGAGCTCGCTGTTGAGGACAGCGAGCTCGAGCATTTTGTCGTCGTGCGGTGTTACCAAAACGGGAAGTCACGCTAATCCCAAAGCATCCTGGTACATCTCGGCAACGGTACGCGACTCTGTGGGTGTAAATCCTTTGTGTGTGTGTGTGCATATTTTGTGTGGAATAGTTGAACGAATCCAGCGCCATATATATCCACTGCGACCTATGTGGGGAAGGCTCGACAAATCATAGACCAGCTAGCGACGAAGCAAGACAGGTAGCATCAGTAAAATCACACATTACTTAATCTTACTTAAACAGACTTAACTCGCACTTTTGTAGCTTTGCAAAAAGGGATCTACTTTGCTAAAATTCAAACTTGAACATATTCAGAAAAAAATTGTTGAGTTATATTAACATGCATGTTTTATTATATTTCACACCAAAAAACAAAGAGATATGCCGAGTGAATGATGCATGAGAGTGCAAACATTTTTGAGTAAAGTAGAATAAGCTGATTAAGTAATGTGTACATTTACTGATGACTAGATCGAAACCCCACCACGCGTAAACAACGTGAACGCATCCAGGGTTCTAGACGCGATGCTGAGGAACGCTCGCCAAAGCGGCGGCGAAAAATCCGAGCGTTTTACCGCCTGTGCTATCTGCGCATGTCCGGAGATCTATGAGCAAGTCAACCTCGCGAGGACTTGGTTCATGTATCTGCTATGGCCATGTAAGTTATAACTCAAGTGTCTGCCACGAATACCAAATGTGATTTCCCCTTGGTAGTCACAGCCGGATCTCACAAGCCATCACACCTGATCTCTGATCAAACCACGCCGACTATTGACGACACCTATGTTAGCCTCGTAAGTGCCCATACGGAACGGCGTAGCGGATTTAGGAGCGATGTATGTTCCACTGTCAGAAAGGTAGTTTTCAGCGTTAACTCCAACAGCTTAATCGGCGACACGGTTATAGATGCGTTATCACCGGTGTGTGGGATGGAGAACACAGGCCCGCCAGTAGCGATCAGGCTTGGGCGATCTTGACAGGAGCGCATATCCTGAAACGAGCCATCGGTGTTTTCACCCTGGATCGGGTAAGGATTTCTCTGCCAGGTCGGCATTAATTCTGACCCTCGAGTTGGATTACACAGGCACATACATACTGCAGCTGCGACGTTGAACATCATTCGACAATACTCAGGAATATTCGAAGAAACTATTCAAGATATGGCAAGGCTCGTAGGTGATCCTTCCACCGGCGTGATGCTCCAAGGCGATGTCCACACTGTTTTTGATAAGCTAAAAGTATACCTCGAGCAGACGGAGGTGACTCTGCATGCTTTCGTCCTCGTAATGCCTCATATTGATCAGCGCTCCAGCGAGAAAACGAGTACGTAGTCAAAGAAGTTAGCAGCGGGTGGTGGATACATCGCGACGTTCTCGATAGAACTATCACCTTCCGGAATCACGCTGCTCCTACACGAGACATATCGTTGCCTAACCCTCATTTCATCGTCCTACATGCAGCCATCTCTCAAATTTTGCATATGAGCGGTGCATCCGAGGTATTCGCACAGATTTTGGACCTCTATGATGGAGCAGCAGGAGGCAATGCCCGAATTCTGAAAAGCAATGGAAATCCAGTCCATCAATTATCTTCGATGATGTCTGCACTGTATATCAGCGCCTCGTTGGAGTCCGCTGCATAGAGGTTGCAGTATTGTCTGCTATGTTGTTGGTGTGAGTCCAATGAGCGTACCATTGGACCTAAAAACATGTACGGCACGCGAGATACAAAGATGCAGCCTCGCAAGGGATAGTATGTGCTAGGTACTGTTGCAAAGTCGTACCACATGGCGACTCCGGTGAATCCAATCTTTGACCACTCTCTGGGGGAATTTGGGGTTGGATTCATGCCTTTACTTCCCGTGGAACAACGAAAACCGCTCACGACAGGTAACCCGCAAAAGAAGAATCCAGATTCATGTTACCCTGAAGAACCTGGTCCGATGGTAGCATCAACAGTACAGCGGGTCAGCCTGTCCAATACCTCCGTCATCATCGGTCGCTTTTTCGGGTCTTCATCCATAAGTTGCGACGAAATCTCAAGGAGGGTATCGCGATCCGTGGATGGGCGACATTTGTTGCACAGCTCCTCTAATGTCTTTCCACAGGACCACAAGTCCGCCCGGATCGCACTGAAGAGGTCATTACCAGTGGCTACCTCAGGGGCGATATATTCAGGAGTGCCCGCGATGCCACGAAACTTATGTTCGACACCCTTGACTCGCAAAGACCTGTTGAAGTCGATGACAGTCAGACGGCCGCCGTTGACAGGGATCAAGATGTTTTTCGGCTTCAGATCCATGTGCGCCACGCCGTGTTGGTGCATGAAGTCTACCGCTTCGAACAGCTGTTTAGCCACAGACCACAGGTGTGCACTCGGCTACAGCCGATTCCTCGGATTCGAGGTACTCAAAGATATCGCGGATCCGAGCGTTATCGGAAGTTGTAACATAGCACAACTCGGTTTTGAGGACGACGAAAAATTTGTGGACCATGGCCAGACTCAACGGGAGACGCGACAAGTCAATTAGATTTAAAGACATCTCATAATTACATTCTGAAAAAGTAGAATTGTCAGATAGCGACCTCATGCGATTTACGACATACCAGAACTCATGTAATCCCGACTGCCTACGTTGAATTCCATATTGACAAGATTAGTTGTCGCCAGCCCAAAATCTGCAATACGGATGCCCGACCCAGACTCAACACAGAGAATGTTCTCTGGATTTAAGACGCGGTGATATACGCCGGCGGTGTGACAGACAAATATGCCATCGAGAAGCTCGATGAAGGCTTTCTTAATGAGCGGAACATTTCCTTCGTACGTTCGCAACCGGATGGCGGTAAATAGGTCCCCACCAGGGCAGTAGTCGAATACGCAGTACATGTATAGTCCTTCCTCGATGATGTGGTGAAGTTTGCAAATATTCGGCGACGACGATCTAGATACCACGTAGTGGCATGCGATCTCTCGTTTCTGCCACATGAGACCTTCTCGGCAGAGCTCTTTGTTTCGCAAGCACTTGATGGCATAGTACACAGGATTCCATGGGTCTGACTGAGTGTCGAGAGCGAGATAGACGGTTCCGGAGGAGCCGTAGCCAATCAACTCGACCAGCTTGAAACGACCGTGGCCGACCCACTGACCAGATAAGTTTGGAATTGGGAGTGCTTCCTGTTGATAATTCATTGCTGATCAGGTTGGTTTGGAAGGAAGCAGTTTCAAACGAGACGTGAGGTTGAATGTTAAATTTGAGGGGCGAGAGTACTTGGTTGATGAGCTGGTATCAGGCTGGGTTGGTTTTAGGGGAAAAGAAGGGGACGGCCCATCATGAATTTTGTACTTGAAATCGACGTGGTTCTCTGTCTCACTTGCATGTCGGATTCACATCATGCTGAGTCATCATTAGATGATGAGGTCATCTCAATCCAGGCTGGACTTCGTCACTCAACATATTTAACCACTGCATCAATCACCTATCCTTAAATACCACTACAAAACTCAAATCAAATATATACACACTCCGTACCCAGTACCCGTGGTTGATTACTTGGATGGCTTCCAGTGTTACACTTATCTCCGCCAGTCGACGCATCTCCACCAGCCTGGAAAGCAATGGACGTTATGTGTGTTCCCCCATCGGACCTGGCCACGAGCTTGGCGTTATATTTATGAACGCTGAGGCCTGAGGATCAGACGTGGTCCCACATCACCAAGATTCCCCAAATTGGAGAAGAGCTAATAAGAGCTGTCCATTGCCAAACGGGTCACGCTTGCGCTCACGCACAAAAAATTCCGTCGATATGAACAGTCCACTCGGAAGCTCCACCGATGGAGGCTCTCCCTCCGGGTTGACTTCGCCTGTCTTCACCTCTCCCTTCCTCCGTCCAAACTCTCCTCCATGTCTGCTGGACGAGAGCCAATCATTTTCCCTCGATGCCTCGCTCCCGCAATGCGCACCACAAATGAGCGCTTCTTTACATATACGTGCGACAACGGACATTGGTGTCCAAGTTTCACACAATTTTACCTCCTACCCTTCTTCTCCCTCATTATCCCCGTCAAGGACACCTCCAGCTCAAAAACCAAAAGCTACGCTCAAGTCAAAGCCATCGGTAGCCACATTTCTTGCTCCTCCTCCTCTTGCGCCCCCGCCTACAATATCATTTGAATCCACGCAGATTCCATGGAAGGGCCTTCCCTACGAGGCCGCTCAATGGACGTTCACCTCACCCGAACTACAGGAGATAGTCTCACGTGCTATCAGGTTAAGCGCAAAAGAGTCCTTCATACGCCTCCTATCCCTCCAGGCGCTCGACACAGACATGGTGAAAGAAGCAGAGCGTCTCGAAGAAGAGCGTCTAGCAGCGCAGGTCAAATGGAGATTCGAAATGAACAGGCGAACCATGCTGATGCAGGCGCTCAACTCCTGTGCCGGTGTCCTCGCAAACTCAGGAGAAGGCGATAAAGATAATGTTTTGGGAGGCTTGATATCTCAAGTTTCAACTTCTATTGCTTCGTGCGACTCTATTCTTGCATCTATTCTGCACATGTCAGACCAGCAGGCGCAAATCTCGGTAGTTCAGCACCGACATTGGGCTTCAGCTCTCGGGATTGCACTTCGCAAGCTGAATAAGGCATTCGAGCGTCAAGGAGAGGAGATGAAACGCGCGCTAATACGTATCCAGACGCTCGAGGATGAGCTCGAGGAGGCCTGGAGAGAAGCGGAGGGCATGGCCGCCGAGATTGATGAGATGGAGGAGAGCGAGGATGAACTTGATGATATCGATGACAACCAAACACTTGGAGACATGACCATCAACACCGATATCGCACAGGTCATGGGTGTCACCGCAAAAGCTGTCTTATCCAAAGCTACTCTCATCTCCCAAGTTAAGCACGTATCATCCGACGCTAAATCCGTCAAGTCTGTCAAATCCGCCAAATCCTCCCGCAGCAAACGATCCAAAGATGGCCCAAATCGGCTTTCACGCTTTTCTGCAGCAAAGACACGCTCACGCACCGCATCCAATGCCAGCCTCCGTTTGCCCAAGGGGCTGCGCACTCCCACATCATCTCATATGCCAGATGATCCGCCACCCATGCCTGCACTTCCGGACGCCTTACAAGGATGCTCGTTCCTTGATATGGACACCACCGGCGCAGAGTATTCCCGTCCACTGAGAAAACAGCTACCTAACCGTGCGAATTCTCATCATGTTCTCATCGCTCTCTAACTTCTGTATTTCAGGCGCTCCCGAACCAACAGTTTCCCTCCCTGAACCTCCCCATACAGCAGGCCTTCCTCGAACCGCCATTCCGTCCATTTGGATAGACGCCGACTCATGCCCCGGTCTGCGACCGAACGGCCTCGATCGCTCTCACTCCATGCAGATCTTTCCCTCACTTCGACAGGGCCGGCGAAGCGATCTCGTGATGAGCCTCTCTCACTCTGATCCTGGAAACTCACCTGTAGAAAAGGCCGATCCTGTTTTGGGCGGCTTGGGGGCTGTGGCTGTAGTGGATAAACCACTTCCTGCGGACAGACCTGTGCCTGTTATCGATCGGCCAGTATCTGCTGTGGATCGGCTAGTGTCTGGTGCGATGGACCGACCGCGTCCGAGTGTGGATAGGAGGAGTTCTGGCTCACACAAGTTGATGCCGATGCTTGAAAGGTCGACTGGAATCCCTGCGACTCTTATCTCTGGTGGGAGGTATTACTCGCGGGGCTTACCCAGTTACCGGTCAACGGAAACTATTTCTGAGGGCGGGACCCCTCCGCGGGCGGGAACGCCAAATATTGGTTAGGCCGGGACATAGTCCATGTCATCAGGCCAGCTATGCATTGTTAGGCATGTAGAACCCTTCCTCCGAACGGACCAAGTTGACTAATTGAATCACTTCAATCAGATATCATTCACATTCCATTTATACGCACATATGTTCCTTCACATCTACGACCCATCGGAATTCGCATGCATAATCATACCTGCTGTATAACATCCTACTGACGTATAATCTTTTCTTGATATCTGTTACTACTGTTTGCACGCTCATGTACCTAACTACTCACACATCGGGGTTTGCAGTATTTAAGACAGGCTTGAATGTCGTGCGAAATGTCAAGATAATACTTAAAATTTAGGTTGTCGTCTAAGCAGAAGTGAAATTTCAAATATTAACGAGATCTTGCATGACATGATAAATATAAAGCATTAGCAAACATTTTGTTGCCGGCCGAACGTTAACGACAATAAGAAATATAAATATATATTTAATGCTGGCCTAAACTTCAAAATGAAACTTCACATTTAATACTCGAAAAAACTTCAAGCATTGCATGTGACTGAATGCCTGCTCAAGTATGAAGTTTAGACCGCCACTTAGACGGGCGTCAAAATTTTAAATACCCCCTGAGGATAAATGTGAAGATAAAACATCAAGTTTTATCTCCAGATAAAATAGATCGCCCGACGATCGCCCACTCATCGCCCGCTCACCGCCCGCTCACCGCCCGCTCACTGCCCGCTCACGATGATCTATACACGATTCGCCCACTCATGAGTTGGGAACACGAGTCTGATTGCTTGTATATACAAATATATGTAGTAGAGCGAACTGAAGATCAATCACGAGATAGAGATAATATGACTACAGTATCACTTGAAACCGCCCATCGAGCAAAGTGACCAACAACCCAGGATACCTTGACATTTTCTAAGTGACTACTGAAGCTTGATGAGTACATTTTCGCGGGAAAAGGAGGATACATAGCAAATGGATTGATGGTCTGATCATGACGATCCAGCGGGACGAGTCTGTGTACAGCAAACACAAGTTCACCTGCGGGCATGGCATAGATATGTCGAATGCTGCCGGGGATAGGAGATGATAGTCGGTCACCCCGAGGATAAAAAAAAACTTGACTATTCCCGACGTGAGTAGAGGCCCTGCTGTAGATAAGACCGTTGAATTTTAGTCGTGCGCGTAATATGGCTGTGCGTCGTTTGATGAGCACGTACAAGTCTTCAGGTACAGCAACAGCTCTAGCGGAGGAAGAAACCTGTACACTGTCGTCCAAAGGATCCTCGGCAAGTTCTTCACCGAGACTTGTAGCGCTCTTGGGAGCGTACATATTGTCAAACAGAACTTTGCACTCTTGAATAGCTGGCGGACAATCCGGTTGACTTAGCCAACAGCGAAGTTTTGAAGTTTTCATAAAAGAATATAACATTGTAGTTTCCAACTCGCCTTGAAAAAAAATCAGTTTTGCTACTAACTAGTGCTCCGTAAAGACCCACCAGTCTTGTGATTTACTGGAAGACGCTGAAGTATTCCGATTAAATGTTCGAAAGGAAAGCACCACCAAGAGTGGGCAGGGCCAAATAGAAGTAGATAGTCGTATATGTGGAAGGCAGCATGGTGATTCGGACGCAAAGCAAAGGTGGGGTGTATCTTCTTCAAATTTCCAACATAACGTGCAATGTGGGAGCGATATGCATGTGCTCTCTCTGCAGAGGTTGTTCAGGCACACGCGAGATAAACTGCGCAAACAAGTTCCATAGTGTGATCGAGAATAGCTCTAAGGTGGGTCCCGATTTCATCAGAAGGATGCGAAGTGCCAGCCCCCCACAAGCTCACAAGGGCAATGGGAATGTAGACGGTGATTAGGGAGCGCCACTCGTCCGCTTTCATCGTCCCGGCAGATGCACTTCCAAAATCACTTGGGGCCGAAGTAAACCAAGACGGAATGGTTATCTCCTGGATGACGTCTCGAACACGATTGAGTGCATCTGGAGAATTGAGCCCTTGTTCCTTCTGCGGAGCAGTAAAAGGTTTTCCAAGGCGCTAAGAACAAACATTGGAAACTCGCTCGTAAACAGGGAGCGGCACATTAAGAACTTACCCATTCCGCGAGAGCTTTGACATAGTCAATTTTGAACAATCTACTAGATTTCTGGGGAATGCATTGCAAGGCCTCGCAAACAAACTTGAGGGGTCCCGTATTCTTGTGAGACAGAGATTTTTTTAACCTTTCCAGGTTTTCGTCATCAGAAGGCAATTGGGAAACCAGAAGGGTGCGTATAGAAGCGACCTGAGTTAATTCCTTGGAAGTCATCCCCAGAGGCATCTTGTCTAAGTCACACGAAAATGAAAAGGCTGGAGGGGATGAAGTCGATGAAGTGGTCGACGTAGTCAAACCGAGAAGGCTACGGGAGTGATGCTGAACTAAACCTTCCAATATGCAGTGCATCGGGTCGACGACAAGCTGGTGTGAGGGGTCCCAGTATGGTAAACGCCACATCTCTGAATAGTGCACTCCGTGAGCTTTGAATATTTTCTCTCGTTCTGAGGTCGTCGCAGCGTCCCTCCACTGCTCAGCAAACTTCCGGAGTTCATCTTTATCACGAGGTTCCCAATTTTCAAAGTCCACTCTACCGTAGGTGGTCTTGTGGTAGCAATTACATGCGCTACAATAGAAGTGACTGCCGGTTCCAGCTAAAGAGGCAAGATGACGAGCGGCAGGAAGATCACAAACAGCCAGAGCAACAGCGCTGTGAGCGAGCCAGCCGGTAGGAAAACAAGCAGTCTTGGAAAATTGGATACCGCGCTCCCATGAATCTACCATGTCATTGATAAGTGGTCGGATGTAGTGATTGAGATGCTCGAGGGACGGTTGTTTCGGACCCGGGATAATCCCTGCAAGATACATGTTTTTGGGTTTGTACCTAATATCCAATGGTAGATTCAAGCACGCCATCGAGATGATTCCAGAGGATTTGCTAGCACCACGCAAATTCATACCTTCAGGATTGAAGAAGTCCACGTGAAGAGTGAAAGCATAGCGTCCTTCGTCTCCTCTATCGATAAAAAGTGAACCTGGCTTTGGGCCACCAAACTGACGGAGAAATTTAGCTTCGAATGCGTGTTTCATCAAAGGCGGATGGGGAGAACTGATTGAGTCCTGCAAATCGTCGCAGGCCTGATCCATCACCGCCTCGATATCTGCACAGGAGAGGAGGCCAGCGAGGTATTCCTTGAAATCGTGGTAGACGAATGTCTTCTTCGGCCGGAGTACTCCATGACAGCCATGGTCAAGTAATGACTCACCGCATTCGGCCTCTGGCGTGGGTTGGTGTGTGCAATGTTCAGGATATGTAGGAACAGTTGAGCCGTCTGCATAATGTGGGCTGTAGGTGCAGTGACAACTGGAGCAGACTGTGTAGACGACAGTTTTCTCGGTGAGATGGAATTTTGAGAGTGCAGTTTCGAAAGTTGTTGGAATTTGTCTAAGCACATTTTGATGGGGATAGCTGAGGCTACCATCCGATCTCCGGAACACGAGGAATAGCAGGATTGAGATAAGTCCCAAGATGCAATCACAGCCTCGCCTACTGACTCCCATGACGACTTTACACATCACGCCGATGAATAAGGCGACCTGTGTGATTTCGTTGTACTGAGTCAGCGGAGATTCATGGTGAATATCTATTGACTGTTAGAACACGATCATGACGAAGATAGTCAACTCTTACCGGCATCGAATTTGACCGCTGTACGCAAGTCCATTTCGGGCGGCTTGTGACTATTGAACTGGGCTTCCAAGCCATCCATCTCCAGCATGATTGCCTTCTTCCGCGCGACCACAATGTCTGCATGTTGTTTGAGGTTCTCCACAGCTGTGCGAAGCACTGGTAGCTCACGACCAACATGATCGAAATTACCAGCAAGCAAGAAGCGAAAGCACTGCTGAACACAGAACTTGACGTTATCGAGGACTGTGAAGGCCTTCACGGTTGGCCGGTGTCTGATCTTTTTGGAGACGTCGCAACAATCAGCAGTTGCAACACTGGGTTCTTGTGCAACGAAAGGATCCAACAATGTGAGTCGCTCAAGATCATCTACCAGAGCTGGAATAGATACTGGTAGAGTGGGGTTGGGGTGCTCCGGAAGCCCAGGCATATGTGGAGCAACAAGCGGTTCATTGTCGGTAAGGGTGAGTGTGCGGAGCTGTGAGGCTACGAAATCCGCGCCATCATTCCTGCGATCAGATCCAGCAGCATGAACAAGCACAGCATGTTCTGCTTGGATACGTTGTAAATGGGCGGCCATAAGGCGTTCTGCAATGAGCACCCCCTTAGGTGTGCCATCATCAGCACGATCGCCGGTTTCGATGCATTCCTCACAGATGCACCGTTTATATACTGTGCGGGACACAGGCATCAAGAGCGGGGGT